CTTCATTAAAACAGACATTTGATCAAAGTACCGTTTTAAAGGAGCTAAATCGCCAATATTTGGAACCTAGAAATTGACACAAATGTTTCGCAACACATATAATAATGTAATATGAATGTATATAAACTGATTTACATTCAATCAATTCTGTTTTTCTGTAATTTCTAATCAGTTATGTTCGGCTAAATATGCCAAAAGTCTCAATCGAATGACAATCTCTTGCGTCTGGTTATTCCAGTCCACACCGATAGTATTTATTGCGCATGTTCTCCAGATAAGAATATGGTGTCACCGTTTGACATGACTTGTGGAATATGTCTAGCCTCGTTCTTCGAGTCCCTTATTAGAAATGGCGCTGAAACGTGCATTATGGTACACGATTCGTGTACCAATGGTAAATGTTTATTTTGTCTTAAATATTGGATATCATAAGCCCATATTTTCCCTGTAAGATCACAACATCAATGTTGATTTAAATTGACAAATAATTCATGTTTTCAATGTCGAAGACTTTGGATGATATTGAGTTAGAGCTTATAGCTACTTTAATAGTAATCATTTATACCCAAAATGTGACAACCCGCTAGCTTTCTAAAATGAGACTAATCTAGTTTGGTAAGGAGTTAAGGTTCTGGCCAAAGGAATAAATGAGTCGTTTGAACAAAGTAGGCTAATGTAGCCTGTGTAAAATGTTTAAACTAGGCCGCCCTATAAAAGTGGTTATTATCATAGAAGCCATTCTCATATCCCAAGATGATCTGTCGTCGCATATAAAATTGGTGCCATACTTTCCTCAAAAATATTTGTCTTCGAAGTGCATGTATACATGATACAGTAGTCCCACGTAGAGCAGAATTCTGAGATTAACATATGGTTAATTTATATACTATGACCTCTTAAGCAATACAAGAGAATAATTTTCTCTGAAAGCAAGTCTTCCTACCCGTTTTTCGAATTGAAAAATACCAAGAATTAAAATACAACTGCAAATAACTCTTTTTCTGTCAGTTTTGAATGAGGGGATAAATAAATGATTTGCACTAGGCTTAGTTTGGCAAGCAAAAACATGTCTTTTTTAGTGCTGCCTCCCAAAGACCGAGGTGCAATTAAGTTCCTGGATCTTCTGCATATAATCCAGTTGCTCATCGCAATAGGGTTACTGCCTTTGTTTCAACCCAAATTTATGGTAATGAATACTGTATATCCTTAACCGTTTTTATAATTACCACCATAGTTTAACAGGATCTTGCCTACCATTTTATGGGGGGGTGGATGGCTGAATGGTTAGCGTGCGCGCGCTGTATCATAAAGTCTGTCATTGAGTCGACTGGCGTGGTTTCGAATCCCCGGTTGTACGTGACAAGGAGTAGGGTCGCCTGTCCAACCTCGTGGGTTTTCTCCGGGTCCTCCGGTTTCCTCCCACTGCTAAAGACCCCTATGCGCAAGCAAATTATTGAAATAAAATTAAAACCATATGTTAGTCCCGAAATGACCTAGTTTGTGTCGAGTGGACGTTAAACCCCATTTCTCTCTCTCTCCCTACCATCTTATGAGAGGAAGTGAAGTTAACCATCACAGAAATATTGTAGCAATAAAGTTTGAGCAAGTAAATGCTAGCTAAAAATAATTGACAACATATTTGCCAAGACTATCCACAAGTATCATGTGTTTGCCAGGGTCATTTACAACTTGGCTTCATTAAGTCGAATAAGTGAAAATGAGATAGGTTGTCATCAGAACATACACTTCGTAAAAAAATACCTGTAACTGATGAATACACTGTCCTTGTGGCATCTCATTTTCATTATGACATCTTTATTGATTGAGATGCTTTATTATCTTGTATCTTTTATTACAACACTCCTTAATTTATTATGTTACTTTATTTAGCTTACACTCACTTAACTTAAACTTTACTTAAACTCACATCTCAGCATAAAGGTCTGTTCACACCAATTAAAATCCTACTCTGTGGCTGATTTTCCATCACAGACGACAAGTAGGCCTAATCATGGATCTGATACTGCTTGACTAAAATTGTCCTCCAGGCAGATGATTCAGTGTGATGGAACTGGATATAGTACTGGTTTGTAGTTTCTGAGACGTCCATCACTACAAGACGCACTATATTACATGACATGTCTAGCAATTAAAGTTATATGTTCTCAACAATTAAGATCCTGTGGAAAATATATTCAAATTCTCAAGAATGATATATTCTTTTCCAAAAACATTATATTTTATGGGATACTTCACTTTATGCCAAGGAAATATTTAATACAAATGCAGATGTCATTATGAATGACAAGTCACACACTGACATATAGAAATGGTTCCACTACTGATGTCTTCCGTCTTGCTCCAGCCACAGTAGTGGACCGTCCTAAGGCCTTCCTTTGAGCAAGTTTTGTAATCATTTGATTACAAAAAAGTTACTGGCCTATAACTCCCTTAATTTCCAATTACACTGATCCGAAACTGTACTGTACATAGCTTAACATATCATAAACCATGCAATTCCCATTGAAATAAAGGTGAAACCTTACCGTATAATTATATGATTTGATTAAACTCAACTGCTATGCAAAATTTCTGTTCATTTTAAAATGGTCACCAAAGCAGAATCATGTGATATCATGTCACTCGAAAATACAGAAAAACTGTTCGGTAAGATAAGATTAAGATTTCAGTGTTCCACTCTTCACTACTTGTAACTTAATTACTTATTTCCATGCAAACTGAGATGATATGGGTTGAAAATTTTGCAATTGAACCTAATTTTACTTGCTCAAAGCCCCAAACAGTGTATCAATTGTAGCCGTCAATAAGAATTATCAGGGCTACAAATATTGCAGCTAACTGACATACAGATGACACAACAGTGGTTGAGGGTGTGAAATAATTTATTGTGGGATGAGTCTAATTGATTTTTTGTGGTAATATGAACTATGAAGTGTTGTAATTTCTGATATAAACAGACTTGGTAGTTTGTGGGTCGAATAGATGAACTAATTGAGGAATATATCTTTAAAACCTATCTGAGTTGGTAAACTAGAAATAAAACTACATTTTATATATAAAAAATATCCTCGATGTCACAGAGATCGAAGATAAGTCATTTTATGACTATTATGAGTGCATTAACAAAGGACCTTATCACAAGTAGGTAATTCATTAATTTAATCATATAAACACAAAACAAAAATGTTTCTTTAAAGTGATTTCATTTTTATTTTAATATACATGTACATATTTAATTTAAAAAAAAAAACCTTGGCCCTTTTACTATACAGGTCTATTTTTCTCCATGTCAATATGTGCAAGCAGTTTTTAACAACAGATACTTGTTACAAAATTACATCAAAATTTGAAAGCATTTTTTAAAGACAAGCATCTTTTAACAAACAATTATAATAGCTATTTATAATTTAACAAAACAAAAATGTCTGATAGCATAACGAATATATGTAGGTGATAATTTAGCAGCATTTGAACTTCTAACAACAAAGCTTACATTTATTTCAAATTTTGTTAGAACAATGAGCAGAGCATTATAGAAGAAAACACAACTTTGTCAACAAATGTTTAAAGGGGCACCATCACTCTCACTGAGAAAATAAATGTAGTTTATTTTGAAATATTTTGTACTAAATATAACCTTATAACTGACCCACTTAGAGTAAGGTAATTTCCAGGAGTTTTCTTTAAACACATTGAAAAATCTACACAACTTGTAAATTGACAGTTAAAACATTCATATCTAATTGATGGCCTGGCAGATTTCTTTCAAATTTCTTCTAAATTTTGCATACAAAATATAATTTGAACATCCTAAATAACTGTTAGTAAAGTCAATTGAAATTGAAAACTATTTTTTTACCAACCACCAGAGATCTCCAAAGAGCTCATGCCCCTTTAACCATAATAAACATTTAAGGCAAGCACATTAAATCCCATTTCATTTCATTTGTAGCAAACACATTTCCATCTATTCATTTTGTTTATTATTTCCTTGAATTTATTAAAATATAAATAATGTACATAATTACATTTCAAATAATTATATGTGTTGACTTAATTGTGACAATTTTCTAGAATCAAGCAATTTACACTAAGCTTCCATCTTCAAAAAGTTTATACACTATACTATGTGATTTTCTGGTCTTGTATGCAAAAAACACACAGTTACGCCACTCACAAAGTCAACAGTTAAAAAAAAGACATATACAGGTATCTTACACAAATCAATGGTCAGACAAGAAGCTTGTAGCGTTCAAATGAAGTCATCTATGTTTACTGTTTACTTGTAAGGCTAACTTGTCGATGTGACATTTAAAGAATGTTTAATTTACAGACCCAGAGTCATGTAAAAGTCTTCAAGTCCAACGCTGTGAAACGTAAACGACTTGCGACACGAAATGCAATACATTTTATTTGAACTTGAGAATAACTCATCCGTCTGCCAACAATTCAATATTTATGAACAGCATATCAGACTGTAGTACCGGTAGTGATAATGTGATATACAACTTTAAGAACAACCTGTTTTTTACCCTACATATTAATTTCATATTATCGAGGGATAGTCACACATAGAGATTTGTCTATACCTTGCTAAAATGAAGACGATACGAACATGGAGCCCCTCTGTTACCTTTTTTCCATAATAATAATAAAGATTTATTAATAACATGATATAAATAATAATACAAATATACATCCATGGATATGTTTTATATTATATATATATATATATATATATATATATATATATATATATATATATATATATACACAAAATAAAATCTTTAACAAAGCTGCCCAACAATTCTTAATAAATTACTTAATGTCAGTTAACAAAATTTAAGTACCGGTACATAAAAAATATTCTACTTAAACAAAAATTTGACAATAAATGGACCTGATTATCAACTAAATAAATAAATAATATATTCTTATCGATCATTTCTTCTTGCCATTTTGGATCAATTAGGGCTGTATTGTTTTGTTTTTTTTTTAGTAATTTGTTTTTCAAATCAGAGGTAATAGAAATGTTTTGATTTTTTGTTTTGTCATCTTGAATGTATAAAAAATATGGTGCTAAATCATGAATTAAAATAGAATCGTTCAAGTTCAAATGATTGTCAATAAAATTGATCAGAGACAAGGTATTTTAAAGAATTACACAATGAAGCATAATAAATACTCATACATGTAAAAACACTTAAAATGATTAGATCACTTTGACTGGGGTCAAAAATAAAAATGTTGATTAAATTAGATTTGTTTTGTAGAAAATCTTATGTGTACAGGTAAAGCCAAAACCAACTGTGAAGCCAAAAACTAAAACTAGTACAAATGCCGACTTCTGCTTGATCTTTCCTAATTGAAATATCACATCATATCAATCCAATTCAATACTTTATGTTGACCTGAACCAAAGAATGATATTTTGATAAAAAAAAATAAAATCAGTCAAATTTTATGCAAACAAAAATCTAGCTAATCTTAAGAGGTGAGGTAGAATTTACTATTTGTTTCATCTATAATTTGTTTTGTTAAAGATGGTTTGATATATAGCATTGTGTGAACAGTGAGGACTACTGGCATATAAAATCAGTTTGATTTTAAACAATGTAATTAGTAATTTTGCAAATTAACATTACAATTTCACCAGACAATTCTGTATCCCTAAATACCAATTAAGCATACATTTAGCATAACAATTTATCACTAACAATTTATCACCTATATACTAAATGTATACATAAGTTGATTAATTATTAAACTTAAAGGGGCATTAGGTAAGATTAGATAAAGAGCTGACAGTTCTCTCTATAATAGTTAAAGATAGGTTGCCAGACAACGAAACATACGCCCACAGCGGCTAAATCGTCTGGGCAGTCAACATGAGTTGTCGCATATTTTTACTTCTGTCAGAAATGAAACATTTATAATACACTAAAATCTGATTAAGGGTAACAACTCATTAAGTAATTATCAGAAAATCATTAGAATTTGTTTGGCCCATGCTAATAACGTTTAGCATACAAAACATTTAATATCATGGATTAAGCTGTTCAAGTTATCAAAAATCATTGAAAATCAATATACTTAAAGGCTCAATACCACTCTTGTTGTAACTGAATAATATGTCCCAATCTTTATTCTGGTCAACAAATTGTACTATTTTAGAATATTTCAATTAATTGATGATACAAATTTCATCATTACACACCTTATTTAAAAATTTTGGAAAATTCAACATAATGGTTTGAAATGTCTAACGTAAACCTTTTCAAATGAAACTTCGATTTAAAAATATTTTCAAACCCTCTGGACAAGTAAAATAGGATGTAATGGATAATTTGCACAACAGGTAGGACACTTAAACATCTAGTACTTAGATAGAGATATTATTTATTTTCTGGAGCTTTCAAGCCAGCAAGAGTGTTATTGTCCCTTTAAACTCTGTGTATCAACCTAAATTCAACTGAAATGATAATATATGTGTAAACACAGTGTATAAATATATAATCAATCAGATGATAACTATGGTCTCTAAAGCATCCACAAGATTTTTCAAAGTGTTCAAGGACCATAACTCTGGCAGTAATTATCGGAAATCGTTGAAAATCAATAGGGTTCTTCGTCGCTTGACCTTAAACACTGTATCAATTTAAAGTCAATCGAATATAAACTTTAGTCTCTAGAGGGTCAACAAGATATTTCAAAGTGATCAAGGGCCATAACTCTTGTGGTAATCATCGGAAATCATTGAAAATCAATAGGCTTCTTTATCTGATGACCTTAAACACTGTGTATAAATTTAAAGTCAATCGGATGTTAACTTTAGCCTGTAGAGCGTCCACAAGATTTTTCAAAGTGATGAAGGGCAATAACTCTGGCAGTAATTATCGGAAATTGCTGAAAATCAATAGGCTTCTTTGTCTGTGTATAAATTTAAAATCATCTGAATATTTACTTTAGCCTCTAGAGTGTCCACAAGCAATTGTGGATAGAAGGCCGGCGACAACAATATACGACCACATTTCAATGTGGGTGTACATAACAATCAATACACGCATCTTGTCAAAACTACAAACATTGATAATTTGGCTCAGAATATAGTAATCTGAATGATATTTTGAACTATTATAGAAAGCACATCCAGCACTTTATCTAAATCTTACATAATGTATCTTTAAGTGATTTGATTAAAGAAAACAAAGTGATAAGGTTCTCGTCTCCCAAGGTCTAAAATAAATAGATAATTGAAAGATGTTCCTACCACCCTGTCTGAGGTAATTTAATGTTCATTTAGAATTGACCCTGTATAACTGGCAATCGGTAACACAAGGAACAAACAGAAACAAGCTGAAAATGGTGATCAAAGTTTCATAGGCAGTGAGTTTAATTTCAAACTATCGGCTCAAATTCTATAACAAAAATATGGGTGGGCTAAATTTAATATTTTGTATTTTAGACATTGCAGTATAAATGAATATATTATATACTGAAAGTAGCACGAAATGGATATTCAAAGCACAATTTACTTTTAATTCCTGAAAATAAAGTCTTAAAGATGCATTATGTAAGAGCTAAATCGGCCTATTGCAGGTTATTATTTTGGTTTGAAATGTTATATAACATATTATTTAGACATTTATTCATATGATAAGCCTGTAATTAACTCGCTAGCCCATTGGATGACTGAGATTTAAATGGATTAAAAACTAGCTAGTTTTAAAAATTTAACAATAAAATGGATAATCGAGACTTGGCCTCTTTTTCTCAAGTACCGTTTCTAGGGGTGATGATTTTCCGTTTCAGAAAATGGCATATTCCGTTTTAAGTATTTTTAATTCCGTTATTTTCCGTTTCAGAGCTGACCATATTCCGTTTTTTCGAGATAAAATGTTATTTTATGAATAAATGAATAAAACATCTTAAAATGCCTTTTATTACAAAACGGACCATTTTAAACCAATGATAACAAGCCAACAGTGAGGCTGATGTCCCCCGCCGAAATAGGAAAATAATTAGAGGACACATATAAAAATCAAATTGCGTATCGCTCTGCTTACCCTGAGCAGAAAATGCTCATTATCAAACTTAGTCAAGGTATTACTGTAATGAAACTATACACCAAGTTTCATCAATCTCACTTAATTAGAACTAAAGTTATCGTGTCCCAAAGCATCAACCAATCAAATTGCTTATCTCTGCTTACCCTAAGCGGAAAATGCTCATCTTCGAACTCCATCAAGGCATTGACCTAATCAACATATACACCAAGTTTGAACATTCTAGCTCAATTAGGAAGAGAGTTATCGTGCCCCAAAGTTTTAACCAATCAAATTGCTTATCTCTGCTTACCCTAAGCGGAAAATGCTCATCTTCGAACTCCATCAAGGCATTGACCTAATAAACACATACACCAAGTTTGAACATTCTAGCTCAATTAAAAGTTATCGTGTCCCAAAGCATCAACCAATCAAATTGCTTATCTCTGCTTACCCTAAGCGGAAAATGCTCATCTTCGAACTCCATCAAGGCATTGACCTAATCAACACATACACCAAGTTTGAACATTCTAGCCCAATTAGGAAGAGAGTTATCGTGTCCCAAAGCATCAACCAATCAAATTGCTTATCTCTGCTTACCCTAAGCGGAAAATGCTCATCTTCGAACTCCATCAAGGCATTGACCTAATAAACACATACACCAAGTTTGAACATTCTAGCTCAATTAGGAAGAGAGTTATTGTGTCCCAAAAAGTGTGACGGACAGACAGACGGACAGACAGACGGACGGACAGACGGACAGACAGACGGACAGACAGACGGACGAACCCATTTTAATAGTCCCCTGCTTTCTTCGAAAGGCGGGGGACAACAAATGTTGAATTGTGAATGACTTGTAATGTTCAATGACTAGTTATTCTTTAAACCAGTTTCCCGAATTAAATAACAGAAAATTACATCTTGTGAGCTCGTTTCATCTTTTTAGCAGACGAAGCCATTTTTCTCAGCTGCTAGGTGTAGTCGCGATTTATCCAGACATCTTCGTAGTTACTACCGTTTCTTCGAGAATAAGGGCTGGATTCACAAGGCTACGGTATATTTCTGATGTCACGTGGTTAAACACGAGTCACGAGCCCGGCAGTAAAATAAGACGTAAATGAAACGATTTTTACTTTTATGAAGTGACAGAAGTTTTTTTTAAGACATATATATACATTACAATGTTTAATTCAAGTTAAACTACAGAGTAATTTTATAATGGGATACATGAAAGACGGGTTTTCGTTTCGATTAAAATTATGATTCCTAAATGATGAAATGAAAGTAGCGAAATACTAAAATAGACAGTAACAAAACCACGCGATATCATTCAATATTTCCGATTTTTATGAATAAAAAGATGAAATACTTGGATAACTGCAAAATTATTTTGAGTTTGTGTTTAGTATCAGCAAATATCGGCTTTTCCGTCTTTTTCCGTGTGAGATTTCAAATTCCGTTTTGAGTGGACAATTCCGCGATTTCCGCGTTTTTTCCGCGATCACGGAAAATCATCACCCCTACGTTTCTACAATAATAAACAATCTACGCATAATCTTCAAACAGTCATAACTTTGCTCAGAATATAGTAATTTGAATAAAATTTTCAATATATTCATTTTTCATTATCTATTTTTGAACTTTTATAGCAAGAAGGGTTAGCTCTTTATCTAAATCTTACATAATGCATCTTAACACAGTCTTCTTATATCTTTCTATTTGATAGATAATGTCAACAATCAATATTCATTTAAGCAAAAAACATTATTATACAATTGTATAGAGAAATAAATAAAATCAAATTTGATTCATTGTTTCATTGTAAACCAATAAAATGCATTATTTTAAAATAAATTGTGCAATCGTAAGTGTGGTCAAGGGTTATGTATGTATACAACATATTATGTATAATATATGTACAATCTATGTAAAATGAGTATCACCAAAACGTCCACAGTTATATATATTATATATATATAATTAATATCACAGATTATGCCACTGAACAATTATAAAATCTATTGCACAGTTTTATCTTCCACCAGTAATTCTGGAAAAAGTTCTGTAATGAGTATATCCAGTAAGACATATGATAACTGAAATAGATTAGAAAATTCAATGTAATATTTCAAGTCCAAATGCACCCTTTTAGTGCTATAGGAATCACTTGCAGACTACAATATTGTAAAAGATGAATCTCTAATAGAAATATCAGTCAATAAATGCTGCAATAAAGATATGATCACCAGAAATTTTATCAATCTATGCCCGCCACCATTTTGTTGTCCACGAAAATTTATTGGTAGACCTGTTTAAAGCTGATGGAATCCAAGCCAGGACATTATCTAGTGTTAGTATTTTGATTTTGTTTTCTTGATTAAATAATCAATCTGAGTATATATTAGCATGTATTAATCTGTAAGAAATTTGATATTTTAGCAAAAAATGCCATTGACCCATCATTCCCTTAAGGCAGACAAATCCCAATGCTGCGTTTGATAAATCTATACTCAACACTTAGGTTTTGTGTTCAAATGGTGCATATGTTAGTGGTCATGATTACCTAATACATCACTGGTCAGTTTGTAAATAACATTTGATACATTATACATGCTGTGAGAATGAGATGGCAACTAGACGTAAAGAACACCTATAAGTTTTATTTTTCATGGTCAGTAAAGAACATACAGTTTGTAGCCATGATATTTATGAGCGGTAATGGTTATATTTTTAACAATCTACTCAATAAACATCAGACTTACTAAAAGTGAACGAGCAGTGTGTTTCTAGTTTCACTCAACAAGACTTACTGTTTATGGATGAAGCCATGATTCTGACCAGCAATACAGATTATTTATTGATTAACGAACACAGATAACTGGTTCAGAAGTCATTTCAATTCACACTCTTGGCTTTCACAGGCAGTAACAAATACACTGGCAGACTACTCACCAATGTTAAAGCTCGCTTCAGGTAAGTTTTAACTACCTTCTCTTTTAATAAACTCAGTGATGTATTTATTCATATATTTTTTATATACAAAAATTGATGGCTCTGGTTAATCTTGTTTTAAGTTGTAGAAGTAAAATTAAAAACAGAATATGTATAATCATCCTTGTAATATAATTACCTGTTTGTTAAGCTTTGGTTGTTGAAGTATATTTAATACAGATTTCGTTCTTTCTTCGTGTATTTTATTTCCTATGACAGCAACAAAAAATTCTGTAATGAAATAAAGTTGAAATTAAACTTATTGTAACCTGTATTCCTGAAGAATTCAACCACTGAAAACCCTTGACAAAACATATAAAAACCCATGAATAAATATAAATAAGAATTCTAAAGTCTACTTACTTGGTACATAATCTAAACAACCTTGTTCTGTTTCTTCTAACCTTGTTTTCTTCTGATCATCAGTTCTAGATAGATATAGAATAACACATGTATAACACATACATGTACTTATGAAAGAACAATTCCTAATCTATTTTGGCGAGGGTTTGGAAGAGTATTATCTCAACATTTTCAAGCAAGTACAGTGACAAATGTGTAGGGCAATTGGAAAGTATTTTCATACTGATACTCTCTATTTGTCTTTTGTTTAAGATATTTTATTAAATATTATATCACACATAATACATGTTTCCATGTATTAATTCTCAAAATAAAAGTAATTCAAATGGATAACAACATTGAATAGAGATAAAGAAAGGAATTATTAATTACCTTGGAGGATCAGTATCAAAAAATAAAACATCTGAAATTCAAATATGATTAGTCATTAGCAATCATTGTGTACACACATACAAACTCTGGAAATGTAAACTGTCTTTTATCAAAATTATGCATTTTAAATTTTGTAGTAGTAAGGGTGTTCGGTGGTGAAGTGGTCTAATGGTGCACTTTTTTCAAAAGGTAAGTCATTGAGTCCCGTGGCATGATTTCAAGTTTGTACATGACAAGGAGTAAGGTTGTCTGTCCAACTTTGTGGCTTTTCTCTAGGTACTCTGGGATTACTCCCAATGATGAAGCCCCCTATGTACATGGAAATTATTGCATTAAATGCTCTATATGTTAGTCTCAAAATGACATAAATTGTGTTGAGTGGACTCTCCTCCCTCTCTCAATTTTGTTTGGTTAGTGTTGCCTTAGTTAACTCTGGCCAATGGTCCAATGGTTTGATAGTTAAGATGTCACAGAGCTTTTGCACAAGGCTCACTTTTTTTGGAAACCAAACGAACACTTGGCAGATCTGGTTGGCATTTTGTGAATTCACATTTTACTCTTTTGAGATATTTTATTCTCTGTTATATGCACTGTTTTAACTGTTGTTATATCTATGTTTTGTTGAACAGTTGTCCTGCATTGTCTACAAGAGCTTAACAACTTTAAACCACAATTTAATATGCTGATCATTTTTAAGTTAAAGAGTATAGCCTACCTCGTAATAGATGTATAATGCTGACTAGTCTATGTTCCTGAGTAACTTGACTAACTTTATAATTTATATACCAATTTATAAAGGATTCTAGAGTTTCTTTAAATAATATTCGTAATGTCATCAATAAACTATAAAACCATTTTGGTACATTATATACAAGTGATGCTGAAAAACAAATCAAAACAATCAAATAAAACTAAGATAAAAATATTAACAGGACGATTCCATTCACAAACAATTTGTGAATAACAAAAAAATTTAGACACAATCTTGAGATTAGTTATTGGTCATAGTAGATGTCTGTGTAATAGTGGTTAACACTGTTGTATTTAAAGGATTCACAATATAAAATTGATAACTTCTCTGATAGGCATTAGTAATTGAACATATTAACACAATGTACAATTTTATTGATCCATGACATATTTGTATCAATGGCTTGATGAAGATGAGAGTATCCTCGCCGAAACGTTGCATAGTAATAAATCCAGTAACTGCCTTTCCATAAAACTGTACCTTGTAAAATTTAGAGTTAAAAATTTTAAATTTCAATTATATCTGATCTCTGCAATCAAAATAGAATTTTTCAAAATCGTACCAATATATACAAGAGAATCGAAAACGCCCTCCACTTCCAGAATTCCAGCTGGTGGTCGATCTGATGTTTTCTTCGGATGAAATCCACAATCAGCATTGTTTCCAAATAAATTACTGCTAAGCTAATAAAAGTAACAAGTCATTTAAAACAGAATATAATCAATTGATGAATCCGCAATTGATTTAGCTCAATTTAAGATACATTATGGGAGATTTTTATAGAGAGTTGGCCATTCTTGCTATAACAGTTCAAAAGTAGATGATGAAAGAAGAATATATTGAAAAATTCAGTCAAATTACTTTATTCTGAACATAGTTATCATCGTTGTAATATTTGACTAACAAGAGCATCGCTAACGCAGCAATATACGTCCACATTCCTGTTTTGTTTGATATGGTCCAGTTTGCATTGAGGGTCTGTGAAATAAAACTGGGTTGTAGGACTGCTATCAGTATAACATTTCGTTCACATTAACAGAACACAATTTTTATTTTAAAACAATCGATGTCTTTATTCTAAAAGCATGACGTTTTTTTTTTGTTTTTTTTTGCTTGATTGATAACGATAAGAGAATACTTGTGGAAACGTCGTGCTTTTAGAATAAACTAGTGATTGTATCCCATAAAAACTGTGTTCTGTTAATTTGTTCCCTGATCGCTAAATGCCACTTAAAGAATAACTAGAAATGGGCGTGGCTCTGCCCCTGGGGGTCGGGCATGCACCAAAAACAATAGGGATCTTCCTTGGGGTATAAGGAATAAGTATACCAAGTTTGAAGAAAATCCAGTAAGAATTGCGCCCTGTAGGCGACACAAAGACACACGAAAAGAAAATGGGCGTGGCTCTGCCCCTGGGGGTTGGGCATGCACCCCAAACGATAGGGATGTTCCTTAGGGTACAAAGAATGTGTATGCAAAGTTTCAAGATTATTAGTTAAGAAATGTGGCCTGTAGACGACAAACAAACAAATACTAGAAATGGGCGTGGCTCTGCCCCGGGGGGTCGGGCATGCACCAAAAACAATAGGGATCTTCCTTGGGGTATAAGGAATAAGTATACCAAGTTTGAAGAAAATCCATGAAGAATTGCGCCCTGTAGGCGAACCACAGACACACACACACACATACATACATACACACACACACACACACAGACAGGGGCGACGGCATAATACGTTCACATTATGAATGTGGACGTATAAAAATGGTAGCGAATTGCCTCTTCACCTTCGCCGATTGTTTGATTGACAGGCGTTAACTCCACCTACATATCTCGATTATCTAGTAAAGTTTTCAATGGCATACGGAAACGCTTTACAGCGGCCCTGCTAAGTACACTCTATCATTTAGCCTCGATCTAACTGACGTATTTTCATCAGGTTACTCCTTATTTGATTTAATCAATTAGTGAAATCCTATTTAAATCCGAGCTGTAGCCGAGCCATCCGTGGGTCTACAGAGTTGATTTTGGTCTTGTTGTTTAAATAAAGATCTAATTTATAATTTCTATAACATCTGAAGCCTAAATTAAGACTTGCAATAATCAGATTTAGCTCTTGCATAATGCATGTTTAAGTAAAGAAAAGTATGTTTTGTTTCATAGTCGCTACACTAGCATTTCGTAATGAAAAATTTCAATGTATAAAGCTTGAAACATCACTAATTAATAGAACACATTTAATCAATTGAAATTTACACTTAAATTTGACCTAAATAAAAGAGGTTTAGCCCGTTTATGTTAAGAAATAATATATTTTTTGTGAATAAGACCCCCTGCAGTCATGTGTTCTAATATTCATAATGACAATGTTTCTAATTGAATTAATAGAGATTTTTTCTACTTGAATGTGAAGTGGATTTAAGATATAAAGTAGGAAATACCCTTTCACTGCCTGTTGATCTCTGAGACGCATCTGATCCTCGTCTTTCAGGAATACTATAACGAAACAAGTTCAAGAATTTAAATATGGACAATTTAAAATTCATTTTGAAAATATGTAAACCAGAATGAGAAATATACTCGAGGTAAACGATTTCTACAAATAGATCAACCTAATTTTTTAAATTTTCTTTTCTACAACTATGCAGAAAATCAAAACCTATGCCCCAATTCTATTGTCCAAAAACAACCCAGACCCAATATTGATTCAAGGTAAAAACATTAAACAATTAAGCACACCTTTAGTTCTATATAATTTAAAATGTCTCACCTGGATCGAGGTTTTGGAGCTTCTGTTGATATTGAAAAAGCTTGAAGGAAAGGATCTAAATGTTGACCTTTCTGTAATTAACAAACAGTGATTTTATTTTCTTGTTGAAATCTGACCTCAGCATACATTTACTTCTACAGTTAGTTTACATAATATAATCATGAATGGTACCAAATCAATAACATGACCTAGTTTTCTATGTTAAACATGTTTCATTTTAAATCTATTTTCTATACATTTTTTTTTAAAAAAAAGAAGATATTCTGAAAGAACAAAATTCTTACAGCTTATCATCAATTTAATTTATATTTTGTATCATACACTAAAGAAATTAATGCTTAAATTTTATAAATGCTAAAAATATATTTAAAGTGGCATTATGTTAGATTAGTTAAAGAGGTGACAGTTCTCACTATAAAGTATAATAGTAAAAAAAATAGATAATGAAAAGGGAACATATTGAAAATTTCCATCAAATTATTTCACTGTGAGCCGAGGCGATACAATTACAGTGTAGCTTTGATTGTCATTGCTATACCATTGTTACGATAATAAAGAAAGTCTCGATTATCCATTTTTATGTTAAATCATCAACCGCTAAACGTATTTTAATCTGCTTAAAGTCAGAGTTATCCAATGGCACCAAGAGTTGATTATGGTCTTGGTAAGTTAATTAATGTCTAATTAATAATTTATATTAGGCAGAGTTAGCTCTAGCATAATGCCTGTTTAAAAAAGAAATGTTTAATTATTGATTTATACTAGGTCAAATTATTTTATTCCAATAAAATATCACAAATAGATTTTACTTTACAATTATCTCATGAATTGATATTTCTGTCTATTAAAATGGGCTGTCAAATGAATTTTTAGAAAAAGGTAACAATACTTACCTCTTTTACTAGTTTCATTGGCATAGATTTCACAAACTTTCCTATGGTAAAACAAATATTCACATATAATGTTTTGACTTTTCTATCATAATTAAAGCCTCTAAGAGGTTAAGATGAACTTATAACAAAGGCAAATAATTTTCTTATTGTTGATCAATAGGATGGATAAACAAACAATATAAATTTCTGAAGAATAGGTTAAATAATTGCAGCCTATAAATTTCTATCAAGATTTAGTAACAAAGGGATATAACTATTGTGGTGATTACTAAAAACATTGGAAATCTACAGCTAGGCTTCTTCGTTTCAATAAGATAGACAAGCCATATTAATTTCAAATAGATATATGGATTATTGTGGGATCTAGTGTACTAAGAAAAATGTAAATGGCAGGTTGTTTATTTAGATCAGATTCAGTGTTCATTGTGACAACAGTTATTTTGGTAGAAGATCAACTTACCTATACCTATATCAGGTAAAAGATTAGCATTTAAACTCCAACTTACCTATATTTGTATCAGGTAAAAAGCTAGTATTAAATTCCAACTTACCTATATTTATATCAAGTAAAAAGCTAGTATTAAATTCCAACTTACCTATAATTTATATCAGGTAAAAATCTAGTATTAAACACCAACTTACCTATATTTATATCAGGTAAAAAGCTAGTATTAAACTCGCTCTGTGATGTTAAAAAACTATATAATAATTCACTACCCTTCAGATTAGGTTTGGTTAATAATTTCTGAAAAATTACATTAGAGCAAGAATAACCTAATATCTCAAATTTAATGAAAAGAAATGGAGTTTATCGTCCTACTATTCTGCTCCGATTGAGATAATAAAGCCGGGCGTACATCATACAGTGTGCTATGCAGGCAAATTTGCATGGACAGTGGCTCTACGGCCTACTCTTATATCCAATTCCAACTGTCAAGGAATCTTTTTTGTGCATGACGTGTCCCATCCGAACAACTAGACACTGTCCTTGCCAGACCCTCAAACCTGTACCACTGACAAGGGCAAACCGCACCAGAAAATCATGAGGAATTTTCTTGGCTAACACCGGGAGCGAACCAGAGACCTCCTGGTTAGCGAGTCATGTGTCTTTATATCAAAGAAATCATTGTAAGCAAAGTCTATAATTCACAGAAATTGTCTAAGGTGACATGTTGAGGGAGAAAGTTAATTATGTATGTTTTATTTTATTTCTTTTCAGTGACAACACCACCGGTACTCACTTGAAGGTACAGTTCAAATACTTCCTTTTTCCCTTCAATAAAATCCTGATTCTTGGTACCAAATGATTTTCTAGCTGGTAATAGACAATCTGTGAATTCTCCTGAAATATTCATACATTTTACATTAATATCAATTACAAGAAATTAAATACAATGCTTCAGGTAGCTAACAAGAAATACTAAAAATAAATATTTTTTGCTAATGCTGTATATACTCTTCAAAAATAGTAGGGGATATTGAAATGCAAGTACCTATGCAGGTTGTGATATGATAAATAGTCATGGACGCTTGACATGCTTTGAGAGTATGTTCACAGATGAAGAACTTATCGCCCCAACAGAACCACTGAGCTGCACATGCGACACGCAATATCGCCATACACATGGGAGGGGTTCATTGTCAAATTTGACACTTCAAGGAAGGATTGATGAAAACTGCCGCGTGCTGGTTTATCCTATCCATGTTTGCTTTCCAATTGGTTCTTGCATAAAATTTACTGTTTAGCATATCTTTGTTTTAGTGTGTTACGTTTAATTTGCAGAGACGTCTTCAACATGATGAATGTCTACATGCTATTGTCATGCTTCAAATGGGTTCTACACAGCGAGAAGTAGCCAACATGCTTAATGTGTCACTGTCTGTGATCTGCAAACTGTGGAACCGGTACCAACAAACACACAATGCTGATGATAGACCTCGTTCAGGTTGTCCTTGAGCCACTACACAAGCCCAGAATCGATACATTCGTACACAGGTCCTGCGAAATCGAGGACAAATGGCCAATCAGCTTTCTGTAAACTTGTACCAAGTTACAGGAATTCGAGTTACACCCTATCGGCTACAAGCAGTCCATTTGCATGCGGTTGTGCCTCTATTAACTCGCCAGCACATGGCAAACAGGCGTCAATGGTATAGGCAGCGTAGAAATTAGGGTAATTGTCTAAGGGCGCGTATAATGTTCTCAGATGAGTCCAGATTTACTCTGGATTTCACCGAAGGCGTGCTCGCGCTTGGAGGCGTGTAAATAAGCATCATGCTAACGTTAATGTCAGACAGCATGATAGATTAGGACGTGGGTCTGTTATGGAGTAGGGAGAAATCACCATGACAGGCAGAACGGACTTGCATATTGTTCAAGGAAGGGTCACTGGTGTGTACTACCGTGACCACATCCTGGCACCAATAGTTCTGCCCTTTGCTCAACGTGCAGGTCGACGTTTCATCTCTCAAGATGATGATGCTTGTGCCCACCGCGCTCATGTCGTGAATGACTACCTCCAGCGTCACCATATTGTCCATATGCCTTGGCCAGCCATGAGCCCTGACCTTTCCTCTTTAGAGCATGTCTGGGACATGATCGGGAGACGTGTTCGTTGACGTTAACGTCAACCAACAACACTGCAAGAATTGGCCGTGGCACTGGAAGGGGAGTGGGTCTGATTGCCCCAAATCACCAAATCAGGATTGGACGGTTGATTAGGAACATGCCACGACGAATTGCTGAATGTCTGAGGATTGGTGGAGCAATTACTCATTATTAAGACAAAAATCAAAAACGTACATTTTCACTTTTGACAGTGTAACTCTTTGCGAGTGAAATGGAGACGTCAGATAAGCCACCCATATTAACTGTGTATGTTCATGTGTAGACAATTTGTCTGTTATTAACATACATTGGTTACCTCTAATAAAAACAGCAGTACATTTCTGCAGTTTTGTATTGTTTCTGAATATCCTCTACTTTTTTGAAGAGTATAAACATCTAATACTAGAATAAGTATTACATGATTACAAAATTAATGAGTACTGTGGTTAGTCCCATTTAAAGGAGCTAATTGCTAAACCTTCTTAATTAAAGGAGCTAAATCGCTAATATTTAGGACCTAGAAATTGACACAAATGGGTTGCAATGCATATAATAATGTAATATGAATGGTGTACCAATGGTAAAATGTTACCATACTTTCCCGGTAAGATCACAACATCAATGTTGATTTAAATTGACAAATAATTTGTCTTTTCAATGTCGAAGAATTTGGATGATATTGAGTTAGAGACTTAGCTACTTTAAGGTCAAAATAAAGTATTCAATTGAACTTATCTGATAGTGTTCTGTGTTTGATCAATTGTGTGAGTGGCTTGATAATTGAGATGATCATAATACACGCATACCACTATAACTTGGGAAAGTTAGCACAGATAACTATCCAGGCACTTGGGAATACAGTGGAATTTGGGGACCTACTGCCAACCACCTTTTTTTTTAAGAATGACTGATATATAAATGAAAAATACATCATCTTAATTTATAGTTAACTATAAACTCATTTCTTTACAATAAAATATAATATTTACCATGAAACTCTGTTAATTTTTGTTCAAGAACGTAAAATTCGCCATATTTTCTGAAACAGATAACACCAATACATATTAATATTAAGTGAATACAAATGAACATAACCAATAACATGTAAAGATAATAAGTTTAGTTTATACTCATTAATATTCATGCTCACCTTGCTACTGTCCAGTTCGCTTTCTCTGCTTCACCTGAAAATAAACCATAACTGTTGTCACATAAATCAAGACACACTTTTATCATTATGATTATTATGAATAGTTTATGTAAAATACTAGCTAACTTATCCAGTGTTACATGGGTGAGTGTCTTGTGTAGTTTTGATTTTGAGTAAAGACTTTGCCAGGAAAATAAAGAGTATTCCTTAAGTAATGGGCCAGTCTATAAAAGTCGGGATGTTCCAGAATGTTTAATTCATCTCTTGCTATATATTTTAAAAATATATAAATACAGTGAAAGTTTGTTTGTTTGTGTTGACATTTCAGTGGGTTTTTTTTGTAAAGGTTGTTGTAGTGTTATCTTGCATCATCGTTTCACATCATCAGTTATCAATTTCCATGTAGATCAGATAACATACCACATTGTAAATGAAGACCAGCTGTAGCCAGGCAGATACGCCCACATTTTGCAAGAAATGGATTGAGAACAAGCTAAACAACCGGCGGCTGGCAGGCAGGATACGCCCACATTTTGCAAGAGTTGGATAGAGAACAAGCTAAAAACAAATGCGATTTTTTGTACAATCAGGGGCAATATTCAAGAAAGTTATGGTCTGAAATGTGCAAATATCAAAAGAGACTATGATCTTTGGGATATAAAGATATGTTTTATATTTCATCAAAATCGGATAAAAATTGTGACCTCTAGAGGGTCCACAACCTTCGTATTACATACATTTACACAATTTGTGTACAAAGAGCAGCCATTTTGTTGGGCAGTTTCATTTCAACTTTCCCAAAATTTGAATTCAGCCTTCATTATGGTGGAATGGTGATATATATTTAAACGGTTTTTAAAAACGGAAAAAAAAATTAGGACCTTTAGAGAATCCGCATGCTAAAAATGCGATTTACAAACAATCAGGGGCCATAATCCAGGCAGTTACATTTGGATATGCGCGATTATCAAAAGGAATCAAGATCTTGGTGTGTAACGGTGATATATTCACACGTTTTTTTTTTAATCGGAAAAAAATTGTGATCTCTAAAGGGACCACAAGCCCAAAAACTTGATTTTTTGTACAATCAAGGACCATAATTCAGGAAGTTACGATCCGATATGTGCGAATATTGAAAGGAACCAAGATCTTTGGGTTATAAACATGCATTTCAAGTTTCAATCAAAATTGGATCAAAATTGTGACCTCTAGAGGGTCCACAACCTTGATATACCAGATGTTTACTTGTGTACGAGGGGCTGCCATTTTGTCCAACAGATTTGGTCAGATTTTCACGGAATTCGAACTCAACCAAAATTATGGTGTAATGGTGATATATTCTAACGTTGTTTTTAAATCAGATAATAATTGTGACCTCTAGAAGGACCACAAGCTAAAAACGTGATTTTTCGTACAATCCGGGGCCATAATTAAGGAAATTAAGATCCGATATGAGCAAATATCGAAAGGAACCAAGATCTTTTGGTTATAAACATGTATTTCAAGTTTCATCAAAATCAGATGAAAATTGAGACCTGTAGAGTGTTCATAATCCATAAAGTTATAGCCCGATTTATGCCAATTTCGAAAGGAACCGAGAGATAGACATATATTTTAAGTTTCGTCAAAATCAAATAAAAATTGTAACCTGTAGAGTGTCCACAAACAAATTGTGGACGGAAGGATGAACAGGGGTGACGACAATATACGTCCACATGAAAATGTGGGCGTATAAAAATGATAAATGTAAATCTAAGATTAAACTGTGTCTATGAAAATTAGGTACAGCTTACCATCAGGAACATCTGCTCGACCAATTTCTATAATAAATACAAAATACTGTCTCTTCATATTTTCAGGATCTGGTCTAGCGCCAATCATTGGAATGGTAACTCTCCAAGTGCTGAGATCATGTTTAGGATGACCTTTATCAATGATGTCATCATCTAAATCTTCATCATTATGAACAGAAGACTGAAAATTATAAATAAGATTAATTTAAATTTAGTTTAAATTTCTTTTAAATGGTCATTTTAATTATTTTCTCTAAAGGGAGATGATGCAGGTATACTAATATTTATACCGTTACTAGGGTGTCCCATCATGAATAAATATCTCCAAATATCTCGACAATCATACCATGAGTGCAAAATAGGCTACGTACCCTTGGTTTGAAATTAGTCATGCTAAAGCAGTCTACCGAACGTTCTCCAGCTGATTGACAGGCTAGGATAACCAAGACTATTTTCTACGAAACATGACACAAAGCTAGATCAATAAATTTAATTTAGTAACTCAGTAGTTAGGCAACTCAACAATCGTTCTGAGAACCTTGTCAAAACAAAAGGAAAATACTACTAGTAACAAAGAAGTTTCATAGATATTAATTGTACTAAACCAAAAGATGCTGCTCCTAACAGTATACTTGATGATAAGGCAAATTAAAAAACAAAATGAACGTAATTTCTAAAGCTGCTGTAGAAACCAAAAAGCTAAATATTACTGTTATACAGAATCGTTAACAATATATTTTTTACGGCTTTAATAGTTGAAATCCTATTATAATTTACTGCGGTTTATGTAGTGGTCGGTGGTCTGTAATTACTTGGCAACTTGACATTATAGGGTGAACATTTGCTGCCGTGAGTTCAACTTTCAACAGAGTGAATTTTGACTGTGTGGGACACATTACCATTACAAGGTCTTAACATTTTAATGGTTGGGGAGACCTAAAATGATTCACATTTTTAAAACTTGCCAACTGCATGTCGGCGGTGCATGTAACTTCAATGGGTATGTCATAAAATGTATGCTGTTGTGTTGTTTCAATAGGTCACCTACCAGATCAAACATTTCCAGCTTTCAAACATAATGATAGCAAACCATAATTGCCAACTGAACCTATTTATTTCAATCATATTCTAAAATCCATTAGAAATTGAGTACAATGTGATCATTTTATAGAAATTACTTAGTAATGTCCCTTTAAATTCAATATATATCACTAAATTTTACTGAAATATGTGCAGTTGGCATAGCTTATAAAATCAATTAAAACAAATTACCCATTGTAAAAACTTACAGAATTAGTTGGAAGTGCAAGATCTGTATCACTAAATTCTAAACCATGCAATTTCTCTTCACCTACAGAAAATATCATACATTTCAATAATTCAGCTAATTTATTATATTTCATTCATTAATTAAATACCGCAATCAAATTCAACAGGGGATGAAAATTACACAATGGTTACAGAGATCTGGATCTGTATGTTTGGTTCTTTTTGAGACTTTAAATAAGAAACATTCCTGTATTCAAGTCCAACAAGTCAGTAGACGCAGATCAAGGGACAGGTTGGTCGAAAGACACTGACAATTTACTGCAAAATATTTGAATGAATCCTGAAATGTGGCATAGGCTCATTTATCAAGTACACAACCCTGATAAATGATACTGACAATCATAAATGATACTGGGTAATCACACTACATGATGAGATAAATGTAGTGCCTTGAGTTGAAATGCAATGTCTGTGAGAATACATTTAACCCAGTAGCGATCCTCTGACAAAATAAAAAGACAAAAATAAAAAAAAACTCCCACATCAGAATTTTAGTAAAGGTTGTCTGAGAACCAGAATATTTCTTTGTATGGCCTTATCTGTAAAGATTTACATAAGGTAATACATGTAGTTTAATATTTACCTGTGTTGGCCTTAAACACACCCTTTAATTTACTACCTAGATTAGATAATACATCTTTCTTTTTCGCTAATCTGAAAATATCGAAAAATAGACTAAAATATAAAATATTAATCTGTAATAACATTTCCTATTTTTCATATTAAGGATCTAATTGTGATTTTAAAACAGTATTTAATAATGAATAAAAATGACAAAAATCTAAATGTTTTATTGCTACTAGTATACAGCAGTTATTTGATCAAATTCAATACAGATTGTATCGTATTGTATCAACAAAAACATGATTTAAGTAAAGCTCTATTATGCATTATAATTTAACAAGCTTCAAACTATTCACTTAAATTTTCCCAACTTGATAAATAATCACTTACAAAATTCTGAAAGTAAATAAAGATACTAAAAACTAAAAAAAAATTGTTAAAAAGCTTTAATGTTTGTAGTAAATTAAAGATTTTAATTGCACAGACTATTAAACTGACAGATTTAAAAATAAAAATGAAAAAAGAACTTCAGCAAAGAATCTGATTGATAATAACAATGTGCCCCTTTCAGTTCCATTTTCTTTGTCTTTGAAATAAATTAAGAAAGTCAAATGAACTGACATACTAATTAATCATGCAATTCACATGAATTTTTATCAAAGTGATAACAAACCAGACAAAATAATTGTTTTATAAATCAAAAGTATGATTACTTAAAGGGCATATGCTATATTAGACCAACCATTTGTAGGTTTCAGATATGGCAACCGCATGTAAGGACTAGTTTGGGGAGTTAGATTTTCACAGTGTTTGAATATAAGTAGAGATAATTGATCAAAGTAGAGATAATTGATCAAGTGAATTGGATGTAAATTGTAGACACTAATATGTTGATTACATATTTGGACAATTATGTCTAGATCAAGGATAATAACTGAGTACCGGTAAACAAATGTTGAATAAATATCTAATTCAAACTCATGGATATAATAACACATACCATGTTTCGACATGAACAGACTGAGGGGCATGGGTGACAATATTGTGGCATCGATTGATATGGACAATTTTGGGACCCAAAATTAGTTTTCTGGTACTTGTTCTGGAAATTGTTTTTAGACTTTATACTTGATTTTTATTCTGTCTCTTTCAAACCATCAATTTTATAGGGAAAGTGCTTCAAACTTATTACATGGCACAGTTCAATAGGATAACCCAGTAACATCCCACACAAACACAGAGCTCAAAGTAGTTCCCTTGATATTCAAAAAATGACACTTAGTTATTGACCCCCATTTTGGCATGTTTTGACTAAATTAAAACAAAAAATTATAAAAAAATAATCACAGCAATTTGATTAAAACAATATGGTAAAACTAGATGACATATTGCTACTTTATTAACACCTATGTAAAAAGAAGAAGACATGGAGAGTAGTTTGTTAGGCCCCTTAATACACCAACCAGCAGGATGTCGCATATGCTAATTCTAAGATCATTGTCAATAAATCCTGCAGTGCAAATATTTTTAAAAATCCACCATGAATCACAATTTTTTTTTTTTAAACGGTGGAACAAGTATTTGCAAATCAAATCAAAAACTCTTGATTAAATTTTTCCTCATTTTCACAAGATTTCTAAGGTTCATAAATAAATGGGGAGATAACTGATTAGATTTTTACTCATTTTCACAAGATTTCAAAGGTTCATAAATAAATGGGAAGATAACTGTTGAATTTTGAAGCATCTGTGCAAATTTTTAAAAAATCAGATGAGAAACTCTGACTTAAAGACAAACTGAAGCATGATGGCGATGACAATATACACCCACATTAAAACTATTTCACATACTGCTAACTGATAAAATAAGACCTACACATTGATAAAAAGAATAAAAATTAAAGAGTACATAAATGTTTATATCAAAATAGTGTGTACTTGAAACCACTATTTATTATCAACACTTTAGCCAATTACACACCAATCTGATTAAAATTATTCGATATATGACCATTTGTATGTTAGACCCTCTAAAACACTTCCCAATTTTTCTATCACAGCCTTAATCCAGTGAATTGGCGAGTGATGTCACAAGGACTACACACCTTTTCACTGTATACTCAAGTTGATGTGGATTGACAGCGCGCTTCAATTAACAAGCTGGCTGTAGTAATCGTTACCTAAGTTATAATAAATTCTATATACGGTAGCAGCATTGTTAATGACGGGCCTTTCTTGACTGGTATTGTTATGCATTATAACTCGTGATTGGATTATAATATTTTAGAGTAAATTCAGGCAAGTAGCCAGCCTAAAAATGTTGGTGGGGGGGGGGGGAGCAAGGGTAGCTGACTTCCCTTGCTCCCCCCCCCCCTCTCTCTACGGGCCTGAAATTCTGAAATTAGCTAATGCCACATTATCTTTAATTGTATGACTGCAAATTATTTGATAAACACCATGTAAATTCAAAGTTAATATAAAGTGATAAAATAAAATGGCATGGCAATTCAATTCACAAAGTCTGTTTTAAAAACCTTGTGTTTTTTCTGCAACATTAAACCTTATTTTAATCCAGTCGTGTGACGGAGATCACAAAATACATGTACAGATGTCCTGGCTTTTATGATGATCAAGAAACTCAACTTGGTTACCCAATCAATAATCTTTATCTCCCGACTAATAAGGTGATAATTAATTGGTGAGATTAACAGAGTGCTATTTGCATTTTGATTTGTTCTAAATTATAACATGAAATACCAATGAAACATAACAATCATTTATCTTGACAAATCTTGTCTGAATTGAAAACTACTATAACAGGATCACTCTAAATATTCTTAATGACCAATAACATAAATAATGCAAATGTTGAAGAACTAAACTTATATGATTATTAATTGAAACCAGTTTGTTTTGTAAAAGCTGACATAATCAATTATTTATATTAGCTTCATTGATGTTCATATATTAGCGGTGTCAATAACAATTTCATACACATCTTGTTTTAATTGGAAGCCTTTTATTGTATTAGTATTGTTGGCTTACTCCAATATATTCTGATCAAAATGATACAGGAATATGGCTACAGCAACTGTTTTGGTTATGGCATTTATAAAACAAATTCTAAAAAGTTAAATTACTCTTTTAAGCTATGCTAATTTGTCCTGCTCAAATTTCATATATTATAAAAAAAAGATTAAGGAATCAGTCAGGCGTTAATGAGTACACATCCAGGCTGTGTGTATGGTCATTATGGAATTAAAATTTCTTATATCAATTTGGTCACTGCGATGTCACTGGCGTTTAAGGGGTTTAAAAGTGTTTTCGATAATTGCCAAAGTCATTTTTACGGGAGGTCTACAACTTTGAGTGAAGATGGCTCAATTAATTCTAACCAGATTGGTGTGAACTTGATGTAATGTGTATATAGTAACCACTTGCTATATGTACATTAAATTTTGTTATGCCATTGTATGTGCTCTTTAAACTATAAGAGAAATGTGACTAAATGAAGCAAAACAAAACATGATTATTTTGACATATTCACTTTTAATCCTACCTAGTACTGTTTAGTCTTTGTCCAACTAAGTGACTGATGAAAGTAATATTATTTAATACATAATTACATTTAATAAAACATTACAAAGCAAACCACTTCTTTTACTTATTCATATGTGATCTAATTTTTAAAGCAACAGTGTATGATTAATAATAACAATATGTACATGTATATATTAGTACTCCATGCATTGAGGCATGTTCATAGGGCACACACTTTAAACATTTTAAGAAGTCCTGAAAACATTTCTCAAATATAAAAGTTTTACGTCTTGCTGATTTATCTATTAATTTTAAATAACAGTGTATCAAGATACTGTAAATGGTTGATTGATGATCAAGATAATAAAAATCTATGTTATGGGATTGGAAATTTTTCAGAAAATTATAAATCTTTCAATTTACATTGAAACTTTTAATTTCACTGATATGTAATTTAAAGAGGAATTAGAACTTTGAATATGACCATTCACTTATATCATAGGTGTTCAGATTAGGTTGCATGAAAAATGTGACACAAATCTGCCAATCCATTGCAAAGATGGAGATGAGTCATTCATAACATAGGCTATAGAGGTCTTCAAATGTTCAGCGTATACTTGAGATCTAAGTAGGCTAGTTCTTGGTTATTGAGTAATTAGCTGAGTTTTGACTAGACTAATTTTGAACATAAAATTACATTAATTTGAACGGTGAAAGTTTTAACGCCTCTGTAATTATCATGCAGTAAACAGGGAGTCTAGAAAGGAAATTGCTTTAACATCATGCTATATTAGTTGTTTACGATGCACATAACATGTTTTCATTCAGCCATTTGAAAAATTATTCACAAATCAAATCTACAACAAAATGTAATATAGTTTTTACCTTGATGAGTTTCTAGAAGACTGGGAGCCAGATCTATCACCACATAACATAGTATAATACTATAAATACATGTAATATATTATACAAACAGGTTTAACACAATTTTTATATATCAAATGAAATTAAATGAGGTATAACATCCTACCTTGCTACATCGACTGGGCTATTGAAGACAGGCAGACGCTATACAATGTGAAGGGAAATTTTGCATGGACAGCCCACTCATTTCGAATTCAAACTGTCTAGAGTCCATTTACTTGCATGCCAACTTGTACAAGGGACCTTAGTTTTTGGTACCATCCAAACAACTAGACACTGTCCTGCACCACTGACAAATATGACAATTCACACCTTGTGATTTGATACAATATATTACTGAACGGTTAATCCCAAAACATTAATATAGAATACTTACATCATCACTTTGATGAAAGAGAGGAAGAAAGGTGTTCTCTAATAAATCATAGGCATGTTCATAAGCCCTAAAAAATAATATTATATAAAACAATATTTCGATAAACATAATATACAGTTACGAGATAAGTTCCTGTTTTGCATTTAGAGGGGAGTTATTGTGCAACAGACATATCACAAGTTCATTAGGTACCCCAGTCATGTTAGCCCTGAAACATATCTTTAAACGAATATTCTCCATTAGTATTTTGAGGAATTATCTAGTTTGTATGTATTTATAACTATAATAAATTTTGCAAGTTAATGCAGCTTGACTATGTGACTGGACAAGATTTGTTATAACAGGTTGAGTTTGCTTTAAACTTTATGTCCCTAATTAAAGTGATTTTTAGTGTTTATAAATTATGATCTACTTTTAGCTATTTATGGTTATCCATTGTTACGAATGTCATAAATAAAGATTTCCCAAGATTTTATGAAGTGTATTATTTGTATCCTAACATCGATGTTAAGAAATTATAGAAGAGTCACTGCCCAATAGATATTGAATATCAGTCAATCAGAAACTTTAGATTTGAAATACAATGTACATGGATGGCTTTATCAAAATTTTTGTGTAATGGCTGCCAATTGTTTATTCTTCTTCTTCAAAGTCCAAGGCAATGATTAATATTAAATATCAATTCTCTAATTTCTGGCATAATTCTTGTAAAATGGTGTTTAGCCACTAGGTATAAAAGTTAAATAAAAGCATGGATTTATCTCTACTACTTACTGAAACATGGTAAATGATGTTCGAAGACGTACAATCTGTTCTGGAGGACTATTAATAACTGTGATATATAGAACATGTAGAATATAATTATCATTTAAAAAAATAGTCATCCACCATGACTTAAAACAAAAACAAATATTCTTGTTTTCTATGATGGTTTTACATTTAATGATACAATCCAATCATATTCCCCATTAGAATTAGTTGATAAATCTCTTCTGTTTTTTTTATACGAATTTACAATTCTGTTATTTTAAAATGAATTGAAAGAGAGAAAAGAATTTGTCGCCATGATTCAACCAACTATTATATATGAGCAGTACATGAATACTGTGGATTTACTCAAAATATGGATAAAAGTTAGGTGTTGTATAGGCATATTGACAGATCACATGCTGGTTTGAACATTCAAAATTAGAAAAATATAAGATTACCATCACTCAATTCATTTATTATCTTCTCACTAAAATTGATTCTATCAAGGGCATTCGGATCACAATAACTCTTATATAAATCTTTAGCCATACTATGTAATTCGACAAATTCACTCTGTGATACATCGGGACTAAGAATTCTTTTATTAAAATCCTCTACAAATAGAAAATTAACATTAGCATGAATAAAGATATATATATATAAAAAACACTATTACTTGACAAAAACTTCTGTAAATTAACATTTTGTTTCAAATTTTAGCATATGTATACCTAAAAGAGCAAAAGTTCATGCAAACATTTTGGAACCTAACGTTGTTTAGTAAAATTTGAATATTGCACACTATCTAGAGTAAAACAAGGTTTATAAAGTTTTCAAATTGACCTATTCCTATATTCTTACTAAAGAATACATAGATGAAATGTAATTAGTTCAAACTTTAGTATAAGTAAATAATATAAAGAGTACATTACCACATGATAGACAGAACTGCAGAACATTAACAGCTGCTTCTTTCTTTAAAAACTGCATGAATGAGTACAATAACACCGGTTGTTCAAGTATATCTTTTAATTCTAATCTCAGACACTACAAAAACAATGTTAAAAATCTAACATGTAACATCCAATACCCATATAAAACAGGTAAATGTAACATCTATTATCCATATAACACAGAAAAATGTAACATCTATTACCTATATAACACAGATAAGTGTAACATCTATTACCCATATAACACAGATACCCATGTAACATATATTACCCATATAACACAGATGAATCCACAAATCTATTTCAAAAGGGTATGCACATCTATTATCTATTCCCAATAAATGGAAAAAAAAGACACCTTTTTTTATTTTGAAATACAGTAGAATCTGCATTAAGCAGCCACCCAAGGGAATTTTCACAACTGACCGCTTAACGGGAGTGGCCTCTTAATAAAATCTCGTTGCTTTTTGTGCTGACATAAATTAAATATTACGCTTGGATGCATTGGAAGCGGTAAATTTGGTCGTGGCTGAATCTTGCGCCGAACGAAAATTGTGCTGACAAATTAAATATTACGCTTGAATGCATTGAAAGCGGTAAATTTGACCGTCGCTGAATCTTGCACCGAACGAAAATTCTTTACTCAAATCTCGGACATAACTTCTGTAAACTTGTCATTTTGTACCAACCTTCGATACTACTGTCTACCATTGTGATGCATTCGATAATATTTATCCATTTTTGTGAAGAAAATCGATGAATTAATTTTATTTTATCAAAAAAGCACATGAACAAAAAAACATCGCTAATTTTATCACCTATTTACAGGGGGTGTAACTCTGTATGTAATATTATAGGAGGCGCTAAGAGAGATACTAGATGATAGTGACAAAACTCGGTACTTTTATTTTATTTAATCAGGATCAAATAATGTGTCGTTACGTGTGAAAACAATGATCAGGTTAGTCGTTTAATAAAACAAAAGATTAATTAACAGATAATCCCGGGTTGATTGTTATTTTTACATTTCTTTTTACCTGATCAGTGGGGGTCCAGTTAATTAACTACTACTCACCGGATTAGCGGGGGTGTTACAAAGAACGACAAGATGGTATCATTCAACAATGGTCGTTGAATGGGCGATGTTTTGTTGAATTTATTAGTAAAATAGTGACCGCTGGCCGCGTTAGAGGAGTGACCGTTGAATAAAGAGATGAAACAACAGAATTTCTACGGGGGGAATTTATCGTGACCGCTTACAAGGAGATGTCGCTGAATAGGAGTGGCTGCTCATACAGATTCTACTGTATAACTTTATTTCTCAAAGAGAAGGAAAATGCCACAATGGTTAGCGAGCTAGTTCTGTAATTCTGTAAGCACACACTGTGTTGACTCCTTGAATAAGACACTTAATTCCTGTATTCCCTTCGATTCAGCCGTAATTGGAGGGGTTTTATTGTAGTAGGAAAACAAATATTTATATTTATGCAGAGAAATGACCTCTAAAGGAAGTAAAAACCAACTATAAGTCCAGAGACCGGTATAATGAAATGTAAGCCATCAAATGACTCCTACAGCCAAATAAAAGACAATACAATAACATTACTTACATTTTTTTAAAGTTCATACTTACAGACATTGTGCTATCAACATATTGAGTAAATGTATAAAGTTAATACTTAAAGACACAATTTTATTAACATGTTGAGAAAATGTATAAAATTCATACTTACAGTCATGTTGAGTAAATATATAAAGTTAATACTTACAGACATTGTTTTATCAACATGTTGAGTAAATGTATGTAGAAATGGTACGTAGGGTGATGGTGGTTCTGTGGCTTCTGGTGGCTGAAAACATGTTGAGATTATAAAAGTTAACTGGTCCGCAAAACAGAAAATGAAAGAATGCATATAAGATGTTAGATGGCATCTCAAACCAGGAACTGTGGGAAAGAACAAATCAAAATACCATAGTTGATCCATCAAATAACAATGGATTTGACATTCTGTCAGATGCCCCAATTCAAACATTACATTTCAGACATTAGACTGGACTACACAAGCAAGCAATAGAGAATCAAAGAAAGTAGCAATGGACAGTAATCGATGGATATCTAATATGAAGGCTTTATGTTTCACTGGGAATGGAAAGGACTAAACAAGAAGAAATATAAATAAACAAGATTAACTTACCGGAGTATCATCTAGAAATATCAATATTAAATTATTCACCATATCCTGAAATAAATACCAAATTCGATAAAGCTTGTTTCTATATCAAAACAAGTGCATGTAAAATCAACAAATTATTATAGTAATTGACATCTTTAAGGAATATTTAGTACAAGGAATGATAAGTACTTACAGGATTAGCTATAGCATCCATAGCTGGTAATAAAACAGATCCAGCTAATATTTCTCTAACTAAAGTACACATACTCCTGCAATACAAAATAACAAACGAAGAGCATCAATTCAAAACAAAGTATATGCCATTCCCACCAAAAATGTAATAATTATGCTTTGAGACATCCTAGATAAGTATAAGAATTTAACAATGTTACTGGTATATTCCATCCATAATGCATTAAGACCAATACAATCAGCCGTTCAAATAGGGATCATAGTATAATTAGAGTGCTGTATAAGTTCCTTTTACTCAAAATTTGGCATGCACTCTTACCCAATGGGCTTTTGGGTTAAAGGGGGAGGCTACCCGAAAAGTTTTGTTCTGAAATTTTAAACTATTGAATTGAAAATGGTACAAGTAGATAGGAAATTTAAAAACAAGGGAAAACTAACATTAAAAAAAATTGTTGCCAGGGTAACACATTTTTTTTTTTTGGGGGGGGGGGGGGGGAGTATGAAGAATGTAGGTATACTATAACTCTGTATAACTAATTAAGATATCTTCACCAAATTTGCAGGATATAAAAACAAATATCTACGGCAGAATCAGACAGAAAGCCATTTGTTTCATCATTAATATTTCAAAAGTTATCAAAATATTTCTCCAAGACAAGGGGATCACGTGACTAAGTGGGTAAGACACTAGCTCGCTAGCCTGGAGGTCGGGTGTTCGATCCCTGCATTGGCCGAGAAAGTTCATCCAGATTTTCCGGCGTGGTACTCCCTTGTCAGTGATGCAGGACGGAGGGGCTGACAAGGAAAGCTGTCTAGTCGTTCGGATGGGATGAAAAACCGAGGTCCTGTGTACACAATGGCGTGCACGTAAAAGATCCCTTGTCAGTGATGCAGGACGGAGGGGCTGACAAGGAAAGCTGTCTAGTCGTTCGGATGGGACGAAAAACCGAGGTCCCGTGTACACAATGGCGTGCACGTAAAAGATCCCTTGGCAGTTGGAATTCGATATAAGAGTAGGCCGTAGTGCTGCTGTTCGGGCAAAATTTCCCTCATAGCACACTGTATGGCGTATGCCCGTCTTCATTAGCCCAGGTTAGGAGCAGAACAGTAGGACGTTAAAAACTCCATTTCATTTCATTTCATTTCTCCAAGACAAAATATTGTGGTGAGGCAAATGTTTTAAACACCATTTTCCATGAAACTATAAAAATTATACAGAAAACCGTGGTCTGGTTTTAGGGTTATCATTAGGGCCAGAGATATGGTGTACCTACGTTTTTCACATTTTTCCCCCCAAAATGAGTTACCTGGAAACAACTTTTTGTTAATTTTAGTTTTCCTGTGTTTATTACATTTCCTAACTACTTATGCCATTTTCAATTCAATAGATTTATAATTTCAGAAAACATTTTTCAGGTAGCCTCACCCCTTAATAATAATGATTCCGGATTAAATCATAAATTGATCCAGGATATATTTCTTCACAAAACAGGGATAGATTTATGTACACCATATTTTGGGGTTGGGGTCTTAAGCATACATGTACCAAAAATGTGATTAATAATTAAGCAATGTTATTACTATACTGAATTGTTTGATTTCATTAATTCTATTCTAGGCTATTAAAAATTATAAATTACTTCGAATGCAGAGCTTCTGGTTTAAGTATATATGGAAATAAACTCTCCACCAAACAGCGCAAATATTCAACTTCTGCTTTTCTACTCCACATTGCAGTGTGAACATCAGAACCTAAATAATCTAAAGTGGCTTGTTGAATATCTCTTCCATCTGAAACTATACATAGTATACAAAATATTTATATCAACTTAAACTTAAAGGAGCTAATTCTCTATTCTTTGGCACCTAGAAATGGACACCAATGGGTCGCAATGCATATATGTACTATGAAAGTATATATACTGATTTATGTTCAATCGTTTCTGTTTTTACTGTAATTTCTAATCAGTAATGTTCAGTGAAATATGTCCAAATTGAATGGCAGTCTACAGTAGTATTCTCCCGTGGGATATGTTTATTTAGTCGCTTCGTAACAAATGGCGCTCGAAAGCATTCTGGCACACAAATCGTGTGCCCATTTTAAAGTTTTCAATTTGTCTTAAATAATGGATACCATGGTTGGATGACAACATATATGTTGATTTAAATTGACCAATAAGTCGTGTTTGCAATGCCGAAGACTGGATGATATTGTCTGTTTCTAGTACTGTTTTTCCTTATCAAATAATTTGATGGAAAGGCTTCCATGTGCAAACAGACTGAATTAAAAGGGCAACAAGACGATAAAATATGCTGTCTTGTTTAAGGATCTGATGTACTATAGCCCTTTGATGGTTTTTATAACTAATTTGAGATTGCTTAAGGTTGGAATTACAGTCATGTGATGTATTTATACAATTCCCTTTATTTCTAAGTAGTTTTCAGATATCACAACAACTATTTAATTTTAACATCCCATATTTTCACAGTTTGTTATTTGCAAAGCTGGGATCGCACTTCATACAATGAATAACTGTCATACAAAATTCATGTTCTGTAATATGCCTGCATCCTTAAATAATAACTATTTGAAAACAAACCTTGTTTTTGAGCTTTTATACAGCAATCTAAATGTTGTAAAGCTGCCTTTATAATTTTTTCTGTGATTAAATTAGGAATATCAAGCTGTAAGCAGAAATCAAACAAAAATTCTTATATCTGGGGCAACGATTCTTGGATTAATAAATGCACAAATCATAATTTTGACAGGTAACATGTTTATTCCAATGAAAATATTTATATATCTTTTTAAGATTTTTAGATTAAGGGGGCAACAATCCACAACACTGATAGGCAATATGTTTGAATAAACACTCTAGTCTTCGTAAGGTTTGGGTTTCAGTGGTCATAACTTTAGATTATAAGTACATCTCTCTACAAAGGATCAAATCTATACACAATAATTACCTTTTTAGCTCTACGAAATAATACTGCTGTTAAAAATTTTATACTTGTTCTTAACTCTTCAGTAAATTCTTCATCTACACTTAAATCTCTAAAATAATATAATATCAAATATAAAGAATTAGACATTAATATATGAATATATGTCTTTATCTCCAGGGTTCAAATTACTTTTTGTAATCTTCTATTTTCAAGTAGATAATATCTTGTTGAAGCCCTTTTCAATGATTAAATTTTTTTTTTGAACTACATAAGAATTTTGCAACAAACGCGTCAAATATGAGTAGCAAATAGTACAGCTACACTGCTTGTTTTGCAATCTGATCTGGTATTGTTCCTCAGGTTTAAAGAAAATTCTGATTTATTATACAATAACATATTCTAATACAATGCATTATGTCTACATTGGACTTGCATATTATCAGTAATGGACCCAGATTTGGATTTATCCCAAGTAGACATCAATTTATTATATATTCAAGCTATGTCGGCATAATTATCTTGAAGAGTTACTCACTTGTACCAAGTATAAACAAATTCTTTCATGACTATTTCTCCAAACTGAAATAACAAAAAAGAAAGTTTCTAATAAATGTCAAGAAATTAAAGAGGTTTCGTGGTGTTCAATATTAATGGTAAAATGAGACCTAAAGATGACATGTCACTGGAGATTAGGGTAGCCTATTTCTTAAATATTTCCAAAGTAATTGTAACAAGCATTATTAGTTCATTTACCATTGCTACATCAGACAGCAATTATGGACAAACATTTTCATTGGTCTACCAGGTGTTTCTGATGACTTATCATAATAGTTGATACACCCCTTATGTGTTTTTACTCAATGTTCCATTACAATAACAGTTATACACCATTAGATTAAGTTTATTTGAAAGTAGAGTTCTTAAGTGGTGGACACACTAGCCGAAACATTTGTTTGAATCAATCAGCGCCGAAAATCGCCTAGTGTGTCCAGTGTCACCGAATCAAATATGATTGATATATAATCACCAAGTGTATCCAGTGTCGCCCCAATCAAACATGTTTGATATATTGCCTAGTTTTTAAAATCCATTAGCCAATCACAACTGATGTCGAGAAGTCACATGATTGTTTGAAGACATGGTCGCTGGCATGTTTTATCTTGTGAAGTGAAAAGTGATGCAATTGACTAGTGAATCTGATGGAGAATTCGCCTAGTGTTTCCAATCATTCGGCCAAATCAATTCGGTTGTAATTTGGTGCTTTTCGACTACCGAATTAGAGAAATTCTGAGTTAAAATCTATAGTGGACTGTATCAAGTTATAATAATTTATACAATGAAAACAACCTTTGACCCGGTTCCTATAAAACGTATCCTTTAAGATAACTAATCAATAACATTATGTGAAGCAATGGCTATGAAATGACAATGCCTGTAACCAAAGCTTCGAAAATATGATTTCTTCCAAGTAATATCATAATAACAGTACCTCTTCTAAAGCTTGATTGACTTTTTCTCTTATTTCAATATTTGTCCATGGTTGAAATGCTAGAATATTTAATTCAGGTCTGAAAAAGACAACTTTGAAATTAACACTTGATATATTATGTCTTTGGTCTTGGTAATACACACATATATAATGAAAATGATTTTTTTTTAATAAGAGTTCAAAGTATACATGTACAGTGAAGTATGTTAATGTTAAATCACACTAATTGATATTTGTCAAAATAGTCGGGATAATAAACATTAAAGAAAATCTCCCAAACTCTGTATGTGTATTCATGTACCTATGTCTTGGACAGTTTCGCTGACCACAAACCGTGCATACGGTTTTCATCATAGCTAGTTCATCATCACCATAATCACCCTGAAGAAGAATTGACTCAACTTTAGAAAGGGATTTAGAAAATATTTTAATTTAGTAAATTATCTAACTTACTACAAACTTTTTAATCAACTTTTATTTAAATAAATTAGCAATTTTGAAACTGTAAATTGATTCAGAGATGCATGATGAATGATGATCATAATTATATATTAACTTTTGTATAATAATTACCTTTCTTTTTCTGGAGTACATTGGTAAAAAGTTTGGCACAAGCATTTCGGCACTGAAATAGAAGTTCAAAAACATACGTGTACTGAGTACTTGTGAAACTACATATTTAAGTAAATACTTAAAATCACCTAGGGGACTGAATCTCTGAAGTCATAAATAAATAGGAAAAAGGATAAATAAAATGGCCTTCATCTTTTAAAAGAGATAATAGCAGATAAATTTAATTAATTGCTGATTTCTGACTCCATTTTTTTTTTTTTCTTTACAAAATATTAATATTTATTGTCTACTCTATCAAATTTGACATACACGATTTACCCAAATCCATCCAACCACAATTACTCCAAGGGTAAAGTTCAAGTCATAGCAAAATGAAGGGGTTTGTTCCCCTTTTCCTAGGAGGCTCAGAGGCAAAACCTTTTCCTGTTCAGTAACTTGGGGTTGACAGGGTATGATAAAATTAATGTATTCTACCATACCATCTATTACCTGAGTAAACAGTATGAGACAGCTACTCCTATTATAAAAGACCATGCTGCAAATAATATCTTAATATAGCTGAAATAAAATTTAAAAATGCTGTTTTCAGTATTGGCATGATTCATCCAAAATAATCCTTGTAATAATATTTTTAAATAAGACTCAAAAAGGAAAAATACGCACTTAAAACCCCTTTAGCAGAAAGTGTCACAGGTGTAAATATGACCTGTTTGAATAAGCAGGATTTAAAAAGGATTTCCCAGATATAAAAACAGTGTCAGTGAATAAAACTGTGTGACTGGAAGTCTCTAAGAAGGCTTTATCCTAATCCCAAGCAACTGTATTTCTGAACATTTGTAATACATTTTTTGAAAGGAATACCAGTAGATCCAGCTGTCAGGTGGAGCTGGAATCAAGCTTATTGAGTAGCAATCACCCATGGAACTGGATGTCTATAACTCAGCAGATGCATTATAGTTACGACTTCCTACTATAATTGCAATATTTTGTTTTTCCAGTTACACAATTTTACAGGTTACTGTGTCATAGTTAGTCTGTTGCGTTTCAATTAGCAACGTCTATCTGACCACTCAATGAAATTATAACAGCAAGCGCTTTAAAGGCATTATGTAGCTTTTTGACCATTTGTCTAGGCAAGTGGCACATATGAAATAGAGTTTATTGATTTCAATTTACAAGACCAATTTGAAGTATGTGTACAATATATGAATTTTTTCAGTCTGATTCAAATAATAGCCAATGATGAAGACGATTAACAGACTTTTATTGGCAATATATTCAGCGGAAGGGGGTTGTGGAAAGTGTACGGAATAGTACCACATGGTATTAAATTAAGGTAAATTGAACAACAGAAAATATGTCAGAAACCCAGCTGTAATCGACTATTTCCGGACATATTCATTTCAATACAATTAGCTTGAAGATGTATTCTAGTATTACAATAAGTGTAGTATTACAATGAAGTGTAGACCAGTAGGCACTAGGCTACACTACCTTACATTATATTATTAATTATTATGTACATTTGCAAGTGTCTGATAAAATTGGTGTCTATCCGAAAACGGGTTTGATGATGTTGAAATGAAAGGAAATAATGAACAACTTATATTGACAATGCATCAATCACAAGATCATTGACAGGACGTGTCAGTGGTGATGCTATCCGTGACCAACTCGACTGATGAGACAATTTCTTACCTGTAATATAGGAGTGTGAAAACAAGCAGAACAGCAACACAGGAGCTGAATTTGGAATGTTTTTGAACGTAATGCTTGATGATAAACCAAGGAATCATTTCCACTTTTGGATACAACAGAAATATAGATAAATAGAATAGAACAATTAAATCAAAAGAGAGAGAGAGGGTGTTGATGTTTACATTATTTTCCCTTCAGTTCACTTTTACAACTTATTGGTTAAAGAGTTCTATAAAGGGAGATAACCCTTCAAATATTGCGAAATTCAGGTGCTTTGAACAGCAGCTGTAGAGCGTTGGAAAGAATAATTACAAAAGAAACTTACAATAAAGTTTGTTGAAAAAAAATTTGTACCAATACTAAATATACCCCCCCCCCAACACACACACTCACACCCACGCCTGATAAGAGGAAATATACACACAAAAAGATCAACCAGGCTTATTTTATTTTATCACCCAATAATACATTCTACAGGAGATATCGCTTGTGTGATAAATTTCATCTACTGATTGGTCAGTTAAAAAGGAACTACTTTTTTGTATTTTCAAAGAACAGTTCATTTTTTTTTATTAAAAGTAACTTCTTTTTCATTAAAAATGATATTTTTTTATTTAATTGACCCTAATGGAAACATTGGGTCAATATAAAGGTCTTTGCAATGGTTGAATTGCTATCAAAAAAAGATGTATCACCACGCCGTAATATAATCAGGTTAAGTAAAAGTGAAGGCTATCGCAAAGAATTATATTTATTTGTTTGTGCATGTAAGGAAAGATTGGGTGATGAATAAAATCTCATATAAAAAAAATATCAACACTCGTCGATAAAGTAAAAGAAAACTCGGCGGAGCTCAGGTCGGGAAAAGGGTGGAAACTAAGTCAATAAAGTAATATTTACCATCTGATCTGAAGATGCGAAGAACACAATTAGTATTATTTGTACAAAAAATAGGTATCGGTCAAACACTGGACAGGTGTTGGTCAAACACTGGACCGGTATCGGTCGTAAATTGTATCGGTATAGGTCGTACACTGGACAAGTGTGGGTCGAACACTGAACCAGTAAAAGATGTTAGTCGAAAACTTGCCCGGTACCGGTCGAACACTGGACAATTGTCAGCCAAACACTAGAAAAGAGTTGGTAAAAAGTTAGGAGTCATTGATATGCCGAAGAGATGGGTATTTCGACTACCGTTCAATTATTATTTGCACTGCGAGGACACTGAACCATGTCTCATTCTCCTTTATCCTCTTTTCCGACAATTGGGTGTTTTTTTACGATGTTTTACTTATGTATTGTTTAACTGAGACATAATAACTTGTATTGTTTTGAATCAAAGTTGTATTTGTGTCATGTCATATTCATAGACTTTAAAATGTAAGATGTAATTCCTTCGCAAAATCTTATTTTGTAGAGTTACACACTATTTATGCTGTTTCAATACCTTTATTCTTCTACTTCTATAAACAGGTGTTTCTTGGGCGGCGTATATAGGTGGGATCTTGCCTACGTTAAATACAAACTACAAAAAATATCAAGATTGACTTTGGACTATCTGATGAGGATAAGAAAATCGTGAGGCTGCATGGGGCCTTTGAGCAATAGAATTTATGCTTGGAATTTTAATTACAGTCCTCTTTCTCAAATTCCTTATTCTCACAACTGGAAGCAAAATGGCCAACCTATGAGATTAAACTACTAGGATTTCTTGTTGAAAATAAAAGAAAATCGCATGAAATACAATGTATCTTAATCGTGTCGTATTTTAAAAACTGGAGCATCTAGAGCAACCTACTGTAGTGAAGGTAGTATGACAGGAATTTTAGAAACCAACTACTATTGTTCTTGAAAATCATTATCATCATTTTACAAAATATTTCTGATTCTTTACACTAGACTACTTTAAATAAGATAGGTAGCCAGGCAACGAAACATACGTCCAAGCAGCTAAATCGTCCGTGCAGTTGACAAAGGTTGTCGCATATTAATTCTTTTGTAGGCTTTTCTTTTACAAGACACTGATAGCAGTTTAATACAAACCGAATAATAACTTTTGTCATTAGAGCGTTCATAAGGTTCAACCAAGTGAAACCATGGGTATAAGCGGAAATTGCTCAAATTCGATAGGATTCTTTGTTTTACTAACCGAAATAATGTGTGTGTATATATATAGTTTGGGTGGCCATATTCTATTTCGATCTTCCCTAGTTCCAGCAAACACAAAACGTTGAATGTTTTTTCTGTACATAATAAAATAAGTCCGGTTGACCTTTTTGTGTGTATATTTCCTCTTATCGGGCGCGCGCGGGTGTATGTGTGTGTGGGGTGGGTATATTTAGCATATATAATCCAGATCAGACGATAACTTTTGTCGTTCGAGCGTTCACAAGGTAGTCTACAAAGTGAAACATGAGCCATAACTCTAGCAGAAATTAACGGAAATTGATGAATCCAATAGGCTTCTTCGTTTTATTAATCTAAATCATATATATTACATTTAATACAGATGATAACTTTTGCCATTAGAGCGTGCACAAGATTCAATAAAGTGAAACAAGGGCCATAACTCTAGAAGTAATAAATGGATATTGTTGAACTTCACTAGTCTGCTTCGTTTTACTGATCTAAATAATATACATTTCATGACAGAACCGATGGTAACTCTTGTCGATAGAGCGTACACAAGGGTCATAACTCCAGAATTTATTATCGGAAATTGCCGAAATTCAATAGGAATCTTCGTTTTACTTATTTAAATAATGCATGTAAATTTATTAAAGACTGGACGATAACCTTTGTCCTTATAGCGTTCACAGGGTTCAATAAAGTGAAACAAGCTATGGTCATAACTCCTAGAAGTAATTAACGGAAGTTGTTGCAATTCCATAGGATTCTTCGTTTTACTGATCTAAATGATGCATATACATTTCATACAGATGGGATGATGACTTTGGTCATTAGAGCGTTCACAATGTCCAAGAAAGTGAAACAATGGCCATAATTCTAGAGGTTATACAAGAAAATTGCCGAAATTCAATAGACTTCTTTCGTTTTACTATTTTAAATAATGCATGTAAATTTAGTACAGAGTGAAAGATAACGTTTGTCTTTAGAGGGTTCACAAAGTTTTACAAAATGAAAGACGGGTCATAACTCTAGAAGTTCTTAACGGAAATTGCTGAAATTGAATAGGCTTCTTCGTTTTACTAAATTAAATAATGAATGCAAATTTAACACAGATAGGATGATCACTTTAGTCGTTAAAGCGTTCACAAGGTTCTACATAGTGAAACAAGGGTCCTAACTCTAGAAGTAATTTAACGGAATTTTTATTTATTATGTAAACAGCATAAAAATTTCAAAATGATCAGATAATAAACGTAGTCTGTAGGATATTCACTAGAAATTGTGGACGACGGATGGACGGACGGAGACGACGACAATATACGACCACATTTCCGTGTGGATGTATAAAAACGAACGAATATTTCCATCATATTTTATTTGTATAAATTATTCTGAGCAGACAGATTGCAGAGCGTAATCGGACTTACATCACATATTACAAAATAAGGCAGCAAAAAGTTGCGTAGTTATCACTAATCCGATTAAAGCACACGCTTTGTATTGGTCCCTACAGGGCTCACATTCACATAAAAAGCTGAAAATAAACGAGTATACGGATTGATTTACCATTTTGTTAAATCATGTCTTTATAAATCGGCTTTAAATTTGTTATTTTATATAGATTTACAGGATGGGCCTAGACACACCCACAAAGCTGCATAATGTACTATTATTGGAAGACATAGACATAAAGCAAGTAATGATAAACAATTAAAGTGAAATGGCAGTGATCAACATTTTCAGAAATAATAAATTAATATTCTTCTCCCTCTTCTTCTTCCTCGTTATCGGCATTATCAACACCAACTTCTTCATAATCCTTTTCTAAAGCAGCTAAATCTTCCCGGGCTTCCGAGAATTCCCCCTCTTCCATACCTTCCCCGACATACCAGTGGACGAAGGCTCTCTTGGCATACATCAAGTCGAATTTGTGGTCCAACCGGGCCCAAGCTTCAGCAATAGCCGTAGTGTTGCTTAACATGCAGACTGCTCTTTGAACTTTGGCCAAATCGCCCCCAGGAACAACAGTTGGTGGTTGGTAGTTGATGCCCACCTTAAATCCAGTTGGACACCAATCGACAAATTGTATGGATCTCTTGGTTTTGATTGTTGCAATGGCAGCATTGACATCTTTCGGTACAACGTCACCCCTATAAAGCATACAGCAAGCCATATATTTACCATGACGGGGGTCACACTTCACCATCTGGTTGCATGGTTCGAAACAAGCGTTTGTGATTTCAGCAACTGATAACTGTTCATGGTAAGCCTTTTCAGCTGAAATTACGGGAGCATAAGTTGCCAGTGGAAAATGAATACGCGGATAAGGGACTAAATTGGTTTGGAATTCTGTGAGATCGACATTGAGAGCACCATCAAATCTGAGAGAAGCTGTGATGGAACTTACAATCTGTCCAATCAGTCGGTTTAGGTTTGTATAAGATGGACGTTCAATGTCTAAATTGCGTCGACAAATATCATAGATAGCTTCATTATCAACCATGAATGCACAATCAGAGTGCTCGAGTGTGGTGTGAGTTGTAAGGATGGAATTATATGGTTCCACAACGGCTGTTGAGACTTGTGGTGCTGGGTAAACCGCAAATTCCAATTTGGACTTTTTACCATAATCTACTGATAAACGTTCCATTAAAAGAGATGTGAAACCAGAACCGGTTCCACCCCCAAAACTATGGAACACAAGAAAACCCTGTAGTCCCGTGCATTGGTCCGCCAACTTTCTGATTCTATCAAGAACAAGGTCTACAATTTCCTTGCCAATGGTATAGTGACCACGAGCATAGTTATTAGCGGCATCTTCTTTGCCTGTTATTAATTGCTCCGGGTGGAATAACTGTCTGTACTGACCACGCCTTACCTCATCTGAAATTGAAGGCAAACCAATAAACGACTTTTAAAATATATTATACATTTACAGCAGAGTAAGCTAAACAAAGGTGTGGATTCTCACCATACTACTCTGTGCCCTAGGCAAGGCCAACTGCTTGCACCCTAAAACAAATAATCCCTGGTTCGATTTTTTAAAAAGAAACACACATAAAACTGCTACATTTATTTTAATTTGTAAGTATTACTAACACATCCATTCACCAAACAATTAATCTGTTGAATAAAACTGGGCCTTGGGATGATCCCTAATAACCCCATTGGCAACGTTTACAATAGCGGTTTCAGAGTGGTGTTCTACAAGTGCGTCGGACTCTACACTCATTTTTATTCAGCTCACACTCTTAAGTCCGAGATTCCCACAGCACTTGGCACTATGCCTAATTTGTGTTCAGTAAAACCTTCGAAATGAAATGAAATGGGGTTTAACGACCTACTCTTCTGCTCCTAAACTGGGCTAATGAAGACGGGCATACGCCATACAGTGTGCTATGGGGGAAATTTTGCCCGGGCAGCGGCACTACGGCCTACTCTTATATCGAATTCCAACTGCCAAGGGATCTTTTACGTGCATGTGTACACAGGACCTCGGTTTTTCGTCCCATCCGAACGACTAAACAGCTGTACTTGTCAGGCCATCCGTCCTGCATCACTGACAAGGGGAAACCACGCTGGAAAATCTGGATGAAGTTTCTAGGCCAATGCAGGAATCGTACACTCGACCTCTAGGCTAGCGAGCCAGCGTCTTACCCACTTACCCACGTGATCCCCTAAGACCTTCGAACATTGACAGAACAAGGGATATTCCCAACATGATACTTACCAACAACTGTTGGTTCCAAGTCAACAAATATAGCTCTAGGTACATGTTTACCAGCACCAGTTTCATTGAAGAAGGTATTATAAGAATCGTCTCCACTACCAATAGTTTTATCCGACGGCATTTGACCATCAGGCTGGATACCATGTTCTAAACAGTACAGCTCCCAACAGGCATTGCCCATCTGCACCCCGGCTTGACCAACATGAACGGAAATACACTCACGCTGAAATGAATTATTAGACATTTACATGTTTTATATTTAATCCCGGGAAATTATTTTAACCTAAACAGCTTAAAGGAATACAGAACTACCAGTATCTTAATATCATTTGGCACTAGAATATATCTCATGAAAATTTGATAATAAATATATATTCTTGGCAAATGATATTATTATTGCTCGATATTCAAAACAGTTTGGCAGAATCCGCACATCCATCGATGCAGTGCCATTTAATGATTTTACAATCTTTTGTCTAATACTCAGATTAAGTTAGGTGAAATTGCAGTGTGGCGCACTGACGAAAACATCTGTAGGGGTGCATTTATCATTCCTCATATTGATTACTCGACAGCTGGCACCAACAGACGGCTAGATGAAACATGATAGTGCTGCAGTATCTATCCCAAGTTCTGACAAACAACGAACCATTCATGATGACTCATACTACGTTATAATTTACTATATTATACTTTCAAAAAACGATTCTAATGCACAATTTGAAAGAACTATTGCTCAAAACACGATTTCGTTAACGCTTTTAAAAACTCAATAAGAAGGGCAGCATATCATATTTCTTGATTCGTGCAATTTTTAGAAAATATAAATTTTAAAATCGTTTTCTTTTCTGTGTCTAGGTGGGAGAGACCTATATGGTTTGTCTATGGGTTCTATAAATAAAGTCCACTTTAGTTTAGTATCAAATGGTGAGATCATGGTGCCATATTACTGCAAAGATCGAGAACAAAAGATGTTTTCATTTTCAAGTAAGTTTCCGCTCGTAATTATAGAGATGTATAGACTGAAGAAAGTTCCTAATCAAACTTCAAGAACAATACAGTCCATTTGCTTAACTTAAAAAAACGAGTATTACGGGCATACATCTGTGGAATCTGATTTAGGCTCAAATTGGAATTCCAAAGGCTATTTTAAACGTTTTTCCTCCATGGCTAACAAATCGAGCTCGACCGGAATATATATAGTTTTTACATTTAGGTATTTCCTTAAATTGATAACATAAAGAGAAAGTTCTTTAAATTTAGACCATAAAAATTACTATTTTGAATATCTAACACCAACAGACAATTAATTGTCTATAAGCAAAATATGAAATAATATAGGCTCTAGATCTCACTTTTATCGCGAAATTGGTCTAAAATATTGAATCAGAACTCACCATATTGAAATAACTTTCTGGTAAATCTTTTGTTCTGGTATGGAAGATAAATTTATGAAGAAAAAACCCTCTCACAGCGACTCGATGTGTCCAGATGAGAGAATCAGGGAGAATATATTATTCCATGCAAGCTCTTTAAAAACCTTCTTTATGCAGTTGCGCGTGTGATTCATCTCTCAATTCCTACTTTTCTGATTGGTCGAAAATAATTCAGTTCGGATGGAAGCAGGATTATTGGCCCGTTCCTTGCACCCTCTTCATGAAATGAGAAAACTGAACAAACAGCGTGACACGAATAGCAGGAATGTCTGCGCGTGAAAGTGACTAACTACAGACGGTGCCCTAATGAACTGTTTTCGCAGACGGCTCTTGTAGTTCTGTAGTGGTTGATTCATTTAACGGCGCACTCGTATCTTTTTTACTCTCACTCACTGTAAATCGCGAGTGTTGGAAGATATAAAGTATCTTATCTCTGAGTTATGAGGTTCGAGTTAAGACTCAACTAAGAAAACTGGAGTGCTTTCAAGAAACGAAGGAAATGTTTCAGACTAAAAATAACTGTAATGTGTCCTATACAGATTTGAAAGTTTGCCAGGGCAGTGTGTTTATGAATGAAAGAAAAGGCAGGGCTAATAAATGAAATTATTAGTCCAACAAGATTTCAATTTAAGAAAATAACTATTATTTTCACCACTTATCTGCACAAACCGGGCTAACAATGTGTTATGACGTCTATGAGGGACATTTTGCCCAGATACCGGTGCATATGTTACCACCTAATGTTAATCAAATTCTAACTGCCAATGATTCTTTCCATATACCAACTCTTTTTTTTTTGTCCCATACAAATGACTAGATGCTATTTATTGTACTGCATCACTTACGAGGGGGGAATCATGCACAGGTTACACATTTGTTATACTATGAAATGTCATTTTGGTGGAATTTGGGGGCAAATGTTTCATGTTGTTGATCGATATTGGGTAACGAAAATTGACATTCCAATTAATCAGCATCTATATTAGGAGCAAGACCAAATATTTTTGCTGCCAAATTTCTAATATTCTATTAACATTCTTGACATACACATTCAAGGTGTAAATTAACTCCTTCCATAATTAAACCCTTGCATTCGCAAGCCAATATTTTTGTTAGAACTGCTGGCAAACAGTTGCCAATAACTGAAAGTCTTCAAAGTAACTGGGTAATATGCCACTGGTTATTAACATGATTTGTTAATTTTATTTAAAGTAGACCTAATAAATTCTTTATGAAGGTTTAAGATACCACACTGACTATCTTGCATAAAAACAACGAAATAGAACATAGCAGCAGTGATGACAAATGGGCAGACATGTTGCTGTTGGGGCAAAATACTACCTCTCAGATTACATACTCCAAAACATATTTTTTTAAAAAAGCATGTTACACTCAAAAAAAGACTAGTTATTGTTATAAGACTTTTGTCTCTTACTACCATATTACCCTCTGTACTGTTAAAGAAATAACTCAAAAGAAGATTAATGTACTGTAATATTAATTACATTTTATTTTTTTGCTACAAAAGTATAAATAATTAATCTTTAATACATATTCTGTAACAATATTACAACATAACATGTTGGTTTTTTTATTTACAATCACAAATACTGTCTTGTATTGTTCAAGGGGGGTAAAAAGCACCATTTTAATTTCGGGAATGTCTTGATAATCAGGCATATCACAATAGAAATATCAAACTGGTCCCTTCAAAATGACTTTTCACATTATATTATTCTATTATTTTTTTTAAATATATAACATTCTATTTTCTATAACAATTCATTATTTACATAACAAAATAACAATTTATGATCATTATCAAAACAGTATCAAAATGCTTAAAATGAGTGAATTGTGCATTTATATTCATATGTTATATACACACAAGGTTAAAATATCAGGGATTTTTTTTCAGACTAATCACTAAATATAACTTAACATCATGACACAAAATACATTCATACTTCTCTAACAAACAATCAGTGGCTACCAATTTATATGATTTATCATAAAAATTAGGACTGAGAAAAAAAATAAAAATTGTGAGCTGACCGGCTTAAGATGCATTGTTAGGATTGATTGAGCAGATTATATACTTTTTCAATATTCTTGACAACTTAAAATGTTAATAATCAAAATACTGTCTCTACTAATTCATTAAGGTATTGGTAATATGATAAATTATTAAGAGTTATAATACAGGTTATTTTGAATACATCTGAGACACTACCAGCTGAACTAAAATAGACAGTTTTAAGTGAAAATATATTAGGTACTACATATATCGTAATACTATTTGATAATGACTAAAAGATAGATAACAAAATCTAACATAATAAATAAATAGTATACATTCACACAAGTATAACAATTGATTATCAATGTTTCATAATAATCGACAGTGAATATGGACGAAATTTTTGCAATTGTGAAAATTGCACAATTTAAATTAGGACTATTTACACAAGTAGGCACCAGTCTAGCACTTTTTTTTAACTCTAACACACACTCACTTGACTCAAAATTTCATATTCATTTTACGGTACTACAAAGCTAATCTCATTCAAAAACTTTTTAAAAAAAAAAGTTATAAAAAAAAAAAAATAAAGATTCATATCAAAATGTATAAATTTGATCTGAGGTGTTATTTGATAAGAAAATGGGGAATGAAATCAATTGAATCTCTGATAATACATGATGTTATGGGACGAAAAATAAATCAATAACTTCCAAGTGGGAAATTCACATATAAAACATTATAAACATGATATGGAACTATTTGTCTGAACAAAATGATCATGGAATGGAAATACATATCATATAAGTTACGTTCCTGAAAACTTGATCCAAATTATGCTGAGGTCATCTTTGTATATATGACGTTTCAAAAGGCATGAAACATTTGAGTTTTGGCACGGTGTGGTACTTTTGGTACAATTAGAGATTTTAGTCACATAAAGATTTTGAGGTATCGGTTGAAGATCTCTTCTTCCTTTTTAAAGCATTAGGTGATGTCATTTTAGTTGCAGTTCTGGCACTTTTTCTACGTTTATTGTCGGATGTATTAGGTATGCTCAGTTCACTGAAGATGGGTACATCAGAGATCTTGCCATTAAAATTGCACTTGGCCTTTTTACTGTATGGACTAGAGGTAACAGGTGAACATGACACACCAGATGATGAAGAATTACCACAATAAAAATTAGTTCCACAGGGTGGCGATGACACATCAAATGAATCTGGAATTGTTCCGTAGCTGCTATTTCCCTGAATATAACTGGAGAGACAGGCAGAATATGTGTCACCGTCGGAGTCGAAAGCTAAATCTGAACTATCACTTTTAATTGGACTAAATGAATCTGAAATGATAGAAAATGTGAAATGATAAGATATGTTATTGCATACATGTATATCAGTTCTTTAACACAACATAATTTATCTTTAGCTAAAATTTTAGCTTTAAAAATTTTATTTTGTAAATTAACTTCTTAAAAATCAGTTATATCTTATCACTTAAGATAATTTGTACTTACCATCAAACATGGAGTCTTCATCTTCTTGGTCACCCTCATAACCAGAGGTCATTGAGTCATTGAAGAAAGGTCCTTTCTCAAAAGACGGTGTGGCTGCATTTTCACGTTCACTAAATCTTTGAGCAGTTCTGAAAAAATAAATAAACCAAACAATTAATACATTAGAAAACATTTCAGGCCTAAAGAAAGACCTGCAATAGGCAGATTTAGCTCTTGCATAATGCATGTTTAAGGGTCCTATAATACCTCCTTTGATTGGCATTTAGTAATTGAACACATTAATACACGGTACAATTTATGAATACACAATTACGTATCCATAAAATTTACCTTGTGGTCCTATAATAATATATTTTTCAACATTTTCTTTCTCCAAGTTTAGGGCAAATTAATCAATACATACCTCCTGCCTTTAGATTTGCCCCTGCAGGGTGAAACAATGAGTTCATCATAATTCCTGAATCGTAACTTGAGATCGAAACCATTGAGGTAGAAATCAGTGACACCAAGCATGCTGCAAAGTTCTTCATAGTTCATAATTTCAATGGAACTGACTTGAAAGAATTTTTCTTCGCCATATTTCTGCTTGACAGCTTGTAGAGTTATCTCTCTGTGGTCTATGACTGAACCCTCCAAAAAACTGAAATAAGAAAATAATTTATATATTTATACTTTTTAAAAAAAGGAATTTCTTGAAAATGTTTGATGGGGCTTGATGGTCCAGAGACCATTCATAAGGAACTAGATGAATGATTCTGTACATATCATTATTTATTTTGAAATTTAATGTTTTGAAGACATCTATTTACAATACACTTACCATTTTTCATGAATATGGAAAGCACACCTGCTGAGATCTTCTAATGGAAATCCTGTGAACTCTTCCATCTGACTAGGCCATGGTTCTTCTATAAATATAAAGAAAATAAATTTTAAATATGGCAACTACATTAGTTTTGTTAAATCAACATCAAGCAAAATCACTGAATTCCAATTTATATTAAACATTATGCCAAATTAAATTCTATAATAAGTTCATTGTTATCATTTATAATATTTAATATTAATTACCTGATTTTAGTAATAATCTAGCCAGTAACACTGAAGAACAGGCAATTTCAGTTGGACTGTATTGACCCATTTCTGACTGAAGGACACATAATTCACAAATATACTCGGCTAAACAACTGGCTTTGGCATCCATTCCAGCTAAAACATTAACTACTTTCACATAATCTAAATTTGTTGCAATTCGGATATTTCCTTTCAAAGAGGCAGTGATTTCTCCCATCATTCGGACAACATCTTCATACTTATATGTGTTGTCTGTTAACCATGCAGCTTCTCTAACAGTTATAACATCCTTTCCTAAAAATCTGTAAAAAAAATAAAATTACAAAACATTAGACAACAATGGCATTGTAAAAAAAACAAAAAACCAAGATATAAATGCATGTAGTTGGTGGAAAACTCCAACTAAACTTACCATGTTTTTACAAATGTGTTTGAAGAAAATGATACTATTTAGCTTCGAGAGAACTTCTAGTTGATAATGAACATGAAACAGATCTACATACCTTGAGCAAACAACCATAGCAGCCACACCTAATAACTGTAACTTGGCACGGGGGACATTTTGTGTTGCTAAAAATCTATCAACTACGCTAACAGCTGTGTGAAGAGTTTGATTAGAAAAACTTTTCATTCCTGCTACTTCCACTAACCAATCTACTAAGATATATCTGGAAGAAAGAAATTGAAGACATGAATAAATGGAAAAATCTAAATTTTTGCACAGTAATATCAAGAATTTTTTAAGTACTGGTATGTTGTTGTTTTTTTGTTTCTTTTTAAATTTATAACATTTCTACTTCTGTATATCTATAAGCTTACACTATTCATCAGGCATTTAACTTTTTAAAGAATGCATTAATTTTTTACCTCATTGCTTGACTAAGATTTGTAGAACTTTTGAATATTTTATGTGTTCCTGAGGGGACAGAGCTTTGGAAAGTTTCTTTCATGTATGCTGCTGCTTGAGAACGATGGATTCCACCATATATTCCACGAGAATAGAAATCGCATAATGTCAAACTTGCATCTAGACATCCCATACTTGTTACATCTCGTAATTCACGAATACTGGTCAGTTCTGTAGCTGTATCCAGGCACTAGAAATAGTTTTAAACAAATAACATTAAGACAATAATATATATAAACTTGATATTTAACATATAGTATAGTTCATCAAAATCCTACAGGCCTATTCATTTTAACATTCAACTTTACTTTACAGTAAATGAATTGACAAATGATTAATTTTCTTTTTTATGTCTGTAAATTTTTTCATGTTACAACATTTACCTTATTTGAAAATTTCTGTTGCCATAATAAATATGCAGCACTTCCAGATCCTAATCTTGCAGAAAGTTCTAAATATTGTTTTGATTCTGATTGCCTTTCTTCATTTTCCATCAATTGTAGAGTTTTAGCCACACATAGAGCTAGCTGTTTGTCTGGATTCTGCAATATAACAACAATACACCTTAAATAATCTATAGAATTCTGATAGAAAGAATTGTTCTTATCTGCCATAAATTTATTCAACAAATAGAGTACATTTTTATTTTATAATAAGCTTAGAGTAGAAATATCAAATCATAATTATTAAATTAAAAAAATACTTACGGAATCAACAGATTCTTTCATACATGTGAAAACCTGTTCTTTACAACAAGCACCACTAGGGGACCATGGGGGACGGATAAACAACCAGGTGAAGGGTTCTATTTTGAGGTTCATGGTTTCAATTTCGGAGAATAACTGAGCAGCTGTAGTTCCATTTATTGTGATATTCTGGTAATCTGCATCACACGGTACTGTAAATAAAGAGAAAAATATGATTGATTATAAAGCATATAAAATACGGTACTGGTAGTCCTCCCTCTTTTAGGACAACAGGAATAATTTTTTTCAATAATACTAATAGGACAAATATTATATTTGAACTGTCTTAGACCAATCAATGAATTATACTTACATCCTTCATGGTAGAGATAAGCTACTCCAAGTTTTACTAGAGATTCAACATTTCCTGCATTGGCTGCTCTGTAAAAACAAATAAGGGTATGGATTAATTTATTGTTACACTGTAATTATAAGTAGTAATCCAATGTTTAAATGTACGGTTGAAAACCCATTTATAAAGTTTCACATTTCTTTAACAGGATTGGTTAGAAATTTAGAACTAAAGACGATCAAATGTGTGTGAAAAACATACTGAAAGTGTGAATGAAATTTGAATTGGCTAGTTAACATACCTTTGAAAATGGTGTAAATTAGCAGGTGAAGGCCAACAGTTGTGGAATTTAACAGATGCCCATAAACAATTGTTGTCATTGATGAGATCATTGAAATACGGGTGAACCTGAAAAATACAATGGACAATCCAATTTAATTATTCGTTTTAATCATCAATTAATTAGCCATAAACAACAAGACGAAAACTGTAATTATATTGAGCAACATTTCATTTCACTTTTTTTCTTTACTTCAAGGTTCAAGTTACATTATGGACCAGATCAATTTTTGTAAGAATATAAAGGAAAACAGAAAACAAATTTCATTCTATTTGTACTTACAATTTTCATATTGAGCAAATCTTTAATATGGAGATGTTTGAGCAGATGTAAACAAATTTCTTCTGGTAAATGCCACATAGTGACGCTACTTCTCGTTCTGGGACGAACATGTGAGTGGACGGGGATGAAGGCATTTTCGGGCGATTTCTGTAACTGGCCGAGGCTTTTTAATACTGAAAAGATGAAATAATAGTAAAAATTAATATATTATTCATATAACCTATAACATGATTAATAAACCTATTTCTGAAACCTGTATTCAATTATCACAGATTAATAACTGTGATCCGATCAGAAATGGCAGGTGGTACCAAAACTGTGAAAAACTAACAATTAACCCCTTTGATCTTCTGCATCCTATGTGAGACATTGTTATAATCAAAAGCTTGTTTATAATATAAGCTTTACTTATTTTATATGTACAGTCATGGAAAACTAGAAAATATAATTGATCTCCAAATTCACAGAAAATATAAATTTGCATCATAAATTCAGAATTCCAATTATTTGTATAAATTAATTAAGCTTAGTTTCCAGCCTTAGTTACTCAAAGTTTATCATTAATAATTCTATGTACTAACACATGGTTTTCTTTTCAAGGGAAAACTTATTAATATTACATGATATTATTGTCACATTTACAAATTATTGATGCATTCCTCATTCCACTTTCATCACAACTATTCAGAATCAGACATGTCAGCTCAATTTCCCCAATATGGATTGTTAACATGATATTGTGAAATAGTACCAACATATACATTTTCTTCTCATTCTTTTTTAAATTGCAGTCGCCCCCGCCTCTTTTTTTCTTAAAAATGCACAAAAAAATATGATGCAGAAAACAAAACTTCGGACATTAAACACTAGTCAAGACATGCCTCGCCATTATCTTGCAGACATATTGAGATCACACCACCCAAATAAATAATTGTTTAGCCTGATTATGCATACTTGTCAAGCTAATAACGGCAAAATTATTACTTACGTGAATTTACAACAAACATTCTGGTTGGTTATGATTAATAAATTAAATAAGTTAAATAAATTAGGTAAAATAAATAGAACACTGGAGGAGCTACGGACACTATCTCATCGGAATTCTATTTGGAATGTGTATGATTTCTTGTCAGGACACGACCATTTTATCTACTTGTTGATTAGCCATGTGTTTATCTAATTTTAGAACAGCGTGGGGTTTCCCGGTAAACTTCTCTGTCTAAGCCAATCAAAATGAACCGTATTTGAGTTTTAACCAATCAGATTTCACAGGGATACTGTTATCCAAACATTAGGAATGCATGTCAAAACATTGGACAGTTTTTGCTTTCACTACTTTCAGGTCTCATTATCCTAATTGTTTATTTAGTAAGTAAAGGGATTATCTACCTGAGTTGATATCTGTTGTGAAAACATAAACTGTTAATTATTCTTTGAATTTATTTTCATCCAATCAATAACAGTTCTTCGGTAAAACTCGCAATGGAGTATGGAATTCAATTGGCAACAACATTGTTTTTATTTTCGGTATTTTTTTGCGGAGAAAGGACGAATTCTGGCCAAAAGTCACCGACATTTATTTAACACAACAGACTTGACAACATTCACTACAGAATACTTTATCACGACACAATTCTAATTTACAATACAATCGGATCATTAATAGATAATGCCTATACTATATAATATATATGTACTATGTAGCTACGAGTACGAGAACGTAGCTAAAAACGTTGAGATATACTGATGTGTTTCTTTTTAGCTACGATTGGATGCCTTTAGTTCCAAAGTTTGTGTTCTATTCAAAATCTACTAAATTTTTTATACCAAATACGTAAATAACAAACAAATTGTTCCAGCACCCAATTTCATTCAAAAAAATAAGATAGCATTAGCCGGCCCAATTCTAGGCAACGAATAAGACTTCTTTAAAACACTTTATTTTATTTTAGCATTCTTATTTTACAAACTACTGGAAATTAAACTAAATCATTTATGCACTGAAGGCTATAGTGAAGTGCATCATACATGAACGATGAAGGGGCAATGTAGGGAATTACTCTTTCTAGAGCACCTGATACCACGTAAGTTACAGAGTTAGTGAGTTACCGTAATACCGTTAAGAAATGTTAATTTGTTATAGGATAGTATTTTTGTCGTATCATTATAAAAATGCTGAAGGAACCGACTAAAAAGTTTTCTGCAAGTCCCCAAGCTATTTGTCAGGTTTATCGTTAGGCCTTAATGAATGCTGTTTATAGTGTTTGAAAAGTATAGATGATTTCATGTAGGCCCTACCGGCCGGTTACGTACCTCGCAAGTCAAAGTGTTTAGCTTATAAATCTTTTATTTTCAAACCAGGCTATTATTATTAAGAAGATTTTTTATCAAAAACATAGATACAGTAATGTATATAGATCTAGGCATCAACGTAATGACTTGAAATAATGTTTCGTGTGGTTTGGGAAAACAAAATTCGATTTGGCGGTTGGCCAAGATTTACATCTCTTCCCCCGATTTTCAATTTCATACCGCACCTACCGCCAAATATTGAATGCTTTGGTCTTCTGTCAAGAGACTGTTCAAAAGTTTGCTCACTAAATTCACGATGCCTCGGTGTTTTATTTTATGTCAAGGAATATTGTGTTTTCATTCAGAAGTTTCAAGTTATAAATCAACATTTTATTTCGTGCCGATTTTGATTGCGCTTGAATTTTAACATAGAAATATACGAATGATGGAGGGAAACCTCGTTCGTCTGTAGATCTAGCCATCCTTTGGCGTTCCCGACACTAATTGGTAGACAATGGGGAGCTTTTCGAAACAAAAGGATAATGAATAGACAATACTTTACCTCTCATTTCTTCCTAAATTAAAAGTTGCCCATAGAAACGAGGGAAATTCAAACTACACGTAACTCTACAATCGACTATTCTACATTACAGTTTACTATGAACTACTGATGCTTAGCTCTGATTGGTCAATCAACTATGACGTTTCTAAACGAGTACTTGCTCGTCCCACAATGCAACGTAGTCCTTTCTTTTCAAGTTTTAAAAAGTAAACACTAACGGACAACGACGTTCAATGTAAAGCTTTTAATTTGAGAAATTCAGAAAATTTTCATACTTAAAGCGCGAACTTGAGTGACAATAAATGATTTGAAAATCAGCTTTTAGCTTAAGAATGGAAAACTGTTGTGGCATTTGGAGAAAGAAGAAAAAAGAAAACATTTTGAAATGAAAGATCTTTTTAGAGAAAGAAAATAGACATAAATCTATCATCTAGTAGTATATTATAACACGCTCCGTCGGTACAAAAAAAATAAATAAATAATTTGATATCCAGAATTTCCAAACCATTAATATAGGTGGCCTATACTTTGACTTAAATTATTTCCTACTCATTTAAACTTACATTTATATAGACCTTACATTCCATTATATTTTAGAGTTACCGGCATGTGATCATTATTAGTCGACTTTTTATTTTTGAGAAATTATTTTCTCTTGACGCTCTTGTCCCTTACGTATTACGCACATGAACAATTAAGTAAAGATTAAAGGCCCATTGTTATTTGCAGAATAACTAAACTTTAAAAAAAAAAGTACCCCACGTTTTTAAAATCTGTTTGTTCTTTAATCTATATATAGTTTTATTTGGGCCTATACCCAAACGTTTTTGTGGGGCTTTTTGTACGGTATTTTATTTCAACTCTTTATAGCCTAATTTTTTCATTTTAATTGTGATTTATAAATTTAGTCCGTGGCCGAGTCATATGGCATAATTTCTATAGTCAAATTATCAAAGGAAATGTAAGCCAAGTGACCGATGATAGGGGGCTTAGAACAAGCTTATAAATTAGCCCTAAAAAGAGAAATTAGGAACTTCAGACGCATTGGAACTACCGCGACTACGCCCCTTGTTGCGAACATTATCATTAGCCATGGGTGGGATATGACCGATTCTCCATTAAGACATTGGTCTATGTCTTTGATGCCCAAAAGAATTAATTAATGAGGTCTAAGACAATTAAAGAATGAACTATAATTATCTACCCACGATTTGACTTATCGTAGTCTATCTATTTTGCAATATAGATTTTCTAATAAGCTGTTTGACGTATAGATAATCTATTATCGGCTATTGCGTTAGTTTTCGATTATTGTCTTTTTGATAATGTCTAATTGAACTAATAGCCACAAGTCTGCTAAGAGTAGAACTACATCGAGACACATGTCCCTAATTTATTTTTTAGTGGTTACTCCATCTACCAAAAGGACGATTTATCCTGAGAATGTCGACTTTCTATGCAAATCGCATTAGGGCCTATAATATAATAGTTGATGTCCTCAAAGAATTTCAGTACAATACATAAAGGCCTATGCAATGGTCTACATGACATGGTTTATCATAAGATAACCTATTTCTCATACAAGTTAACGAGCACATGCACTTTCTGGATAAATATCGTTATCGTTTGATAACTAACCTCTAATCACCGAAAGGATATCAAGTCATTTATTGTATATATATATATATGCATGTACTGATTCATCAATAATTCAAAATCAAATATTGTAATAGAGTCTGAAAAATGAACGAATAATGAGAAGGCTTTTAAATAAACAATCATTTAAAATGGGTAAACTGTATGTCTGTCCAAATGTCTACCATATTTGACTAACATTAATACCGGTAAAATTACAGTACCAGAAGGTGATAAAGTTTGAAACTAACTATAACGGAGAACCTTTAAAACTTAATATTAGTATGAATTATTTAGACGATAGATCCTTACTGTAACGATTACTTTAAGCCGATCAAAATATGAAATTAGCCTATTCTAACCCCTTTAACTTTACGACGTACTGTATATGTAATAAGATTTCCTCGACGACTTACCCATTATGAAAGGTATAAAAGTTCATGTAATCCGGCTAGAGATCCTATAACAAACAACAAATACTGTGAAATGATGAAGAAAGATGCTAAACAATCTTTAATACTATATGGTCATAATCACTGTAACAACCCTTCAAGGCATCTCTTAAAAGTGTCACATCCTTATCTTCTGGCATGTCTAAATAACAATATTGTTCGTTACATTTCCTCGGGACACGCTCAGGTAAAACAAAGGCATCAAAGAACCGCGCCAATATGACCACTCAAAGAAATCATATTTATTACATAATTATCAATATATTTTAGTATATGGTCAGTTGAGTATTGAATTATTTTATTAATTAATGGAAATTAAACAATTAACGACACCTTCAAATAAACAAAGACTCATAATTTTAATTCTCGGCGATATATACACGATTTGGAATATGTCCTGGATATGGAACACAATCGACAGAAATAATTGCATATTGCATGTTTTCGTTCAGAAAGGGAGGGGATTGGGAAATTGGCTGATAGAGCTTGGAGATGAAAAGTACATTTAAGTTTGTCGGATCATTTACCCTATAGATGACTATTATTAATACCAGCATAATCATTTTAATTGGTCGTTTATTTTTTGTAAAAAATTATCTGTATATTTTGGTTATATTTTTCTTTGGCTTAATGTTCTCGGTATAGGTTCTCAGAAATTGTCTCCCTTATCATAGTATACCATATTATATTCCTTATTAAAATTATTCCAGATTATGATATTTGCTTGATAAACATTTTTTAAAGGTATTCTTATCAGTTGGTTTCATTTATCCTAGGTTTCAGATTACAGGTGTTTTTAGGTATATAAAATATATGTATATGACACTGACAGGTTTTGTGTTGGTATGTGTCAACGTGCGCTATAAAACAACATCGATAAAGGCCCGATAAAAAGTGGTTGTTTTTAACACTGTTATCGATTGTGTTTTTAACTAACTGACATTATCGATGTTTAATACACCATATTGTACCTATAAAACGGTTTAAAAAATAAATAAATGACCAATTGATTAATTATTCACAACTAATCCTGCCATTGGCACACAGTTTATTTATGCATTATTTAAGTTTAATCAGTTAATCCCGAGTAGATTAAACATCATCTGGACTTAGCTTTTTTACGTTTTAAATTCGCTAAATGTTGACATCAGTGTTTGATAATGGGTGTTCAATTAGATAGATAGGAGATAATAGGAAACTTGATGTATTTATACAGTTTAATACTGAAATCTTCGTTCAGTGTTTATAATAACCAACTGATAGATTTAGAAATTTGTAATTAATAGGCGTAATTATTATGTGTGCAATAGGCTTGAGATGTACAAAATAAACAGAACAAATACTAGGTTCTGAATTATTCAATATGGAATGATTAATGAATCTATTTCATGTTATATATAGAATAGTATGGTTGGAAGGTACATTAATTGAATTATCTATGAAGTTATTGTGTTTGCTCAGCGGGCATTGAGCAAAGAATAATGTGCTCAAATATGTTTTTAGTCTAAATTGATGTATGGCAAAAACACACGGCTGAATATCTGTATGGTTTCTGTGATGCAGAGATTCATCAATTACAAGACGCCAATCTAATTACTCAGAAGGTGATTACCGTACTGTTTTCATTCTGATTTACACGGATAAATCTGTCGTGAACATCGTTGAGAACAATTGTAATGAAGTGAGTTTCACATCACTGCGGGAGTATTACCCCATACTGATCCGAATACGGTTAATCAAGTTGTTCAGAGAACATAGCGGCGGATCAAAGGTACAGGTAATTTTAGATAAAACAATGTAATCGGTAGGTGAGTGGTGTTAATTCCTAACAGGTGGACCAACAAATTAATATTAATCTGATAAAAAGCGCAACCCAGACTGTGCTGCCCAGAGGTGATCAGACGGAGATGATTGGAATATATTAGACGAACTTCAAAAGTCTTGATATCCAGCAGTGTTACGTTTCACGTTCACTGTATAGTTTGTATATTATAGTCGCCAATTATTGCCCATGACATCTGTTCCTGTATAGAAATTTAACGGGTCTATATTTACCAAATATAATTGTTTAGATTGTGATATCCCTTTTCCAATCCTCACTTGTACACAAATAAATACTTCTGATACTAGATTTTGAACGACCATAACTTTTTCTGCATGATATTCTACAGGAAAAGAACAACACAATTTAAAGCGGAAATTGCAAATTTTTAACTTATATTTTTAAAATTTATTAAAATAAAGCCTGAAAATAGATGGTATCCATAAACAGTCCTACCTTGTTAAAGATTAATCCTATTAATCCTATAATTCACTATTGCCAGCTGAGAAATTGACAAAAATATCATTTTCCTCTTCATTTTCAAACGTTTGAAAAAAGCTACTCCATGGTGGAGAATAGAAAACAAGGGAGGTAATTGTGTTATTATTTCCTGTGTAAATGAGTTTTAAGTGTGAGAATGACACCCATGATCGTATAATTGTGAGTTGACAACCTATTGAGCAAAAGACATAGAAATAATTACGTTTTGACTTTCTTAGAAAATTTGCAATATCCGCTTTAAATGAGCGACATGATGCTTGGCAAAACTCTCTTCCACATGTAAAATACAATATTACAAACCTGGTCACAAATACTGATTTACCCACTTCGAACCAACATTTTTAAATGAAATCAATTATTTCAGGTTAAATTCGGTAAGAATTGGGCTATTACAATTTAATGTTTAGCGCGGCCCAATAAGCTCTGTCACAGCGGTTGGGGTACATGTAACTGTAGGACGTGGGGTGGCATGTCAAAATATATGATAGATTTCTATAAGAAGAAAAAAAACAAAACATCTACTGTCACATCGAAGAGAGGCTTAGCCTACAAATTTAATTTTCTGCAGAACCGACCATGTTATTCATATTTTGGGCATTTCTTTACTCATATTCTAGGAAGTCAACGTAACTATTTTACTCTATTAGACATAAATATACATGTAGGTACTTTGGAAAACATTTGAACTACTGAGTAGTGCTAATGTAAATGTTCTATAGATAATTATTCTTAAATTTCACCATGTGGAAAGTTGTTGCTCCACAAAAGTTGAAGAATGGGTTACTTGTGCTATGCAATGCCAGGGGATGATGGAAGGTTCCCCATCAATGGTCTTTTCGAATTCCAACATATACTTGAACAGTGGCTTTAATGTTTATTATCGTCCATTTGCCTAATTTTCGTTGAGCTAAAAGATCTCGACAATGGTTTGCTATGAGGTGGCCAAGGAAATTCTGCGTTACAAAAACTGGAGTATCATAGACCTAGGCTAAACAACTAAAAATGTCATCCTTCGAATGCTTAGCGCGTGCGCAATGCATCATAAGGTCTGTCATTGAGTCAACTGGCGCGGTTTCGATTTCCCGGTTGTACTTGACAAGGAGTATGGTCGCCTGTCCAGCCTCGTGGGTTTTTTCCGGGTGCCCCGGTTTCCTCCCACTGCTAAAGATCCTGATGAGTAAGCGAATCATTGAAATAAAATTGAACCATGTTAGTCCTGAAATGACCTAGTTTATGCCGAGTGGACGTTACCCCCCCCCCCCTCCATCTCTCTCTCGTTGCTTGGGAACGTTTTGAATTTTGAAAAAAAGAAGGGACAATTTCGACGATGACAACATAGAAAATTAAATGAAATGGGTTCAACGTCCTATTATACTTTTCTGCACCAACTAGACTAATCAAGACAGTGTGCTGTGCTATATGACAAATTTTTCCCGGGCAGCTGCGTTTCCGCCTACTCTTCATCGAATTCCAACAATTAATGGTTCTTTTACGCGCACGCTAACGTGTACACGGGACCTCGGTTTCGTCTCATCCGAACGACTAGACTCTGTTCATTGAAAGCCCCCCCCCCCTTTCCTGCATCACGCTGCAGAACTTTTTTGGCCAAAACCATTATTTTATTTAAGCAAATGTGGCGATTCTGGTTCATATTAGTGTTATTCCAACAATGATTCGAAACGACCCCAACACAAATTGAACTCTAGGCCTATAATTTGATTGAGTTAGGCCTGCTGTATTGAGAACACCGGAGTATGTACACTTCTGTCAAAAACTTAAAACGCGGAATATATAATAGGCCCTGCTGCCTAGACTTATATTATACGTGCCAAAATGATAACAGTGTCTCATTCCTGTATTGCTAGAGACGAAATATAGTCTGCATACTGGTAATTATTAGAGTTCGTGTGAACTATTTAATGAATAAACACGATAACAATTACTATTACTGTTAGTTTATTCTGTTCACACTTTGTCTGCATGACCCAAGTCTTTATCTCACTATAAGGTCAAAATATAGCCTAGATGTTACTGTCAAAGTAAAAATATGATAATCAAAAAATTAGAAAAAGGGTCTGTTTGTTTAATCGACTAGATGTAGATAGAGCCCAGCCTTGAAACGTCAATAATATTGACTATTATTATTATTGAAGTATCGTCTACTCAAAAATACGCCAACAAGAGAGTTAGTTAGTAGACTGCAGTGAAACAAGCAACACACGAAGATGGCTGAAATACCAAAGACAATGAAGGCGCTGGTAAAACGCAACGAAAATGAGTCCTATTCTTATGAAGATATGCCAGTACCACAGCCGTCCGAAGACGAGGTACTGATAAAGGTAGATTCTGTATCAATCTGTGGTTCCGATATCAACCTGTATAAATGGAATGACGTAGCCCGTGTTATTGCCACGATACCGTTTGTTCCAGGCCACGAATGTGCAGGAACAGTAGTCAAGTGTGGACCCGATGCTGATATACCAATAGGGGCTAAAGTCGGTGTTGAAAACCACTATTTTTGTGGAGAATGTCTGCAATGTAAATACGAAGATCGAGGCATTTGTCCAGTTATGGGCCAGTTCGGACACGGAAAGAAAACCGAATATGGTGGCTGTTCTGAATACACGATTGTTCCAGCAAAATACCTTTACGTTATGAAGAGAAACCTTAGTACGTATCATATTATATTGTCACAAACAAGAACATTTTTATTTTTTTACAAATAGATGTCAGCCATCTTGCCACTCTGGTTGAATGACACAAGGGTGATAACTCCAATTTATGAATTGTTTAACGTTGAAAGTCAAGCTGAATAGTTGGACAGAAAAAAATGAACCTATATATTCGGGACATTGAACTGCATCCGATATTTATACGCCCACTGTGTCTTCACCCTGTCCGTCGCTCTGTCGGTCCGTCAACAATTTTTTAACGGATTTTCTTTATTAAGTTTGGTGTGAAGTCATGAGCCTGAGAGGACCGATATTCAACGTATTGCGACTTTTCGTTCAGGATTTATCCCCCGCTTTGCCGAACGCGATAGAGGCTGTAGTTTTCGACGAATTTTTTTCAGATTTGGTGTGAAGCAATTTGGTCATAGGAGGACACCTATCGATGCCGGGCGCTATTGCAATATACACACTGATCCGCAGTGAATATTCGCTATACTATAGGCTGTGACAATCACCGATAAGGATGACACACTGATCTAAACTGATCTATGGGATGACATTGATGCGACTTAATGAGCCACAAATATTAACTTTCTTCCTCCAACAAATTAAATTCTAAAACATTTTTTTTATGTATTAAAAAATATATAAAGACGCTTGAAGTATTTGTAGGTAAAAAATATTTCCTATTTTAGTGTAGATGGGTATTAAAATGAGTAAACGGCGCCATTCTGCTCGAATCAGTAACGTCGTAAATGTAAACAATGCACGCTTGTTAACCCTAACCCTGGACCTAGCCCTAACGCTTACCTTAACCGTAACGATATAATCTCACCAACAATCACGTGTCCTAACCTTACATCTCAGCGACCTTGACGAAAATTGAGTTGGCCTATAGATATTCAGCGTTTGAATCAATGACGTAGATACTTTGCATTTTTTAAACTAACTTGGTTATAATAAGAATTGCGGTCATGAGAGGACGAACCCTTTTGATTTCCAGCTTCCCACGATTTTCCGTTCCGGAGTTACCCCCCCCCCCCTTTGCCGATAACCTTGTAAACGAATAAGCTACAGTTTTTTTTAACAGATTGGCTCCTGAACACGATGGCTACAGTTTTTGTCCGATTCTTTTCAAATATGGTGTGACGCATCGTGGTCATGGGGGGGCCAACCCTGTCGATATTCAACGGGCTGCGACCTTTGGTGCCAGATATATGGCCCCTATTCCGAAAACCTTGGGGATGCTCGATTGTCAGTCCGGAACGTTCCGAATTGACGGAATCGCAATCGAGTGATGCGGAATTCAGTCCTGTCACAGTTCTTTCGGTCCCGCCAACGGAGGTGGTGTGAGTAGAATCGTGACGTAATTAAACACAACGAATATGTTTCAACTGTCATGGTTGGCCGGTATAGTTATGCAGTTGGCGCATGCGTTTTAGCCTGAAAGCACCCTGAATTTACCCGATTGTCGCTTTTGGGGATTCAATTCCGGAACGTTCAATCAAGTATCCCCATCGTGAACGCGATAGGGGCTATAGTGTGTAACAGATCGTTTTCCAATTTGGTGGGAGGCATTGAGGTCACGTGGGAATGAATCCTGCGACTTTTCGTTACAAAGTTATTCCCCTTTGCCGAAAACTTTGTGAGCGCGATATAGACTACAGTTTTCGACGGATTCCTTTCAAATTTAGCGTGAAGCATTGTGGTCATGCGAGAACAAACCTAGCGTCTATGATTTTCCGTTCTGGAGTTATCTCCCCTTTGTTGATAACCTTGTGAACGGGATAGAGGCTACATTTTGTTTAACGAATCTACATCTTGTGACGTACATGCGTCTGACCGAAACCACGCCATTTGACTCAATGACGCAAGCTGGGCGGAGACATCAGCCTCAGTGCTGGCATGTTTGTACTGGCCTTTGCGCCGCATACTTAAATGCTTACATCATATTCAGAGATACTCGAACGAATGAATGCATTACCAAAATGGGTACAATTTTAAGCATGTCCAGTACAAAATTTGTCCCCACCCCATCCAAACAGGGTTCCACCCGAGACCCGCGAGTTAAGGGGAATTACGTCGCCGCAGACCCCAACCGGTTTACCCGCGACATACGATCGTTGACTTGTCACTACCACAGCTTAACAACGGCCATTTCTATCATTTATAGTGTTTGTAGTGCCGACAGATCATTTCACAGTGATAGATTTGAAACAACATCAGTGCCGTCATTTCGGTTTTCCAGCCTCGTGGGTTTTCTCCGGGTCCTCCGGTTTCCTCCCACTGCTAAAGACCCTACGCGCAAGCGAATTATTGAAATAATTTGTGTCGAGTGGACGTTAAACCCCATTTCTTCCCCTCTCTCTCTCTCTCTCTCTCTCTCTCTCTGTCATTTCGGTTTTGTGTCTGGCCTTCTTGTGGACAAATTTTGATATCTAAAAAAGATCTCGCGGTAAGTTTTTCATAGAATCCGCGTGAAGTCAAAATTTATATGCAATTTTCATCTTACATTCCAGGTCCGGATGAAATTGCTATGTTAGAACCTCTAGGGGTAGCTCACAATGCCATCGAAAGACTAGAAGTTAAAAATGAAGATGTATTAGTTATAGGTTGTGGTCCAGTTGGTCTATTGGCTCAGTGTTGTGTAAAAGCGTTGGGAGGCAAAAGGTTTGAAACTACTTATAATGCTTTATAAACCTGCACAAAACACCCCAACAAACCAAACTTATAACTTAGCTGGTCACAAATGAAATACAAAACTATCCAAAATTATGTTTACACGACAATATCCTTTAATTTGTCAAATGAATATGATGAGTAAAAATATAATGTATGAATTCAATCCGACACTTGTCGTCTATTTTTGTATACAGGTCACATGGAATACAATTACTGGTTGGTCAGCATTAACTAAGTATTGCAGTGTACATGTATATATTGTCTTGTTATATTTTCATATTTTATCATTGCTTGATAATGACTAGAGAAGCCTAGTCGAAATGTCGTTCAGTAATAAGCAGTAATTGTATTCCATAGAATTGTGACCTGTGATGTCGGGTTGTCTGGTTATCGGCCATATTCATCGCAATACGATGATTATGTACACTGATCCTGGTGTTGGTCAAGAAAGTTCCCCGGATTTTGCAGTGTGGTTTCTCCCTGTCGGTAGTGCAGGACAAGGGGCCTGGCAAAGAACAGTGTCTAGCTGTGTTGATTAACCAAAAACAAGCTCCTGTGTACACATTTGCGTGCATATAAAAGAATCCTTCACGAATTTCGATGAAGAAATGCCACGGTCCATTGAAAATTTCCGTAATAGCACTCTGCATAGCGTATGCATATCTTCAATAGCCCGATTGGTTCAGAAAAGTATTGAATAAAATGAAATTGGATTTAACGTCCTGTTCTGCGCTGACTGGGCTAATGAAGACGGGCATACGCTATACACTGTACTGTGAGGAAAAAATTTACCCAGATAGAGGCGCTACGGCCTACTCTTATATTGAATTCCAACTGGCAGGGGTCTTTTCGATGGACCGTGGCATTTCTTCATAGAATTTCAACTGTGAAGGATTCTTTTATGTGCACGACAATGTGTACACAGGATCTGGTTTTTTTTGTTGTCCCATTTACACAACTAGACACTGTTCTTCGCCAGACCCTTTGTCCTGCACTACCGACAGGGAGAAACAACGTTGCAAATTCCCGGGGAACTTTCTTGACCAACACCAGGATCAGTGTACATAATCATAGTATTGAGAGGAATATGGCCGACAATACGACATTTTCACCAGACACTACGATATTAAAAAGGTCGTAATGTCGCTTAAAAATGTCGTATTGTCGGGTTAAAATGTCGTGATAACCAGTATTGACCAGAAGTACCAAATATAGAATACAGGTCACAATTCTATGGAGTACAATTATAGAAAGGGGGAAACAATTGTTATGTGATTCTTTCTATTGACCATTATGGATATTGTTATCCGAAATGTTTGTTTTTAAATTAAGATTAGAGATGCATTATGTAAGCGCAGACTGTTCTTGCTATTATATACTGAACAACAAAAGAAACGCCACCTTTTCAAATACAACCAAAACTATCAAAAATTGATGTAAATCTATTTGAATATCAAAAAGATACGTCAATTAACACAGCAATCGATATCATCTTTAACCTTTTACGCATGAAAGGGTTTAGGCTCAGCCTGTCATTGTCGAGATCGATTGCAGTGGACTTTGTAGCGCCAACACTGGCGTCATCAGCAATCGAGAAAGATCATTTTTTTCGGATGAAAGCAGGTTATAAATTTCAGAGCTCAAAATAAAGGCCTTTATTTCTGTTATTTAGTGCAACGTTTCTTTTGGTGTTCAGTAGTTCAAAAATAGATAAAAAAAAATGAATATATTGAAAAGTTCATTCAAATTTCTTTATTCTGGGCGAAGTTATGGCTGTTTAAAGAAGCAGCGGACACCGTTTTGTATCGTAGACTATGTCTCGATTATCTATTTTATTAATCTCGCGGGTGTTCAAATTTGAAGCCAAAAGAAAGACCTGCAATAGACAGATTTAGCTCTTACATAATATATCTTTAATAAAAACATTTTTTTCTCAGGGTCATTGCAGTTGATATTGATGAATCACGCTTACAATTAGCGAAGAAACTTGGTGCTGATATTCTGGTTAATAGTGCCAAAGAAAATCTGAAAGATGTAAGTTGAATAACCTGCCTAACTGCCTAACATATATATTGTTCAGCAAGCTATATTTGTCATTTATACCATCTTGACTATTTAATTATCACTATTATTAGCGTCAGTAGCAGCTTCGTTATTTGTTCATTAGCTTTATGTTTAACAGCAAAATCTATATACGCATTGATAAAGCACTACTCGTGACTGGAAGTGCTGATGTAACATAATGCAGCTAAGTTAGAGTGAAACGTGTGTATCCACTTATAGCAGCCACATACGTCTTTCGACGTCGCCGTATGGCGGTGATAAGCCTCTAAATGGCTGCTTGTGGGATACTCTCGTTGCAATGTTGCTTGCGATTGTACTGGTACTCATACCCACGTAACCCATTTGAATTAATGCAATGTTCAGGTGTCAATCTGGCATATCGTGCGATTACACGATCGGGAAAATACTATTCTTTTACGCGCTATTGTTGTGATCTGGCCCCGAGTTCACGAAGCATTCTCAGACTTAAGTTAATAATTTACTCAAAATTGTTCTTCTTATTTTAACTAAAATATAGCCCTTTATAAAACGTCTGTTGTTTAATGTAGCAAATACATCAATAAGAAACTATGTGCAAATTTTTGTGTTTCTGGATCAAAAATATTTCTCATAAACAGTGATTGAAAGTTGAGTAAACTCTTAACTACAGTCTGAGAATGTTTTGTGAACTTGGGGCCAGATGCTGTCACATTTACAATGGCAATGTGTCTCTCAAATGAGATTTACTATCACTCTTCTTCAAAAGTGCTTCGATTTCATTGCGTCTGAGTATGTTTACAATCTTAATCCTTTGCCATTATCCTCATCATCTACATCATCACTGTCAACAGCAACAGCAACGTCTTTACTGTCACCATCGTCATCAGCAGCATCTGTCTATCAGTCAACGTTATTACAATATCGTATTCAGAGCAGTACTAATGATTTAGTTGCGTTGTATAATTTCAGTTTGTGTATAAATTTACTGAAGGAGTTGGAATGGGTAGAATATGTGAATGTAGTGGTGCATCGCCTGTAGTAAACGCAGCTTTTTCCATGTTGAGGAAAGGTGGCCATATTGTCATGGTTGGATTACCTAAATCCCCATTGCATGTTGAAAATGTATTACCTGATATTGGTAAGATATAATTTATATCAATACTTACATTTCCGCCAAATGGGATAAAAGTACAACTTAGGCGATAAATAAACATTTATACGTGGGTAGTCCCAAGGTTCATTGTTTATGGCTATAGTTTTCAGATTCACATAAATCATAAATTGATGTAGTAATGGAGAGGCCGCACTCACGCATAACTCACATATATAGTTAAAGCGGTATTAGGTAAGATTAAATCAAGAGCTGACAGTTAAAAGTTACAAAAATAGATAACGAAAAGAGAGTGTGCTGAAATTTCTGTCAAATTACTTCACCCTGGGCCTAGATATCGGCGATAAAATTATAGCCTAGCCTCGATTGTCATTACTACCGTTGTTACGATTATAAACAAAGTCTCGATTATCGACCACAAATCTAATTATATCGCATCCACTCGATGGCACCGAGAGTTTATTATAGTATTGGTAAGTTAATTAATGTCTAATTAAAAATTTATATAACATTTCAGGCCTAAAAAAAGACCTACAATAGGCAGATTAGCTCTTGTATAATGCCTGTTTAACTTGGGTCATGTAAGGCATATGCGAAGAAAATGTCCAGATCCACGGGCGTTCTCTTGTGTGTATGTGTGGAGGCATGGAGTGGGGTAGTTACTTTAGTAACGGATTCTTATCGACTCTACCCGTTACTGTCTCTCCCTATACACAACTAATATATTTTTAAAAAAAACAAACAAACAATATTTTATTCAGAAATGCAAAGTTATTGAGGAACAGGCATTGCATATATGACCTCTCTCCCAAATACAAGAATAAATATGGATATGTAAAAGAAATAAGTGAGTAAACAACAAAACAATATAATGAAAACTTAATCAACAACATTTGGTATACTATATACATATATTTACACATTGGCTACGTAGTTGTTCGCATTTTTATTATGATCGATATAGATGTTACACTGATTTTACACTGGACCTTTTCAAAGATGGCTAACGAAATATGACTGCTGCTTACACCGTATAACAGATTATGTGTATTGATAAAATTGGGTGGTAAAAGATTTATAGATATTTTAAGTGAATCAGAATGTAAGGAGCAATGCAAAGGAAAATGATCGAAGGAATGACCTCAATCATATCTAATATGAAAATAAGACTTTTCCCTCTACCCCGGTTCGAAGGCTATTTTGCAATCCTTGCCGTCTATTTTCACCGTGATTCTTCTTTGTTCGCTACAAGGAATCATTTCTTGGCACACCCGACACAAATTTATAATAACCCGACAATATTTTCATGTAGAATTGTGCGATACAAATCACAATCAAGATTCGTTTGCATTGATCCGCCATGATAAAACGTACGTCTGTGGAGACCGGAGGTCACGGGTTCGTGATCTGTGCTTAGCCAATATTTACAAATTTAGGAATGGAATGTTACCGTGAAAAATAGACGGTAAGGAATCCAAAATAGCCTTAGAACCGAGATGGGGGAAAAGCCTTATTTTCATATTAGATGTGTATATGGAGAGACAGTAACGGATAGAGGACAGAGTCGATTCGATATGAATCCGTTACTAAAGTAACTAGGGGTGGGGCGATGGGCAGTAGTGTTTAATTCACCGGGACGTTTATCATTAATCAAAAAATAATAATGGTTTTATCATTTGTGTTTTGACAGTGTTTAAAGCTCTAACTCTAAAGACAGTACATGGAAGAAGAGTTTATCATACATGGGTAGAAATAGAACGTCTAGTAGCTGATGGTATTATTGATGTCAACCCGATAATAACACATAAATTCGCCATGTCGCAATTTGAAGAGGCCTTCCAAGCATTGTTTAGTGGTCAGGCTTGCAAGATCGTTGTTGATCCATCCAAATAGGTTAAAATATTTTTTAATTAATGAGATAGGACAAACAATATTCTGTATGTTTTGATATAAAGTAAAAGAAAAATTTACAATTTTATTGTCTTTCTTTATTCTTTTCTTATGATGTTCACCATGAAAAACTTGAGATACACAAGCTGGAAGTAGAGAGAAATAAACATGCAATTTTCGGCCCTACATTTCAACCTAACCAACCTCTCAACTCTTGTATCCTTCCGCCTCAAAATCATTAATATTCACCAAAACCTGGCAAAAAATGTATTTTCAAACCCTTTTCTTCGATTCTACACCAAAATGTCAACAAAAACTGCCATTCAAAAGGGGGAAAAGGGAAAGGGAGAGAAAGACTAAGGGTGACGGCGTAGAAATATTTGGTGAGTTTTGTCCATAACATTAGGGAAAGCGTTTGGACTAAGACTAGTAATTATTTCCCCTTATTGCGAGTGCGAGTTATAAATAGACAATTTTTCCCTTAATTTTTTTCTCCCCTCTTCCTGCATTTTTTGGTTGACTTTTTGGTCTAGAATTGGAGAAAAGGGATCAAATTTGCAATTTCATAGCAGTTTTGGGTATTACTAATGATATTACAGCGGAGGGATAGGGGGTGTAAAGTGTCTTTCTGCAGAGCATTGTGTCGGAAGTGAGATTTTCACCCCAGTCAACTTCAAATCCGCGTAGCAAAAAATCTAAATGGTCAACCCCCTACAAAATTATAATGAGGAGATTGGCAAATGTTGTCCCCATTGTGCCTATAAAGATTGGAACCAACGGAATGTTGAGCAAAAAGCTACAGCCTGTGATGTTACAGCCATTTAACATTGAAGTCAATGGGCAAATAATTGCTAGTCTGAGACCGTTTAGGTTTTGCAGAGTTATCTTTCGGGGCACATATTGTTATTTTAAGATTGTGAACGGGGATGTTTTATAACTGAGTGGAATTGTTCTGTTCATTTGATACTAGGGGAGTACCCTATCGAAATTCAAAATTATTCCATTGCGAATCTTGGAATTATCCCACGTTTATAGGAATTTTAAAAAAAAGGTTATCTTTTTGTCCACAATTTGACTGTAACAGTCTGTGAACGAGATACAGGTTAAATTCTCAATAGAATGTACAAAACTTTTTGAGACTGTACATGGACGTAAGGAGAAACCATAATGAAATTTAGTTTTTTTCTATTACAAACGTCGAATAGTTCCTCATCCAACCCCAACCACACGTCCAATTTACGAGTAAGTTTACAACAGAATATTGCCCAAACCTTGCTGAGATTCTCCATTTCCCTGCTTGAATTTTAACAATTAGATGTTAGGGCTAACACGAACGACTTTCCTTCTGGTGAGAGTATTAGGGGACTGACAAGAAGACATCTCCAGCCCACCACGTCTATGGCTTAAAGACACACACAAGAAATGTGATAGTCCTTCACCTTTGCACTATAATCTGTTAAAGTACTTTGTAAATATTTGCCAAATATCGAAAATTAAAAGTATATTGAAATGCGAAGTCACGTAAACGTGTCTAATATAACTAACTGTAATGTATGCAAGATAAGTCATTTCTGCTAACAATGTATTAAGCTATAAAATAAGATATCTACAGAGATTGAAATTAATAAACATATTTAGGTCATTTTGCGTTATTACAGCTATGTCAATATGATAGCTTACAGGTACTTAAAATTTATTTTATTTATTACTACTTCGAACTGTTTCAAAACTCATACGGGTTAATTTTACCATGATAATGGCAAAATATTTCCTGAAATATTTATAAAGTAATTACTCCTGTCACGAAAATCTTGTAAAGGTGTCACAGATAACAAAAGTGTTCGCTTTGTTATTTTTAGGCTTCCACTTCCACTGTTTAATCCATTGTCACTAGCTCAAATCCGAGAGAAAGAAAGACAGAGGGGGCGGTAGGGGGTCTTTAGCAGTGAGACTCACGATGTTGTTAAGGTGACACTACACCTTGTCACGTACAAGTTGGAGATCGAAACCATGCAACATGACTCAGCGACATACCTCATTATCAACCAACATTGTTCTGAACTGACTTATTATTGTAATAATATTGCTAGAATTTTTGCTCTTGAAATAAGATGCCTTTATATTTCATTAATTAATATCTTTGGCAAGTTAGTAATTTCAATCATATTCACATATATAGTGTGCACTAAATCAACTTAGTCTGTTACTGACAGTTGACACATAAAAAAGAGTTATTTATCGAAAACATATGTCACTCATTTACCACCAGGATTACACGTGAGTGGAATTATTCTAATTGCATCATTTAGCTTAAAGTAACCAATCATATCGTTAATTACACAAGTTCAGGGCCATATTCATATGGTTATAAGAGAAACCGGGGAACCCTGTAAGTCAAACTTGCATTAGATTCCAGAGATCGAGGGTACATCTGAGTTCCTAGACAACCGAGATGCTGGATAGGGTGGAGAAGTGGTTTTAGCTATATAGTATTGTAATTTGTGCTATGCTTGTATACCTGTATTCAGTTATATGCTATATAAAATGTAGAAGCGAACTATGCATTATTATTCCTGGTAAGACAAACGTCTTAAGAAACTGTAAGAAGTAAATACACAACGTGAAGCAGAAGTAAAGACAGCTAGAGACAAATTCTAGACGATCACAAGGCTACAGAAATATGTAGTAAGAAAAGATGCATGGGTCGTACGTAGGATGTGGCGACCGGTTTCCCATAGACGCTCTCCACGTCAGACAGAAAGACTCATGGTGCTACATATTCTATTTGGTTGCCGTGACAGTTTCGACCTTTAGGGTAAGCAGAAAATTTGGAAGAAGATTAGAAGAAAAGAGAGTATGCATCACACGTTGGATGTGGGGAGTTCTCCCGTAATATTTTCCACATCTAACCAGTGACTGCATAGCACTGCATAGTCTTACATATTCGATTTAATGCCGTAACGCAGTTTCGACCTTTGGGGTAAGAAGTCACTTTAGAAGAAGAATACATATTTGAAGATGTTAAGAAGAAAAAAAGATCTGTACAATCCAGAAACAGAAAAATTCTGGGGGAAAAAAAATATCTGGTGGAGATATTCGAAAAATTGGGTAAATACATTTTGTTTGGTAAATTAAATGTGTTAAATTTGTTTAAAGACCAAATAATATTAATTTAAAGTTAAAATCTGATTAGAATCTAAGTATTTAAAATTTAACTATATAGAGAATAAAATATAATCATTCATAAGTTGAGATTGATAGGTTTATTAAACAATATAATCTCATGAGTTAGGTATGTATATTGTCGGGTTAACATGACCTGTAGTAAATTTGTAGTAAAATTAAAGTTAAAGAGAATGTTTAGGGTGTAGGTTTTAAAAAAAAAATGTTTTGATATAACTAAGAAATAATAAGGAAACGGAATAGGGAATAAAATAAGGAACTAATGTTGTCTCCGGATCGCAGTGAGAAAGAAGGCAGAGCTAAGGATGAAATTTGTGAGTGATTAACTGCAGTTTCCTAGTTGGCCGTGGTTTCTACTGTGATTCGTTAATTTGTGTTTTTGTGTTGTTTCGTATATGTGTGTTCAGCTATATAATTTTGAGGTCCTTAGTCCAGGCCTTAGAGTTGTTGTAATTTAACTTTTGATTAAAAAGTTGGGTTATGTTGAAAATCCCATATGGTTAATCTAGGGATGTTGGTTATAGTTTTCCTGGGGTTAAACTAAAATTAAAGGCTCGTTAAATTTTGAGATTATCACAAAGTCATCAATACGAGTTTAATAGGAGGTTAAAGTTAAGAATATGACACTTTTTTTAGAAAAGTGGAGTATACGGTAGATTTTGTCCGTATATAATTTTATGTAATTAAATTTTTGCTTTAGAAACGTAATATTAACGTTTAATATATACTGCTAATTGCTTTAAGCTGTCGACATGTACACGAGATGATTAGAATGTGTAATTTGACATTCGGTCAGATTATTATAAACAATAGGTTCTAATACTGTGTTAAATTTGACGTGTGTAAAAGTCACGGATTGCATTAATATAATATATAGGATGTAGTTAACTGTATGTGTTATTAAAAGTTAGGTATGTTCTAATTGTTTTGTTTCTAGAATATAGACTGGTGTTCCGAGGGAGTGAAGTGCACGTCACTTGCTTTGAACATGATTCTAAATAATGTTTATATAATACTAATAATAGAATAGGTACTGTAGGATAAAATGGAATGTCATTCATATACTGGCCATATTTGATTGACAGTTCTATTCTAGGTAAAATGTAACACTGGTATTGTCAGCTCAGCTTGTGTCAGTGTCAGTCTGATAGGAAGGTTTATAAAAAAAACGAAATACAAAATTGTAAATGATTAGGTCAAAAAGGTCACATTACTGACTGAGAAATATAAAATAATAATGGCGGAATTCTAAAACACAAACGGAAATTCTAAAATAGAAAACGCAATTATAAAATTACTGATCGAGTTAGGTCAAGAGGTCAAACTTAGTTTGAAAATTTCTAATTAAAGGGACACCTCAAAGTTTATTAATACTTAAATAAAGTTTAATTTTCATTACAGTAAGATTTGCTAATACGTTTTCGAAATAATATATTAATAATAATGTTAGACTAATAGCAACATAAAGTTTAAAAAAAAAATAGTAATAGTTAGTTCTTGGTCGGATGGCAATGACATGTTTGATTGACGGATAAAATTGTACAAACCAATCATACTTAGAAGAAAAAAAAGAAAGTTATAACTTGACACTATGGTAGCTGAAACAGACCGATACAAATCCAAGAAGAAATGGTTTACCAGTTTACCAAATTGACATTTCCTGAGACAGAATTTAAAGTGAAACCCGAACTTTATAAATATTATGTGATGTGTTATAGTGTTTTGAAATTAGGACACTTGAAGATTTTAAAAAGACAATTTGTGTTTTCTGTGTTTAGGCTTAGTGAATTTTCATAGGATTTTACAGTGATGAACTTTTTTTTGGAGAACTTTTGCATGCAACTTTTGATTTTTGATTTTTGATTATGTGTGTTTTTCTTTCACAGCTTTGTTTTATGGTATAGTAATCATTTACATTTGCCTGATGCATGAATAATTATAGGGTTTAGTACATGGCCGTTTTTAAGAGTCTCCTACCTGTTCATTTAGCATCAATCTTGCAAGTGGGGGAGGTGATATATGTTGATTTTCTAGATTTCTGCTACATTTATGAATAGTTATATAATTCTACAGATGTTGGTATGGTTATTGTAAAGGATTCAAGGGATCTTTTACCCAATACCGAGCAAAAAGTCTTAAAGGAAGGGACGAATGTAATAATATTGCTAGAATTTTTGCTCTTGAAATAAGATGCCTTTATATTTCATTAATTAATATCTTTGGCAAGTTAGTAATTTCAATCATATTCACATATATAGTGTGCACTAAATCAACTTAGTCTGTAACTGACAGTTGACACATAAAAAAGAGTTATTTATCGAAAACATATGTCACTCATTTACCACCAGGATTACACGTGAGTGGAATTATTCTAATTGCATCATTTAGCTTAAAGTAACCAATCATATCTTTAATTACACAAGTTCAGGGCCATGATCACACTTGATTGTGCGTGATATTCATATGGTTATAAGAGAAACCGGGGAACCCTGTAAGTCAGACTTGCATTAGATTCCAGAGATCGGGGGTACATCTGAGTTCCTAGACAGCCGAGAGGCTGGATAGGGTGGAGAAGTGGTTTTAGCTATATAGTATTGTAATTTGTGCTATGCTTGTATACCTGTATTCAGTTATATGCTATATAAAATGTAGAAGCGAACTATGCATTATTATTCCTGGTAAGACAAACGTCTTAAGAAACTGTAAGAAGTAAATACACAACGTGAAGCAGAAGTAAAGACAGCTAGAGACAAATTCTAGACGATCACAAGGCTACAGAAATATGTAGTAAGAAAAGATGCATGGGTCGTACGTAGGATGTGGCGACCGGTTTCCCATAGACGCTCTCCACGTCAGACAGAAAAACTCATGGTACTACATATTCCTCAAACCACCGTGACTCATAACATACAACCAGATTTATTTTCAGCATATTTGCCGCCTTTTAAGGACAATACACCCATATTCATACATAAAAATGGAGCGAAAGAGTTATAACACTTTATTCCAATCGACCCGGTTGTAATTGATATCGCTATGACAGGGTGACAAGAAAATGTAAAGAAATGTCAGTTCTGCTTTTTAGCTATATGTAAATTCAGTACCGGATCTAGGGGGTTGGGTGGTTCCAAAGTGGGACGAATTTTGGGTTGAGTACAAGATTAATAGTTCCATTGTGTTACTCGCCCAAAATATACCCCAGAATGCACCGAACGTATGTTTCAAACTGTTATGGGGAGACCCCTGTAGTACCATGGACCGGTCGCCACACGTATGACCCATGCATTCTTTTCTTACTACATGTGATCGTCTAGTATTTGTAATTGTCGTCTTTGCTTCCGTTTCATGTTGTGCATTTTCTTCTTCCTACCTAAGTAGTTAAGACGTTTATCTACCCATTAGTTAAGACGTTTGTCTTACCAGGAATAACAATTCAACAGTTCGTTTTTACATTTTATATTTCGAGCTGAATACATGTGGTACAACGCATAATAGATTACAATAAAGTCATTTTATTATGCCCAATTAACCAGTGAATAGCAGAATATTGCAAAAAAACTAATTGCGTGACAAACGAGGCTATCAAAACGTATACAATGTAAACAAACTGTTTGAAGACGAACAATACCTTAAATCACTGTCCAAAAATTTAGGGAAGAACCCTATGGCTGTCATGTTGCTGTACTTGGGATAGATTTGATTGAATCCAGCAATGGCCAGAGAGGGATTTCTCGGGCCATTGCTTCAGGAATATGGTTTGCTGATAGAAATTGCCACATCTTCTCTCTCTGGAATCCAACGGCTATCTAACGAATGCTCAGGGGGATGATAGTCTTGTAGCTTTGGGTTTGTGGCTTCAATTATCTAATTGGTCAAATATGACATAATTAATTATAACGATGGGTTAATTCAAAGCCGTATATAGATACAGGGCTTTGGGTTAATTAGCCTAATGACGTCGAAAACCACCCTTATATGGACAGTGGAAACTTACACCAGAAGTGTCACACGTGTTCTTTTGTTATTAACCCAGAATTGAATGTTTACCAGATTGAAACATGCAACATAAGAAATTAAAACCACGATAACACGACGCAATGCTATAACTTATTTACAATATCAAATCGTAATTTAAGGAATTCAATAAAAGTGCATCGATAATATCTTATTGTTAGGATTTTCAATAGCTAGATTAGTTTTTGAAATATATGATACTAGCGGTTGACCCGATAGCTATGAACCGGAATTAACATAGCTCCGAAACCGGAAGTGGAATCGCCATCTGGTCTTTTATTTACTGCCCGGTCCGAGCTACCTCATAACACCAAATTTCAGCATCGGGACAGCCCTTGTGTAGCCGCCAACCCTGAACAGAAGGTCTGACAGACAAACAAATGGCAGTCACAAATTAGTATAAACTGATCAAAAATAACTACATTTATTTTCTTGATGAGGGTGATAATGTCTCTTTAAGAGAGGTAACCCCTCTGTTCCCCAGCTAGCTACGACACCGTTTATCGCTTATCAGTTACTGTCTTGAAACAAACTATTATATTTATTTTTGTTCAAAGTTTATTGCTGGATATAATTTTAGGCCTATTATATTGATATGAGAAAGGTGCACCGCTATTATAACTACCTATAATAATAATGTTTTGGTTGATATCCTCTTACCTATTATAATGAATGACGTATAGTTTTAAAAAACAGAAACAGTACCGCATGATATCATCAACGAAACCGTCATACAGTAAGATAATATCGTCGTGAAGGATTAAATCAAATAGTTTATGTCTGGTACATAGCAAACGGTGACCTACCTGGTATACAAGATATGGCCCATATTAGGAGATATGGTACTCACCAACTGGACTATGCAACAGTACGTGACCACTGTCTGAAGACCAGGTCATTATTTGTTGACCCTGACTTTCCACCGGAAGAGAGGTCTTTATACATCGATGGCCAAAGAGATCGACAATTTGGGCGGGTAGTCTGGAAAAGACCACGGGTAAGGACATTGTTTCAGAAAAAGAAAATAAACTATATCTATTGTAATTGGTTATCTAACTTTAGTGTCAGAAAAATCTATTAACAAATCAGACCATATACTATAGGTTGAAATCTTTAAAGAAAAGAGAGAAAGAGGATAAAAGGGCAAGTTATATTTTAGATTTTAAAATTGTAGATGATAATGGTGCATATACCATACTATACATTGTGATTATATCGCAAGAACTACATTTTGATCCTTCCAATCTCTTGGATTTAAGCTGGAAATTGAGTGGTAATTATTAGAAACGACTCGACATGGGGTATAAATCGGAGTATAACCACCCGAATGATAGTTCTCGCCAATTTTTCTTATTAATAATTCAATTTGATATATTGCTAATCTTCTTATTTATTTGTATATACCAACTATATTGTCAAAAATTTGAATATAAACACCTCTGACTCGAATTCGTCACTGTTTTAGTAATTATTATCGATATGCATTATGCATCGCCTAAAACATGTGTATTGCTTGAAAGAACATGTATAGTCTAAATACAGGTATTGATGATAGTGTATATAATTTATTGAAAAGAGTATAAACTAATAAATGACTACATGTATGACGAACGTCCCGACCACAATACTGAATAATATTTACAATTTTAAATCGAGAACTGGGTAGTTAGAGTTATATATTACCGTGGTTTAATGTTAAGGGTATCGTATGAAAACGGAGTAGGGAAATACCGCGTTTCATCAGTGAAAAAAAAGAAAGCAAGAAAACGTTTACATTTTCACTCATGCTACGCATTCGTCAAAATATAAGTTTTCTTGCTTCTCGATGAAATAAAATATGTTATTCACTCTAAAACGACAAATATCCTCTATATATTTACTACAATAATGTTTTGATATTTATGAACTTTAATTACAATTGTCAGTAAAAGGTTTTTTTTATCTACACCAAGTAACTTTCCAATATCCAGATATGTAATTTCAAAGTCTGGTACGCTTTAATATACTATTCAAAAAAAGTAGGGGATATTTGATTTTGGGGGCATAATACTAAAATATGCAAATGACTACGAAAAAAGTCACTATAGAACCTAACAGAAGAAACATTTCCAGTTACATGTGACGCCCAAACGCACCAATAGCTACCGCATGGAATGCAGGTGATGCTTGGGATCATCATGGGGGTCCAACCCAAGATTTGCACGACTCTGACTTTGAATGGTACAGTCATTGTGGCATTGAATTCCAGGGTGGAAACATCAGTTTAATTGTTTTAGTGACCAGAAAACAAATTTTGATATGCGTCGGCTTACCCAAAATGAAAGGTTACGTGCCCTTGGCATGCTACAGATCGGCACAACACAGGCGGTTGTGGCGCGGACGATGAATGTTTCTCAGTCTGTCATAAGCAGGCTATGGTCCAGATACCGTGATACACAATCTGTACAGGACAGACCACGCTCAGGTCGACCAAGGGCGACAACTCAAGCCCAGGATCGATTTATCCGTACCTTGGCCTTGAGAAATCGTGTCATCACAACAAATCAGATCAGCGCTCGTCTTCAAACAGACACTGGTGTGAGAGTGAGTGGCCAGACGATTCGGAATCGACTGCATAGGGGTCACCTTCGCGCCCGACGTCCTCGCGTGATCCCTTGTTTGAGAGATCATCACATTCAGGCAAGACGTCGTTGGTGTAGGGATCGTCAACACTGGGATAATCGACGCTGGAGCAATGTGATGTTTTCAGATGAGTCAAGGTTCACTGTTGATTTTTTGGACAGACGTAGGAGGGTGTGGCGTCGTCGAAACGAGCGCTTCCAAGACGTTAACGTCATCAGACATGATCGATTTGGGGGTGGTTCTGTTATGGTGTGGGGAGGCATCACTGTTGCTGGAAGAACGGCTTTACATGTTGTTACAGGGCGTGTTACAGGCCAGTACTACCGGGACAACATCTTGGCAGTCCATGTTGTGCCGTTCGCACATGGCCGCCGTTTCATCTTCCAGGATGACAACGCAAGCTGTCACAGGGCCAGGATCGTTACAGGTTACCTCCAACAACAGAACATCACCACATTCCTTGGCCAGTACTGAGTCCCGACCTCTCCCCCATCGAGCATGTCTGGGACATGCTTGGACAGAGGTTACGTCAACGTCAACAACGTCCTGCCAATGTCCAAGAACTTGCTGCTGCGTTGCAACAGGACTGGGACAATCTGGACCAAAATGACCTTAGACGTCTCATTAGGAGTATGCCACGTCGGATCAATGCTTGTTTGGCAAACAGAGGAGGATTTACCCGTTACTGACTTGATTGTGATGCTGTGGTAACTTTGCTGTTTGACCCCGGGTATCATTTTACCCTTATAATGGTCAGTCTGTGCCTTACTTAGTCTAACGATCATTTGGAATAAATCGATGAATGTGAACTTCATTTCATTTTGTCATTTGTTTCTTCGTCAGTTTCATTAGGTGACTTTAATAACACTTAAAAATCAAATATCCCCTACTTTTTTTGAATAGTATATTATACCGACGATTTTATATTCAAGCAATTCTGGCTTTTTCATCCAACCATTAATCATTTCTTGGGGGTAATCCTATTCCAACATGCTGGTGTCGAGGTACCTTAGACTTGATCGTTTATCAAGTTAAATAGTAAGCAAGTATACGATACTGTAATAGAAAGACTTTTTTTTAAAAAAAAAAAAATCACAAGAAGGAAAGAAAAATCAACAAGAAATATAACACAGAACTAAACTGAACTGCGATGCAGTGATGACGGGTTTCCCCGGTGCCACGCTACTCTTGAACTGACGTCACTTCCCGTAACAATGAAAACGATAAACAGATTTCCACATGAGCATTGCGCACGTGTTATAAAATGAACGCAGAATTAGTCAAAAAAATCTAGCTATATCAGTTCCATTTATACAACGAAGACTCGACACGATGACATCACTTTCGTTTTCAACAAAATATTTAAATTGGATTACAGAAATAACTACTTCGATTGTCCTTTGCATGACATAATTGATTAAAATTGGAACAGAATTAACCCTTTATAAAAGCCTTATTAAAATGCCAAAAACCTTAATAAGTGATACTGACAAAATTGGTTATTGCTCGGCAAGGGAAGACGCTAAAAACACTTTTTGATATCTATATGAACGTATTGAATCATACTGGAATCAAATATCAAAATTTTATACGAATAATGAATATCGTTCACTTCAAAAAAATATTTGTTTTGGAAGCTAAAAATACAGTTTTTGCCAAAATGACTTTACTTCCGGTGATAATGAAAATGTTAAATGAGTTTTATGAAATCATAAATTGCATTAGGCATCACATGGTGAAAATTTTATGAAAATCGAAAAATAATTGACACTTTTATGAACCAAAATCCTTAAAAAGTAACTTGTAGAAAATCGTCTATTTCCTCGCAACTGAAACTATTTTATGATATCTATATGACCGCATTGGTTCATTCTATTTGTTGATTAATATCAAATATCAAATTGGTCATCAAATGGTGAAGAAAAAATTAAATCGGGTTATAATTGACTCTTTTACAGACAGAATAACGTAGAAAGTGACTCATGCAAAATTGCCTATTTCTCAGCAACTGCTTATATTACAAACAAATTTTGACATCGATTCGTATGGATTAATGCTACAATTTTATGCTAGTTACTTAAATTACGAAAAAGCGAAATGTATTGTAAATAGCTCATTTTTACACCTTTTTCGCCTTTAAATCGAAATGGTGCAAATACAAAACCGAAATTTAAAAACAAACTGAATCCGACTTTATTGCGCCTGTAGTAGGGGAATTCATCTTGATCTATCAGATTTGTTAAAATTAATATCTGTTCCAACCCGTCAAAATTGTTGTTTTGGGTAAAATTACATCACTTCTGGCGCCGACAGAAAACTTTATTGGTAATAAAAATGTTGCGAATTTGCATCATGAAGCATGTGATCTTTGTTTTATACAAATAGAGCAATAAATAATTAACCCAGAACCCATAAACTGAATAGGCCAATAGAGGCCAAGGCAAATTATCGAGACAAAATTTGCTCATATTTTTGCCCAAATCAGATGACTCTTTAACCCTTGGTAAAATGCCATAAAAAATATCCATATATAAAAAAAGTTTTTGTAAAAATTAAAATTTTCAAAATTTGGCGCCATATATCTTCCAAGATTCGTCGAAAATCAAAAATCTAAAGTACCGTAGCTATATGCATTGCCTCCAGCTATGTCAAAATATATCATATGTTAAAATCCGACTGTTATTGTCAATATTACGGCAATATTTCACAAAATGACAACTTCGGCGATTTCGGACATTTCGCATTGTCACAGAACGTTCAAAATAGCTTCAATCTCTAAGTCACACCCACTTTCCCAGTAAAACCGACAATTAATAGCCTCAGACACCCCCCCCCCCCCGCGCCATATGGTGTGGATACCTAGAACAATTTGCAACATAATTTTTTCTCGACTGAATCTGGCAGAGGGGTTCCTGAAGGTCTCCCAAATAAAAATCGCCCAAAATATAAAGATAGGTTTTCGAGTAATTAGCATAAATTCAATATGGCCGCCATTGGAACCTTAAAACTCCGATATGATCCCGGGAATGGTTGAGTTTGGAGGGTGTAAATGTATTAAAGGTAGATAGGAAAGTGGTAGAGATGGCTCAGAAAAACATAGCTATATGGCGTCCATATATATGGCGAACACCACATGAAAATAAAGGACAGAATTTTAAGAGGCTAATTTTAAGTCGATACTAATTGAATATAATTTTATATCGAAACTGGATATGAGAACTAGGGATTATTTATATCACTGATGGCATTTAACTAATCAATTATGGCGCTCCTGGTGTTAATGAAACAGCAATGTTGTAACAATCAAAAATATGACTAACAATGTATTTTGGGGGGGTGAAATGACGTAATTTACCATTTGAAGGAATGTTCATTAAATTGTCCTATATTTTCAGGACATTTGTAGTCGGCCAAGATTTGTGGTTGGTAATATAGACCGACATGACCTAGACCAAGGATATATAGGTGGGTTTTAAAAACTGTCCGTTCTTGCGGAAATAACAGGGAGATTTTAATCTTTAACATTTTGCAAGTGTCTGCATCCTCTGCATAAATTCTCTATTGGATCTTAAAGATGCGTTATGTAAATAGCTAAATCTACCTATTGCAGATCTTTCGTTGGACCTCAAATGTTACATAAATTATTAATTAGACATTTATTCACATACCAAGCCCATAATCTACTCTCTAGAATATCGGGTGGTCGTGATATTTAATGGATTAAAACACGATTGCCATTTAATAATTGATAACTGATAATCGAGACTTTGTAGATTGTAGTAACAATGGTAGCAATGAAATTCGAGACTATGTATGTGGGTGCCTGTTTCGGACCCAAACTGATGTTGGTTTTATTCAGTAGATATCTAAATTTAGATTGGGGAACAGGCTATGTCTAATATATAGACAAAATATATGAATATATAATATATACATTATTTTTACATACATAATTACGTAAATATAGAACATATAGGGGGTATATAATAGATAATATTGAGACATAATTTGTTTTATAAATATTTGACAGGGCAGAATTTATTCAGAATGCAGAGTGGATGGAAGGGTGTGGTAGGTTCTTGTTATTTACAGTCCTGTAAAACTTCCAATCATCTAATACTTTCACGTCTCTCAAACCAACTGATATGGTATACAACGACTGTACTTTGTGCAGGGCTGAAAATGACTTTGGAATTATATTATTTATGGAGACTTAAATCTTTGTGACAAATTAATAGATTGTTGATCTTCTCGGAAGATATGTGTTTATTTCAGAACTATACACGAGACACCTGACAGCTTTCAATTATATTGCAGTTTTTGGATTGTCTGTTTTCATGTGAACTTTTCGACGAATCCGTATTGGTATACTGGGTTGCATATTATGGTAAATTGTGATAAAGCCTACATGGGAGCGGTTTAGGGTCATAACCATTTAGAACACAATTGTCTGATAAAAACATGTTACTGTTGGTGATATAAAGTTAGTTACTTTAAAAGATATAATGTAGAAAATAAACGAAACATAAATGTAATCTGCAGAGCAAAAGAACGACAGTAAAATGTGTCATAGTGAATTAATAGCTAGTTTGATAAGAGAGATTTATGGCGTATAATGTTTAGACACCAAGGATTTCAATGTTAATAAATATAATCATGTATTCTGTAACCTGACGTGTAACCAAAAACATTTTTTTAAAGTATTTCCTAGCTCACGCAAAAAGAGGTTTTGTGGATAGTCAATACACAAGTAGGCCAACATTGCTCAGTTTGGGTTTTATGTGTTGTTTATATAAGTCCGTGGGGGTGGGGGGATTCTTCCCCAAGGAGGCAATTGGTCTATTACAGGTTAGGAAAAAGACCATGAGAGTGGTGATATAGGCTTAGCCACGTAGCTAAAAACGTTGAGACATACTGATGTGCTTGTTTTTAGCTACGATTGGGGGGTGGGACGATTTACCCAATACTACCCAATACCACCCAATACCACCCCAATACCACCTCAATATCGCCACATACTACCCAATACTACAACATAATGATGCAAAATAGACATATCGTTTGATTTTGGGTGACTTTAGTTCCAAGTGGCAAACTCAATTTCTTTATTAATGCATGTAACATCTTAAAAATAAGATAATTTTATACTATTATGACTAATTAAACTTACGGAGGCCAATGGAGTGGCACAACTATCGCCTAACTCCAAATATTCGCGTTTAAATTAATGAAGCGTAGATTTTATAAGACACACACCGTCATACATCTCCCGTTTAAAAATGGCGTTCCTAGTAACGGCTTAACGCCTCGGTTTTAAATACGATGATTTATACCCGTTTCAGGTAGGATTATCTGCTTAATTGTAGTTGGATGTGGCAGAAATATTATAAATAACAATAATCAATCGTTGTTTTGATGAAAAATATTGTCAATTTTGCTTACTGAGACCCGATGTGATTTGCGTTGGGCTTTGCTACTCGGAACTATATAGCACCATCTTTTATCTCGAAACACAGAGGGTTGAGAGATGATGTTTGTTATCTAATATAGGTTATGTCTGTTCCCTGATCCGTTTTCATCCATTTGAAATAAAATATTGCCTACACAAAAAAATAATAAATAAGATCATCTACGTTCGATGCTTACTGAATACCCAGGAATTAAAATAGACTTCCCCGGAAGATGTCCATTCAGAGGTGAAACTTATGAAGCTTTTTGTGGTATAGGATGGCGTTCACAATGGGCGCATTTGTGAAATGTTGGGTGATCAGATGAATATCAGCATTTACATTTGGTTCATTAAAATTACAGAGAAACCAAATCTACATTTTAAATCTCATCATCCATCCGACTTACGCCACAAAGGATTGCAGTTTTTCGAAAGACAAGCGGATAATATCACATTACTGTACATAAAAACAAAATTTTAGGAACATCACGGATCTCACTGAGATTCAGCAGGAATGTGCGATATGACCATGTAACACTCTAACTAATACACGGAAATCGAAGTATCGAGATCCTTTTTGTTATTTACTAGTAAATACAAAGTAATTATATTTTACAGGAGACTGTTGGTTTGTGGCCGCAGCAGCTACATTATGCACATCACATAGAAATATATTTGAGCGTGTTGTTCCAATAGATCAAACATTTGATACAGGATATACGGGCATGTATTTTCTTGATAATATAATCTTGATAATTTATCATATAATAACAGAGATAATAAATAAGAATTTATTGAATTATCTAGATAAATTTCGTATAAAATAATAACAAAATTAGCCATACCCAAAAGATTGTAACGGTACTTATATGCTAAGGGCCGTTTAAATTAGTTTATTTTAACGTAACTAATCTCTTAAGGGCATTCTCAAACTTAGTACCAGGCCGTCCTTATATATATTTAACCAGTGCAATGTGCAATTACTTACTAATACATGACAGTGATAGTTGGTTGTAATCCTCGTTTTATTCATTTTGAAGGGGTTTTCCGATTTAATTTTTGGTGGTATGGCGACTGGAAAGAAGTAATTGTTGACGATTATTTACCAAGCGATGGTGCCCAACTAATCTTCTGTAGAAATAGGGAGAGTAAAGATGAATTTTGGAGTGCATTGCTGGAGAAAGCGTATGCAAAGTAATAGGTTTATTTACCTTTGAAAAATGATCATTAACATTGAATATAAGATATGTATACATAATTCACGGATGCTTTATTTACTCTAATAACTGGTTCCATTAAACATTGAAATATACAAGACACATTGCTAATACCAAATGGGATGATATACATTTATGAGGATTTATATTATTTCAACTGCTGTCGTCAGAGTGAGGATCAACTATGTGTTAACTATTACAGTGACTTATAAATTTGGCAGTTTTATACCCACTTCTTTCAGATTGCGAGGGGGGTATGGTGGTTTGGTCGGTGGTAAAATACAGGATGGGCTTGTAGATTTTACTGGTGGCATCAGTGAAGTTATCGATCTCAGTAATAAAGATAAAATACCCCGGAAGCTCTTTTATCTATTGTATAAATCTATATTTATGAACTCGATGGTAGGGGCGAGCATACATGTAAGTACACTAAGATTAGTAACGGGTTATAGGGGTTTACGTATAAGCATTTTATATGAACTATTTAAAACACACACTTCTTTAAGGCAGCTTTCTCATCTCTTCCATAAGCCCGTCTTCATTAACCCAAGTTAGGAGCAGAACAGTAGGACGTTAAACCCCATTCCATTTCATTTCTTCCATAAGCCACCAGTTTATTCTGGAAATCAGTCTTGCATTTCTCCCTTTTCAGGAAGAATTTGGACATGAAAATTGACCCTTTCTTTACTTGTCATGTCATCATCCTTTCAGGGGATCCTGAAATACCTTGCGTTCTTAGAACTAGGCGGATTAAGACAAGGGCTGGGGCCTTCAGAGATTTTTTTTTCAAAAGGTATCTCGTTTCTGAATGTTGAATGAAAGTATAAGTACTCTAAATTATCTATTTAAAAAACTGTTACGCAAAAACCAATGTTTGAATTTTATTTTTTTGATAGTCTTGTAAAAAATAACTTTAATTTCCATTAACTTTCTTCTTCCTTTTGAAAATACTATTCTGGGGGCCGAGGGACCTACAAAATCTTATTCCGGTACATTACACCATTTTATGCATCATTGCAGTCCTTTATAATCCCTGCTCCCCGTGAGAATATTGCAAGAAAATACGATTTAACATTAACTTTCTTTTCCTTTTGAAATCACAGTGCTTGAAACCCAGTAGCCCACAGAAATCTTATTCCAGAACATTACCCCATTTTATGCAACATTAACGGACAAATATTACAAGAGGAGTTTTATATATACTATTCAAAAAAAGTAGGGGATATTTGATTTTTAAGTGTTATTAAAGTCACCTAATGGAACTGACGAAGAAACAAATGACAAAATGAAATGAAGTTCACATTCATCGATTTATTCCAAATGATCGTTAGACTAAGTAAGGCACAGACTGACCATTATAAGGGTAAAATGATACCCGGGGTCAAACAGCAAAGTTACCACAGCATCACAACCAAGTCAGTAACGGGTAAATCCTCCTCTGTTTGCCAAACAAGCATTGATCCGACGTGGCATACTCCTAATGAGACGTCTAAGGTCATTTTGGTCCAGATTGTCCCATTCCTGTTGCAACGCAGCAGCAAGTTCTTGGACATTGGCAGGACGTTGTTGACGTTGACGTAACCTCTGTCCAAGCATGTCCCAGACAAGGTAATGTGGTGATGTTCTGTTGTTGGAGGTAACCTGTAACGATCCTGGCCCTGTGACATCTTGCGTTGTCATCCTGGAAGATGAAACGGCGGCCATGACGTCGTGCGAACGGCACAACATGGACTGCCAAGATGTTGTCCAGGTAGTACTGGCCTGTAACACGCCCTGCAACAACATGTAAAGCCGTTCTTCCAGCAACAGTGATGCCTCCCCACACCATAACAGAACCACCCCCAAATCGATCATGTCTGATGACGTTAACGTCTTGGAAGCGCTCATTTCGACGACGCCACACCCTCCTACGTTCGTCCAAAAAATCAACAGTGAACCTTGACTCATCTGAAAACATCACATTGCTCCAGCGTCGATTATCCCAGTGTTGACGATCCCTACACCAACGACGTTTTGCCTGAATGTGATGATCTCTCAAACAAGGGATCACGCGAGGACGTCGGGCGCGAAGGTGACCCCTATGCAGTCGATTCCGAATCGTCTGGCCACTCACTCTCACACCAGTGTCTGTTTGAAGACGAGCGCTGATCTGATTTGCTGTGATGACACGATTTCTCAAGGCCAAGGTACGGATAAATCGATCCTGGGCTTGAGTTGTCGCCCTTGGTCGACCTGAGCGTGGTCTGTCCTGTACAGATTGTGTATCACGGTATCTGGACCATAGCCTGCTTATGACAGACTGAGAAACATTCATCGTCCGCGCCACAACCGCCTGTGTTGTGCCGATCTGTAGCATGCCAAGGGCACGTAACCTTTCATTTTGGGTAAGCCGACGCATATCAAAATTTGTTTTCTGGTCACTAAAACAATTAAACTGATGTTTCCACCCTGGAATTCAATGCCACAATGACTGTAACATTCAAAGTCAGAGTCGTGCAAATCTTGGGTTGGACCCCCATGATGATCCCAAGCATCACCTGCATTCCATGCGGTAGCTATTGGTGCGTTTGGGCGTCACATGTAACTGGAAATGTTTCTTCTGTTAGGTTCTATAGTGACTTTTTTCGTAGTCATTTGCATATTTTAGTATTATGCCCCCAAAATCAAATATTCCCTACTTTTTTTGAATAGTATATTTACATATGGCGCATTATATCTATTCTGTTTCCAGAAACATCCAAATGAGAAGGACCCAGAAGTTGAATTAACGAATGGTTTATATGCGGGACATGCCTACAGTATTACAGCAATCAAAAATGTGCGTTACATAATATCATATATAACACATGCAACATAAAAATTGTTATTCATTTAAACTTTTTAGTTATTTCTTCTTTTAAATGATTTATTTAGTTTTAGAATTCTAAATCTTTATTCAGGTGCCATTTCTTCTTTTAAATGATTTATTTAGTTTTAAAATTCTAATTAATCTTTATTCAGGTGCCATTTGGAAGATATTCAGTAAGTTTAATTCGGTTAAGGAATCCATGGGGTAAAAGTGAATGGACGGGTCGCTGGTCAGACAGGTTGGTATGATACGACGGATTGTTAATTATGATAAGGTGTTCGAAATATGCTTAGAGGGCGAATTGTGTTAGTATGCCATATTGTATTTAATTAATCCACTCGTTTAAGTTAAATCTGTTAGCTATTTTTCTTGTATGTAGTTTGCCAATTGACAAACGTGTATTTACAGATCAGAAGAAATGGAATCACTACCACCATCAGTTAGAAATGAATTGCGATTCCAAAGAGCAAATGATGGTGAATTTTGGTAAGTGCATAGCAAAGACTTAAAATTTACTTGATAAATGTTTACATACAAAATTACAAATTGTATCAATGGTTCATGAAAAAGGTATTACACTGTCTCATTATAACACTCCGTCTAAATCGTTTATACTCAAAGGGACAACTGTAAGCTTTGCATTCTTCTTTTTTTATGCTTGAAATATCCAACAATTGCATTTCATAGCTAGCACCATATAGATATAGATATAGTTATTTATGAATAAGATTAATTGATACTATTAATGTGTTATTTCATTGTGTTAGGATGTGCTATGAGGACGTGATTAATATCTTTGATGAAATACAGATGTGTCATTTGCAGCCCGACGCACTCACAACAGAAATAGCAGAGGATGAGGTAAATGATTAAAAGAATCAATCGGCAATCCTAAATAAATTAGGAAATAACTGGAGTACTTGATATTATTCTCGAGCATCATGTAGACGGGAAGGTTAACCTAGAGATTGTGAGAGGTTATTTCTTTTTGAAATGTAATACTGGATGAGCTCCGCTCTAGGGCATATCATTTGCAGTCCTCACAACAGAAATAGCAGAGGATAAGGTACATGATTAAAATCGCAGTTAATCTAAAAGAATAAATCGACAGCCCAAGATAATTCGGAAATTACTGGAGTAATTGATATTATTCTCGAGCATCATGTAGACCTGCAGGTTAACCTAAAGATTGTGAGAGGTTATTTCTTTTTGAAATGTAACACTGGATGAGCTCCGCTCTAGGGCATATCACTAAACAGTCCACGGAGCTGGAGTAGTGCGATGAAATGTCTTTTACATTCTGTACTATACCTTGGGGTTTGGGGTTATATCGATATCGACAATCTATTGAAGCAAAACAAAATCATTACTTATTTACTGGTTACAGCTTTATTTATTCCTTAAATACATTCGTCCATCATGAAGTAAGGGGAAATAATTACTAGTCTTAGTCCAAATGATTTTCTGATTGTCTTTTGTTTAAATAAATTGTAGGGGATTACATCTTGGAATGTAACAATTTATCATGATGCTTGGAAGAAAGGAATATCAGCAGGAGGCTGTGGTAATCCACCAAACGAAAGTAAGTTTTTTTTCAGTTTTTGTTTTATCGAAAAATCAATTCAAACAATGAAATGAAATGGGGTTTAACCCCCAACTTCAATTCAAACAACACCTATAGCCATGTAAATGCACCAGGTACATATAATTAGTTCAGGTATTAGTTCAAAACGAGAATTATGATTGTTCTGAATTAAAAATGTTTTAAGAAATTGCAATTAAGACCTATTATCTAACAATTTTTAATTTTGCACATTCTTTGAGAATGGTGGAATTTCAAGAGTAATCTTTTCTAATAAAATTGTACGAAAACAAAACTTTGTTTTAATTTTCAGATTTATATTGGAAAAATCCACAATTCTTCATTACATTAACAGACACAGATGCAGATAACCCTAACGCAGAATGTACTTTAATTGTTTCCTTAACAGAAAAAGAGTACAACAACCAGTCAAAAATATGTATTGGATTTGCTGTATATAAGGTAAATATTTAGTTGAGACCCGTCTATATTTTTGCAGTTCAATTTCAACCCCAAAAGCGTGAAACACAATAGTCCGTGTAGGTTGTTATCGAAGCCATAGAACCGGATCAACGAATCTCGATTTTGCAAAGACTACATGTCCACGCGAAAGAGACCTCAGACCTCAGAAAATTATTCTTCTATTTTTATTTTATCTCTGATAAGATGCGGAAGTATTCTAACTTGTATTACTTTTGTTTATTAGTAATCATTACCTGCATATGATATGCTTACCGGACTACGCAATAAATTGTTTAAGCTGAGCATAACTTACTAGAATAAAACATGACATGTGGGATATTAGTTACTTGTAATCCATATAATTGTGTCCTGTTTTATTCTATAAAAATAAATTAGCCTACAGTCCTGTTCTCCATTTTCTTCTTTTTAATTGTGGATTTTGTTGACTTTTAGATGAAAGAATAAAGAGGTTGGTTACGTTGAAATATAGAGCTGATATTGTAGAGTTACATATTTACTAGTATTCTACTTTGTTAATCTCAAGATTTCCATGGTGAACCTTTTACATGCTTTTGAGCAAGAGGTTGCTTTGATAGAAAACATCCCAGCAAAAAAAAATCTCTTGAAAAGTTATAAAACCGTTCAATGAAATGAGAATTAACATTAAGGCCAATAAGGCATTCCATTGTTAAACGAGGTCAAATCGATTGATATTATAGTACTGGAGGATTTAAAAAAAATCCAAGAACATTTATAACCCTGTCTTCATCCCCGTGATTAAATAAATCTTCAATTTCAGTTAAAATCGCCCGATATGAAACCATTAGATGGCGAAAGGGCTTCTAGAAATTCTATGAGATTAACAGAAAGATCTGGACAATATCAATATAATCGTGAAGTGACCAGACGTTTTGAGCTTTCACCGGGTGTTTACGTCATAATACCCAGCACATTCCATCCACATGCCGAAGCGGATTTTTTACTTCGTCTCTTTACAGAGAAAAGGGCAGAAAGTGGGTTAGTTTTATTATGTATAATAATTACAATATCTTTTTATTGATAAACAATTTCCGATAAATCACCGATTGATATATAACACCACCAATCCTAAAGAGCAATCAAATTCAAGTCCATTAATACAAAATACAAATTAGTGTAATGGTACATGACATTCTCTTCCCTGAAAAATGTCCTCTAAGTAAAGGCAGTGTCGGTGTTGTTGAGTATTTTGTTTGAAGAAATAACGATATAAATGAATTAATGTCCCTTTACTGTCGAACATTATGAACCAGGAATCAAACCGTATCTAGTCATTCATTTTGTTTTCGTTTCAGAGTTCTGGACATTGACAACCCAAAGCCAGTATCTCCTAACCGGGTAAATTTATCATCAAATTTTCTAAAATAGACGTTTTAGGATGTTTTGTGAGTTTGGAATGCAAAAGTACATAGCTTAATAGATTTTTGTGTGCACACTTGAAATGAGAAGTGGTATCGGGTGTTTTAGAAAGATAATACACGTGTGTGACAGCTGCCGAATTGTTTAATTATTTTATAATAAATATCTCTAGCGTGTAGGGAATACATGGTCAATATTAAGATATATTATGTAAAAGCTAAATCTGCCTACTGAAGGTCCATTTTCTTGCTTCAAATGTTATGTAAATTATTATTTACACTGTTATTCACATGAAAGCCCATAATCAACTCTCTGGGCCATCGAATGGCTTAGATTTTGAATGGCGGCTTAGATTTGAAAGAATGGCTTAGATTTTGAATGGATGGCTTAGATTTTGAATTGATTAGAACCACTTTGCCTTTTAATAATTTAACCATAAAATGAAAAATCGAGACGTTGTTTTTTTTATCATAGCAGTGGTACTTGATAAAATTTCAAACACCAGGAACTTCGCTCAAAATGAAGTAATTTGACTGATACTTTCCATATAATCAGCTTTTATACACAATGCATAACAACGCATAACGTAGACATAATAGGGACGATTATTATTGGGAACAGTGTAAGACAACCAGAAAATAAAATCATTACTATCATTGTCGATGTTTTTTATTTTAGCCTTCTATACCACCTGTATTAACACCAACATATGATCTGATAACAGAATTATTTCTAAAATATTCTGGTGGGGATAAACGACTCGATTATAAAGAATTAAGATCCTTTATTTTAGCTGCAAGTTCCAAAGGTATATTTTTTTCTACAAATCACCCACCAAGAAAAATAAATATCACAGAATGGGGTGTCACACAAATTTAATAAGCTTGCGCATATTCATACACTACATACTGTTTAAATTATCTGCGTTGTAAGCACATACGGTTTTGTGTTTGCATTATATGTGTTTGTTGTGTTTCGTTGAGAGTTGGTTGAGCTACATTGTCCTCTATACAGACAAATGCAATGTCTACATTTTGGCTTTTGGGATCTATTGAAAATAATCCTCCCTTATCGGAATCAGTCCACTGTAAAATACGAATAATTGTCAGCTACTTTTATAACAATCGACTTTATTGTCTGATTTAATATATTTGTTTTTTGTATAGAAATGGATGAAGAAATTAAGTTTAGTAAAGAGGCGTGTAGGAGTTTAGTTGCTTGTATGGATGTATCCCTTTACCATAAATACAAATTAAACCTGGAAAAAGTGTCAATATTTTATATAAACGTATAATGTCGCAGGGACGGATCCAGGAATTTTTGCAAGGGGGAGTTTGCCAGGTTCCTGTCAAGGAAATTTGACAGTTGACAGTGCATGATGTCATCATAGTCTCCAAGTTACGCAGACATACATACACACGGAGTTTTTTAAAGAGAGAAATCGAACACCCCGTTTGACGTCACTTTTATTATGAATTAATAGGATCACATTGTGATTCAATTTCATTGATGCAAAGCATTAATTGTGATATCACATATGTCTACATCATTATCTCGCGCTTTGAATACCCATCCCATCCTACCATCTGATGATGATGGATAAAGCACACGACCGTAACACCTTTTTCATTATGTAGCTGAGGCGCCCCTCCCCCCCCCCCCCCCCCCCAAGAATTTGGAAGAAAAATTGAAAAAAGTTATCTGTAATTCCGATTTTCAGTTAGGGGAAGCAGGGTGTTCCACATCTCCCAACCCCTCTCTTGCTCCCAAAACCTCTCTATGGCTGCGCCACTGGTATAAGGATATTTGTTCATCAACTAGATCCTTAATTTTAACAAGACAAACAGATCCGGTCTCTTAGATATTAACGAAACTCGTAAAATGTGGAAAGAGATTACAGTGTACAAGGTATGTCTTACTTATAACTTCATTACGCGCTTATAATCAAAAATAAGGGCTGAATGATGCTCTTTAGATAGTTAACTAGATGATAGCATCTTAAAAAATAGAATAGATGTCACCTTGACCTCGATGTGCTAGTGTTTGAAGACAGAACACGAAGGAGTTTTTAATCATTTTGGACGAGTATACTTTTTGAGACTTTTTTTCAATGTGTATGGGCTTAAAATTATACCCTTAATGTTATTTGAATGATAGTGTCTTTATTACAGAATCTCTTTAAATACTTCGATAACAACAACACCGGTACAGTCGATGGAATTGAATTACAAAAAATGATTACAAAATTAGGTAAATATTCTCGTCATAAATAGATATATCATGAGATAACCATTCTATATTACTGGAGAGTTTTACACGTAGGCCTATTTCCGAAAGAAGATGAGTTGTCACCCTATAAAACAAATCTGGGGCCTGTTTCACGAAATTTTACCTAATATAAAATCCAAATTTTTGTAATTTGATTGGATGATATTAGATTGATTTTAGTGCTTAAATTTTGATTTTAACTTTGGTTAAGATTTCGAGAAACAGGGCCCAGCACTTTAATCAATCTCCCAAACACAGGGTTGTCTTCCCTTGCAGTTCACACGAAATCTGAATGTAACGATAGAACTGTATTATATACGATCTATGATGTAACAACATCAGATCACGACGATAACACGTGGGAATGATTTTGTTTGATCGGATAGACACATAACAAATCAATTCTCTCAAACACACACACACACACACACACAATGAATTCCAGAGAATGGGCATGTTGAGGGAGGGGTCCACCTGGGTTCATATTGAGTGCTGAAACTGTTCATCGCCGATTGCTCTCTGACCGACCACATGCCAAACGGTATTACATTGGGTCAATTTTGACTCAACACAGTTGTCTACGTTTGTTATTGAGTTGTCTTTTTTGTCGATGCCCAGCCTACAAACATGCCCAAAATCACATTTCAGCTGTATTAACTTCCGGTCAAATTATCGGTGCGTTTTCATTGAGTCTCAGTATATTATGAATCCTACAAATTTATTTTTGACCCAAACCAAAAAGTACTAGACATTTTAACTGAGCACAAGTTACGAAAGTTATATTTTAGAATACTTGGTCTTTAAGCAGAATGATATTTTTATTTTCTAGGTCTTCAAGTTGACAAAATATTAATACAGTGTATTCTACGTCGATATGGTGGTCGACAATCTACTTTATCTTTAGATTGTTTTATTATCGTTATTTGTAAATTAATACTTATGTTTGGTAAGTAACATTCTTCCACCGGTGTAACGAGGCCTGGTACTAAAAAGATCAATGGTCGTTGTAACCTCTGGGCTGCGGACAATACTTCAGACCTTTGACACCGATGCTATTGACCATATCCAATCTAGATTTACTACACATAGTATCGGGCATCGTGCATGCTGCAGGGTGTGATTACTCTTTCTAGAACGCCTGATATCACTTCTATACATTATACTGCTAAACAATTTATAAACACATGATATTCAATTTGACCCCTGTAATCCGGGTCCAAGAATAGTGACGACACAGAGCGGACACGCTTGTTTCTACTGGAACGTCCAATGCCACTTCTCTTTAGATGAATTTACATAAACAATAGACTTTCACTGGACTTGGTTGGGGTTTGTTTTGCTTGTTTTAAAAATGCATCCTTTCAATTTTATATTTAAGAACTTTTCCAAGAGCACAGAGAAATGACGAAACGCGGTGGACTCGAAGATGTTGCTCAATTTACACGAAGTGAGGTAAAGTTTAATTATTTCTTGTATATCTTGGGATATTGATTATATTGAACAGGAAGTTAACTCAAAGATACATTATGGGAGATTTTTTATAGAGAGTTGGTCATTCTTGCTATAACAGTTCAAAAATAGATGATGAAAGAAGAATATATTGAAAATGTCAGTCAAATTACTTTATTCTGAACAAAGTTATCCCCATTGTAATTTTTGACTAGAAATAGGAGTCAACTCTCTCTTCACCGTCTCCGAGAATGGCCGATCGTTTGATTGACAGGCGTTAACCCCACCTATATAATCTCGAATCAAGTAACGTTTTCATTGGCTGTGGTACCGTTAGCCTATTCGGTTTGAGACGGGGTTGCAATTCAATTCGTATCAAATATATTTTTACTACAAATTAAAAATAAGACTTTTAATATATAGATAAGAAGCGAAAGTTTGAAAGGAAAGGACCAAATCAATGAGGCAAAATTATAGCCGACTTCTTGTTAGCCCGCGTGTACTCTTGTACTGAAACTGGTAGGCCTACGTAACTCCCGAAGCAGACAAATAGGAAACAGTGATCCCATGGAGCTGCAATTCAACTGGGGTGATGTTAGCTGCGATGTTTATCAATTTCCATAATTTTTCTGTAAACGCAAGTGACAAAAGAATACCGACATGCAAACTCTCATTTTAACCACAACTAAACATAATATCAAGGCCGTATCGAACTTTCAATCAAATTGACTGACATGCGGCCTCGCTCAACAGCGACCTCGCTCCGTACACTCTATCATTTAGCCTCGATCTAAAATTTCAGGGAGTATGACGTCAACGTAACGGTTAATCTCCGCTTACGACGCCATTTAAAAATTTAATCAATCAATCTGAAGCCTAAATAAAGACTTGTAATACTCAGATTTAGCTCTTGCATAATGTATGTTTAATATTGTCACACTTAAAAATGGATAAAGTTCTGGGTCAAAACTAAAATCATTGAATTTTGTAGTTGATTTATTTTTGTAGGATGATAATCTGTTCAAAAACTTACTTCCACAGATAAAGTCAATGTTAAGATATATTCTGCTGTGTGTTTATCTTAACACAGACAACAATTAAACTAAAATTAGCCAAGTAGTATTTGGAAGATTTATAAACCTCATATCACCGCAAATAATAATATAGGGCCCTATATAGGCCTACTATATTTTGACCTAAATGAATCAGTTTTAAATGTACAAATTGTTTACTAGATCTATTTTATTCCACTGAGTACTTGCACGCCTTTCTTGGAAAACACAGGAAGTGTGTTCTTACTTTACCCCAAATTCGACAATAGTATGTATCATATCCTGTCTACTTGTCAGGTACAGGTATTTGTTATAGTACATGTATAATAACATGTATTATACGTCAGTACTAAATCAAAAATCAATATCTATTATACAGTGTGGGTTGTTCACTGATTTTCAAGGTGTAGTACCCATTCAACATTTTATGAAGTTCACAATCTAATTAAAATATAGATCTATATTTCGTTTCGTTTTCTATACTTTCGATGGCATACACTACCAATCTGTTTCACAGAGAATTACGAGTCTCGTATAATATCTCTGTCATAGATGACTGCCTTAACACGTGCTGTCACAGCACGCGGTGTGAATCATTGGCTGAATGGCGCGTGCATTGTTTACATAAGACATAACTGCTTCGGAGAGAATGCTGCATTTTAGTCATTTTAATACCCATTTACACTAAATCGGAAATAATTTTTACCTACAAATACGTCAAACGCCTTTATTTATTTTTCCAATATATACAAAAAATGTTTTAGAATTTAATTTGTCGCAGGAAAAAAGTTAATATTTCTAGCTCATTAAGCCGCATCAATGTCATCCTTATCAGTGATTGTCGCGGCCAAGCAAATATTCACTGCGGATCAGTGTGATACGCTACATGTAAAGACAAGTAAAATCGAAATTTTGAACTATAAAAACGAAACGAAATTGTATCTGTGTTTTAATCAGATTGTGAAGTTCAATACCGTTTAAAGAAGTAGGAATTGAGTTAAACAAGATTTCATTTCATTTCATTTGCCGTTTAAAAATATTATAGGATATAATTTATATTCAGTTCAGTTAGTTCATGTTTTATACCGTAACTTTTCTGGGTTGGCAAGCTGAACAATGTCCCACTCTGGCAACCGTTCTGAAGTTCTTCATCAGGTTTTATAAAATGCAGTGTTCTTAATATTGTTAATCGGTCATGGGACACAACTCTGTGTGTTCCGCCATGTTGACATTTAAACTTTTAAACTCATACAGTTGTGAAACCTTGATGAAATGTGAATTAATCCGTAATAAGATGGGTATATTCAGATGTATATAAGCGGCATGGACGTGTAGACTCATGGCCTCGCAGAAAATACTGCCCTATCAATCACTGACAGATATGGCAACAGCAACTTGGCGATGGAAATATTTTCGGAAAGGACATACGGGTGAATATTCATACTTGAACCAGTTTTTGATGGCACCTTTTCTTTATGACTATACATACATAATAATCCCCGAGTTCTTCACACAATAGGCGTCATTATTAAACAGTCAGTGTTTTATGTTCGTATGTTTGACAGTGCCAGAGGACAGGTTATGTATAATAACGACAATGCGAACGCGTTTGGGACGTCTTTGGGGCGTTTTTTCGTCTGCTGCGTGGGGGTCATCCTCATCCAGTCATGTTAAACTGATTTAGACCGTGATCTGTTTTATTATTTTTCTCCATATTCAGTTCCTGCAGTACAGCATGTTTTGCTAGATATGTTATGGACCTGGGAAACAAGTACAGCTATACTACCGTTCTTCACTGTTGTAGTTTCTACAAATGTGTATCGTATTTGGATTTGTGTCTAAAATTTGACCTAAAACCGAAGGTAATTGTTGGATTATATGATAAACTTCACGATTTCAATTTTCCATTATTCACTTTCCATTTATATGCAGCATCATGACCAGCTTATGGAGTGAATGTTTCTCAAATTATCATTTTTTTATGCCCGGAGTTTCATCAAGCTCCTTTTCATTTAATGCGTTGGTGGAGACAATTTTCACACGGTAGGCATGATATACGTACATATTGGTGAATACTTCGAAGCACTTTCCTGTCAATCGATTTTCCCGAATTCGTCCTTCGGGCCAAGGATTAGATGTTTTTATGTTTTCTATAAATTTGTATGTCATATTTTAAGCTTTAAATATGTTAGGTATTATATGTTCAAAAGTATCAGTCGGTTTTTGTGCTATAAGCTTTATTGTTCCTAGTCTATATTGTTCCCCGTCTTTCGAAGAAAGCAGGGGACTATTAAAATGGGTTCGTCCGTCTGTCTTTCTGTCCGTCAGTCTGTCTGTCCGTCACACTTTTTGGGACACAATAACTCTCCTTCTAAATGAGCTAGAATGTTCAAACTTGGTGTAGGTGTTTATTAAGTCAATGCCTTGATCGAGTTCGTATATGACCATGTTCTACTTAGGGTAAGCAGAGATAAGCAATTTGATTGGTTGATGCTTTGGGACACAATAACTTCAGTTCTAATTAAGTGAGAGTGTAGTTTCATTACATCAATACCTTGACTAAGTTCGATAATGAGCATTTTCTGCTCAGGGTAAGCAGAGCGATAAACAATTTGATTGGCCGAAACTTTGGAACACAATAACTCTCCTTCTAATTGAGCTAGAATGTTCACATTTGCCGTAGGTGTTTATTAGGTGGTGAATGCCTTGATGGAATTCGAAGATGAGAGTTTTCTGCTTAGGGTAAGCGAAGATAAGCAATTTAATTGGTTGATGCTTTGGGACACAATAACATTAGTTCTAATTAAGTGAGAGTGTTAAAACTTGGTGTAGGCGTTTATTAGGTGCATGCCTTGATGGAGATGATAAACATTGTCTGCTTACGGTAAGCAGAGATAAGCAATCTGATTGGTTGATGCTTTGGGGCACGATAACTTTGGATTTAATTAAGTCAGATTGATGAAACTCCGAGTATATATTCATTATATCATTACCTTGACTAAATTCGATGATGCGAATTTTCTGCTTAGGCTAACGAGCGATAAGCAATTTGATTGGTCAAGACTTTGGAACATAACAACCCTGTTTTTAATTAAGATAGGATGTTTAAACTTGATAAAGATGTTCATTAGGTGAATGTCTTGACTGAGTTCAATGATTAACATTTCGAGCTAAAGTTAAGCAGAGCTAAGACATTTCATTGGTGGATGCTTTGGGACAAGATAACTTTGATTCTATCTGATAGAGAGTGACGAAACTTAGTGTATAGTTGATAATCAGTTTGATTGTTTGATACTTTTGAAAAAAAAAATAAATGTGCGATTAATTAATATGTGTTATCTATTTATTTTGGGATTTCGGCGGGGGACATCAGTCTCACTGATGGTTTGTTATTATTATTATTCACTATAGTATTAAATATCATGCCGTTACCTTAAAGGTATTAAAATTATTATCACATATGCTAAAAGCATGATGTATTACATATCATATTCTAAATGTATTTTTATATACAGCTATTTAGAATAATATCACCATGGGGATTGGGGATACTCGATTGAACTTTCTGAAAGTGACAATCGAATGAAAAGGAGATTTCGGACTGTAACGAACTCGCCCTCTGAATAAGAAACGATCTCAACCATGGCATCATAATCGTATTCGCCGTATTTACTTACGTCACGATTCTAAGCCCACAACCTCTGTTATTGGGACTGACAGAACTGTGACAGGACCAAATTCCGTTACACTAGATCAAGTCGGAACCTTCTGGGATAATAATCGAGTATCTCCTTGTAATACAGATGTATATTTATTACTGTAACATGTTAGTTTGTTATGTATATGTTTGTTTAATTTTGATGCTTCTTAAATTCATTTATATTGATGAGCAATAGTGTAATATTTATTCATTTTTGTTGTTTGTTAACTTTTTAATCCACCGTAATACTGTGTCCTGCAATATCACAATCTAATTAAAGTCAGATGTCAATTTCGTATGCGGTGGGGTCGGGTGGTTCAAGTGGTTTAACGCGTGCCCTTTAGATGATAAGGTCTGTCATTGAGTCGAACGGCGTGGTTTCGACCCCACACCGGATCTTCCGGTTTTCTAATACTGCTTAAGGTCCTTATGCGCAATGTATCATAGTTTGCTCCCGAAATGGCCTAATTTATGTTGAGTGGACGTTAAAGGTTGCGTCACCAAAAGTTCACACATGGCGTCTGGTTCTATAGACTGTATGGGGAAATGTCACTTCCTACTAGGGTTACTCTCTTCATTTACAATGTTGGTTTTATCGCTTAAGGTGAATCATGATGTATCTTATATAATCAACTTAATGGTGTAATTAACCTTTAAGATGTTAAGAGGTCGTATAGACCTTATTTCACACCTCATGTGGTAAACTGGACTATTTAGCCCCGGGTAAGGATCTCACCATCGAAATACTACCCCATCAACAGACGACTACGGTGTTCGCGACAAAAATGATAATTATCTCAAGAAACTTAAAATAAACTCGATTCGATCACAAAATATTCGACCATATGCCAAAATACATTACCTGTATTGCACACAACAACGACCAGGGGTTAAGGTTATAGATAGGAAAATTGGACTGACGGATTCTGGAATCCCCTTGCAGGGTGAACTAATGACGGTTACTTAACATGCTCTACATGGATTATTACATGGCAAAATGATCGAGTCTATCATTACCCGAGGCCGTGTGCCCCATCATAAACAAACAGGGTTCGCAATATGAAATTGAGACCGGTAGATTCTGAAATCGCCTTAATGGTGAAATAAACTAAAAATCTGTTCTATAACATCGTCTTTATTGATCATTACATGGCAAAATGATCAAGTCTAACTCTATTATTACGGGCGGTCGTCTGCCCCATCATAAACAAACGAAACACGCGCTCAGGTAAAATAGTAACCCTGTCATATGTAACCTCATAGTCACAGTACTATAGACTGTGCGGTATCGTATGAACCGATGTACTTTAAAACTAAAAAAGTAGGCGAAGTATCGTGAAGTAAGGCGGGCGTGGATTTGTTCCTGAATCTGAATGCCGATTTCGTAGGCGTGTTGTTAGATAAAGACGTGTACACATGACATGTAGGTCTTCTTTTGACACAATACATTTAGGTTACCTGTGAATTCGTATTCAGGTATATCAACAGATTTAAGATATACTAACGGTGAGATATTTTATGATAAATAAATATGAATTAAGTCGATTACAAATCGATATATCGATTTCAGTCACTTGTGAACCAGGCCGAAATGACAGTATTAGTGCAGACGGCGAAACGCGTCATCGGGTGAAGGTCAGTAGCTTCAATACAAACTTGTGAAAAACATACCTAGCTTTTTGCCCTGATATATGGTGTTGTGGAGGGTCTTTTCACTCATAGGCACAGAGAGATGTAGAGGGAGTTCTTAACTAGATCATTCATACGCCTTGTTTAATGCAATTGACTTAAACGTCCATTGTGTTATGAATTTGCCGGTGACACAGAACTGAAGTTACTGTTTAACCCAGATGTTGCATAATTCTATGACAAAGGAGAAACAGACTAGTGTTGTTTACATGTGAATAAAGAAACAGAGGACATAATATTAAATAGTGGATTTTAAGATACTATTCTACTGGATCCGCTAATATTCGAGGAATACTGTTATGCAAGGTCGATTTAACGGTAATTTTAGAATTATTGGCCCGATGCATATGAGCACTGAGTGTCTGTAATCCCAAAACAATCATGGCAACGAATGGATTTGTTAGACCATCATCGAAATTCAATGATATACGATATCAATGTCTTAAATCAGGGAAAAAGTTTGTCGACTCAGACTTTCCTCCAAATGACCGATCTATATATATAAATGGCCAAGGAAGGGGACAATATGGACAAATCTTCTGGAAGAGACCAGGGGTAAGCATGATAAGTTTTATATTTCATATATTATGAAACACAATAAATATGGACCTGAATAATTAGCTTATAATGCATTCATGTGAATGAATCATTGGATAATATTGATTAGCATTAGACCTATTGTTGAAAGATACAGAGCTAATTGTTGTAAATCAATACCGGTTATTCCCTCTTATTTGATTTACAAGCTAAAATTAAATAATTTGTGAAAATGGGTAATAAAGACCCTATAGATGCCCTAACTGTTGTCCTGGTTACATGTTTTGGAACAATAATATAAACTGAATGTATAGTTCGATCAATATTTATATTGAAAGGTATGACAAAGCGCTAGGTCGTTTGAAAAAGCCCTATGTTAAAACCAAATTCCTTTTTTGAAAAACGGATTTACAACTAATCTTTTTATATATGTCCGGTCACACGACAACGTCAAAATCATTTATAAAGAAACTGAAGATCAAAGGAATGTTTAGTTAGCTAGATTACCATATGACTTCTACTTCGTGTACTTTCTGATTGATATTTGTGTATACTGAACCCGAGTGTCAATCACGGTTATAAGAATAATAAGATAGAAACTTCAAACAATCTCATCAAATAATAACTTAAGAATAACTTGTTTTCTCTCAGTTTCTGGCACATCAAACATGTTATTCTTGGTAGTGTCCCCCACCCCCCAAATTAGGTTAACAATTTAAAATATTTACACTACCAGCCCACATTCCTAATGATATCAAGTGTTTTCGTTAGCAAATTTCCAAGTAGCTTCTCTATTATAGATTATACATTATGAAGCGAACACACCGTTCTGCTCTGATTCTCTTTGAATAATTAACTAAGCGACCTGATGGACTTACTATATTCTATAAATAAACACCATATACTCTGTATCAGCAAATATATGAGCTTTTAAAGAGAGAAATATCGATCGGCATATACTGCACATGCAGGGCTTCGAAAAGTTTAAAATTTATATTGATTATTTTTGTATACATTATGTTTGACCTTACGAGCTGACCACTGAAAGGTTATTAAAAAGTCATTATCCCTCGTTCCAAGAAAATAAATGTATTTGATTTTGAATAATATGAACTAATATTATATCAAATAATATTAAATATTAAATTATAGATCAAATAATATCAAATAATAATTATCAAATTAAAAATAACAATATGCTAACATAATTACTGAAATTACAATCACACACCTACTGAGAGTAAGGTATTTAAATTTCTAAAAATATGTACATAAATTGCCAGATCAAACTTTAGATTCCAGCTATAGCCTGGTAGATTCGCCTCAAATGTTGCAATTTTCTGTCAAAACCTCTGGGCTAATGCCTCTTTAAACACGTTACAAATAATTAAAAACATAATTATTTTATGAAAACAGCTAATGAAATATGTCTTATACTAATGTTTTAATAATAATAATGATCTTTAATGGGCCAATTAAGAAAACAGAGCTTAACCTTAGTATATCGTTTTTAATTTTTGCGACACACATATATAAAACCTACAAACAGATTGGTTGATGGAATCATTTATTCTATTATACCCATGAAGTGTGGACATAAAGCATCTGGCAGACAAAAATTATCACACAGCGTATATATGACAATAAAGGGCTTGATTATAACCAGTACATATCTCTTCTAAAGCAACATTTATATGATTCAATACAATATTACTTATAATTGAAAGGATTTGTATTTATAGGAGATAGTGAGAAGACCGAGATATGTAGTTGGGGATGTGGCAAGACATGATATGGATCAAGGAGGTCTCGGTATGAAGCTTTCTTAAAATATGACATTGTTAATTCTCTAATGTGTACAACATGCATGTGCCGTTAATGTTCTCAGGGAGTGCTGGTCAGTAGTGTAATTCTAACGAGAGTCCCAACCAGAGATAATTCATATCGGGAATTATCGAAGAATGTCGCGTTATGGTCTACCGAGTTTTCGTATTATCTTACCCCCCCCCCTCCTAGTTTTACTTCTTCATTTCTATTAATATTATCTTGCACTATCATAAATAATCACACTTAACTAATAGTGCGTCTCGATCATTCAGTTAGTTCAAATTATGCAAAGTTTGAGCACAGATCTGGCCCGCTAAACGTTGTATGGTTTAACTTCTAATGGATATGAAGATATCCCGTACCATTTATCATTCATCATACTAGAGATTTTATTGATGTAAAACTGACTATTTCTAAGACAAAGCAAATGCAATAAAGCTACCAATTTTAGGGGCCGCTCCAGGAACATCCGGGATTTTCTTCGTGTGTCCTTATACAAAATGGTCTTCAATTATTACCACCGTGCGTGAGGCTCCTCGCTATCATTGTGGACATATTGTTTGAAACAAACTTTATTATGTTGCTCTAGTCCTCACCCACAAATTGTAGAACTTTCCTATAGCTTAAATTGTGTTTGTTCAGATATAAAGCAACTGCTTGTCATAAATATTAAAGGACAATATTGGTGCCAGTCATTATCACATATGTGATAGAACTGGTTAAACACATTCCAAATATAATTTTAACAGAGAGATCACTGATACGATAGTTGAGTAATACAGGATTCCCGAATCGGAAGTGACGAGCGCCAAAGGAAAACACGAGATATACCTCTATATAGCTGGCTGAAGTGCCGACTGATAAAAGATACATGGGCGAATTTCTGCTCACTAATAATTCCTTCGAAGACCAAAAGTTGTTATATGGGACTGTAAGAGGATAGCTGACAATTCAATACAGTAATTGAATGTCATTAGATAAGAGAACACGAGAAAAATAGAAATAGTCCGTACATTCCCTTGTTTATATTCATTCTATAGGGGGGAGCGGGGCTAGTTCGCACCATTTTTAATAAAATAATAAAACCAACATAGCTCGATAACTTTTGAAGCTACGTTACCGTAGACCAGTGATTCCCAACCTGTGTCGTGAGATCTTCCTATGTGTGCCGTTTAGTTTGAGCCATACTATGTCTCTATGACTAGTCTGTGGCTACAGTTGTATGCCGTCTATGATTTGGCATGTTTTTATTTTGCAAATAAATCAAATATTTTTCATATATATTAAGTCGGGTGTGCCGCTGTTTTTTCATGTGTTTCAAGGTGTGCCGTTGGCACAAAAAGGTTGAGAACCACTGCCACAGACCACACTAGATTAAAGACAGTGGAGTTGGCTAATATACGGCATACATTAAATATTTTTATTGACAGGCGTATACAAGTAATTTCACCTCAAAGTCACCATGTCCGAATGGACGAACATCAAGCCTCGGCTGTATAGCAGTAAGTGATATGTACCTACGCCTATACAATTGCCATGCGGCACCGGTTTACTTATGCCCCCGTCAGACCGGGGTGGCGTCCTTACTGCGCTGCTGCGACCTTACCGCGACCAGGAAATGCACAAGGTCACCGGCAAACGTGAACACAACGCGCGAAAATGTCCCCAAAAACTACAAACTTGAAAAAAAGTCGTATTCTCATAGTTTTACAGTTCAGATCGCAGAACCTTGGCGTTTGCTTTGAACATGCTCAAAATAAACGCAGTGACTCGGCGATCATTGGCGACCATGGTGACTACAGCACGATAGCTGGCGTTTCCACTACGCTTATGGCGATCTTAACGCGCTCTAAAACTATTTTCCATCGCCGTATCAGCGAAGTAAGTACGCTACCCCGGTCTGACTGGGGTATTATTAGGAAAACTTGCCGCTTTTAGAAAGAAGTTCTAAAAACTGCGTCGTTCGAAGAGTATGTAAACTTTTCAGTTCAAACTGGTCCGTGTCTAAAGGAAATAGGATAAACTTGAAAGATAAACAGCTTTGAAATCTTTGTATGGTAAAACATTCTTCAAATGCGTCGTCATGGTCAACGGCGTTGGTAATCCGGAACTCGAAAGTAGTCCCAATGGCGGACTTCGTCATACAGCCGAGGCTAGATGTAGGGTACTGGAATCTGCTGAGGTTTGGCCGAGTGGGCGCGAGATATGAATGGGGTCGGACTAACCCGGCTTTCCCCTACCTTATAAAAACATGGTAATGCACGGACTTTTTTTTCTGTTTTTCTTTCGTGTTCTCTTATCTAGTGGCAGTCAATTCTTTCTATAAATTGTCAGATATCTTCTCACGGTCTCACAAAACAACTTTTAGTCTTCGAAGGAATTATTAGTGAGCAGAAATTCGCCCATGTATCTGTTATCAGTCGGCACTTCAGCCAGTTATATAGAGCTATGTCTCGTGTTTTCCTTTGGCGTTCGTCTCTTCCGATTCAGGAATCCTGTATAACTCAGCTATCGTAGCAATGATCTCTGAGTTAAAATTATATTTGGAACGTGTTTAATTAGTTCTATCACATATGTGATAATGACTGGCACCAATATTGTCCTTTAACTTCGAGGTGAATGGGCCGAATGAGTGCAACATATACCAAAACAATGAACGACATTTTACCAAATGTTGGGTATATAATATACCGTACACAGGGTTGGACATGCTTAAAATTATCGAATATTTGATTTGAGAAACATAGCAAAACTGGTTTGAAAATGAAGTCAATTTTAAGTGTTTGAAAAAATATATCTTTGCATTATGTTTAGTTGATTGATTGTGAAAACAACATTCTAACGTTTTATCGTCATGATCTCATGTTGTTATAATCAGATTAACAAGATTAAATTATATGTCTTAAAACATTTATCCATTTATAAATGTGGTGCGTTTTTACTACCTCTCAGTATATTTTACATACCTATATTAATATATAAAATTATGTACGCTATTAATATAAAATATGGGGCAGTTATAGTGTTTACCAATCATAGTGTATCAGGTATAAAATGATGAACATTAAGGTTTTATTGTAAGCTTTTATGAATCATAAAATGTAACAGTTGAGATCTTGTCCAGCTGAGACAAGTATTATATTTTTTTATTATCCCCCACGACCATAAACAAACCAACAATAAGAAAAATATATTCTAAACACAAACAAACCTACACACTGAAAACACTTTCTTGAGTAGTTTTATTATATTCAGTTAATAAAGCTAACGCGAGGTCATCGTATGTGTATAATAAAGAAAAAAAAATAACAAGCTTGAAAAATTTCGCCAATATATATACAAGTGCTGCTGGGATAGTAGAAATAGAAGACTTTTTTACCTTTCGAAATACACACATGTGATTTGTAATCATATCACATGGTATGGTAATTCTAAACGTGTGGGTGGAGGCTATAACGTTCTGTAACAAAGTACGGCATGTCCCTGCAAACATATGTATTTTTTATAGCAATTTTTCCGGAATTTATAAACAAATGTACACAGGTTATCAAAACGTGTGTGACCCCCCCCCCCCCCCCCCTATTGATTTATAGGTATCTTGCCTTTGATCTTGGTGTTATTGATGGTTTCTGATTTGTTGTTGCTTGTATATATGTATATATAATTGCTGTATAAAACGTTGAGAGAATACTCTTCGAAACGTCGCCTAAATAACGTCGCCGAGGCTCTCTGTATAGCTGACCCTGGCTATATTGTCGCGGCCTGATTTAGCTCGCAAATGATTACCACTTTTCGGAAGGGTTGGATCCGACCCAGCATAAACGATATTCACAACATTCATTTCTTTCCTATGCCTGTAGTTTAATCTTAGATTTATAGTCAAAACCTTTTAATATAAGAGATTTTAAAATGCACACAGATAAAAAGAAAACAACATATTATATTTAATGCGTGTTAGGTTTTTTTTTCTGATTAGCTGACAATCCTATAAATACACCTATTATAGAATTTTGAAAAGGTTGGGTCACCACAGTCTAACCGTATTTTGTAAAAGATATCAAGATATACTGCTTGTTTGAATGACAGTTAATTTGCATGAGATTTACATTTTCAAATAGCTTTAATGATTTCGGATGAATAAAAAGACTATATTAAATATTAAAAATAGTTGATTCACTGTACGCTATGTAATCTTATGTTATATGGATATTTAAATTTAAAATTGCAATGGTAGTTGACAAAAAATTAAAATCCTGTCTTATACAAAAAATTAAAATCCTGTCTTATACAAAAGAAATCAAGCTTATCGTATCTGGTGCATCTCACCTGGTCGAAACTTGAAGAGTTTAGTCGTATTACCACAGGATGGAGATCATCGAAAATCGACACCACTGCAATTATGTATGAAGTTAATGGTAAATCATTGGTGCTGGAAGAAGAGCCTGGAAAACAAAAAAAAAACAAACAACGATCTCGTACTTTCTGTCGTAGGAGCCATGGTGGCTCAGCGGGTTAGACGTTGCCCGTAAAAGAACTCTTGGCAATTGAAATTGTCCGTACCAAAGTTCCCTCATAGCACATGACATAGCGTATACCCGTCTTTATTAGCCCAGTCGGTGCAGAACAGTAGGACGTTAAACCCCATTTCATTTGATTTCATTTCAGTCGTGTTTTTGTTCGTGTGCACGTAACTAAAAGAACCCTGGAATACAATGACGAGTGGGCGGGGACACGGCGGTCCGCACAAAATAATCTTCATAACTGACTGTATGCCCGTCTTTGTAAACCAGGTTGCGTGTAGAAGTATACATGAATAGGACGTTATATCACATTTTATTTATTTGACTTTTTCGAAATATTGGTCGTATAACCGTATGAGCTGCTAACACCATTTTTTATTCTATCAACCACCGTGTCACTTCTCTTCATATTATATGCCGCACAAAAAATACTTGGATATCGCAAGCCCAACCATGATTATTATATCCTTAATGTGTTTGGTAAGCAATGTCTATATTATGTTTACCTGTATATAAAGTAAAGGAGTGTATGATTCATATAACTTACAATAAAGTATATTATAAAATACATCATTACATTCATATTACTTATACTCACACCAAACATGACGACCTATTGAATAAGTTATTTACTGTGTCAATAAACTGGTTGACTGTATTTAACATAATGGCCGTCATTGTTGATTTCAGTCCATTGATTTTAAGTTTAGACACACATCTACCACCACATTTCAACCCCCATTTGCGTTTGAATATGATACTCTGTTCTTGTCCCTGATTATCAATTTGATTTAACTTCTAGTCCGACATCTCGACAATCCGGTTGCCAATTATTTCAGCGATGGAATAGCTCGATATAAGATTTTCCCTTAGTACATGATCCGATCATTTTTCTGTAAAAGCATCCCTTTAAGATTTGTCAGTGACCAATACACAAGGATTGGGTAAACCTCTGAACGTTTTCTCAAGGATCATCTCCTTACCAGAATCCCCATGCGGCTGGCTGCCTGGGACTGTTGTTGATGTAGTTCTCAAACAGGCAGAACATTTAGAATTTCGTTGGGAGAGACAGATGTATAGATTTTTTTAGTTCAATTTGCGGAATATTTCGGAACCCTAATACACGTGCAAAACCTCCTGAATGATCTAAATCAGATGACCAAAGAAAAGTAATAGCATAATCCTATATGAACTTGTAAAATGAATATCATATAGCTATGTTGAAGTTATACAATATTTAGCTATATGAACGTGAACCAAGGATGCTTTGTGTTACAGGTGATTGTTGGTTTATAGCAGCAGCAGCCATTTTATGCACATCACATAGAAATATGTTTGAACGAGTTGTTCCACTGGATCAAGATTTTGATCGTAATTATGCGGGTATGTATTGTTATAAACAAAACTCATCCATCACTATTAGATGATTTGTATATAAATATATTGTCCAGATTTCATAGAACACCGTAAATAAATATAGATGAAGTATTTATGTCAAAGTTTAATATTTAGCCGTTTAAAACTGGTCGAGAAATTTGCTCAATGGGGTCACGCATTTAAGTTATCGCTGTTCAATTGTGTGGTTGACATGGTTGTCACGAACCACAATAATTTCGATGGAAAGAATTGACATGGCTTCCCAGATCCGTCTATCTATGGAATGTGTAGATTATGTCCACTCTACATCACATAGCTCCAATTCTCAAGTTATTTGTAGCTTAATTTCCACGGACGATCTTATTTAACGAAATATTTGAAGCAAGACTGTGGGATTTGGTACCAGTGTCATTATGCGCTAGGGTTTACTACCAGTCTTAAAGCATGTCCTGGTCGTCTATTTGGAATTTCAATACCGCTATATTTCTGAAAGCATAATCTGATTTATATAAGAGACTTCTTTATAATATTGTATATTGAGAAAACGGTCTTTAGTTCTCTTGGATAAAATAAGATAATGCTCTATATAGATTACCTGCTGGTTAAGCAAAAACAAAGGAAATTGCAAGTAGTTTCATATGTTTATATTTGCAGGTATATTTCGGTTTAATTTTTGGTGGTATGGTGAATGGGTTGAGGTTATTATTGATGATTATCTTCCAACTGATGGACGAAGACTTAAATTTGGTAAAAATAGAGAACATGTAGATGAATTTTGGTGCGCATTACTGGAAAAAGCTTATGCCAAGTAATTACTTCACTATTATATGCCTTTTGGTTCTACAAAGCCACCTACGCACATTCGATCAATGGTCTAGAAAATGGCATTATTTGTTCTTTATACCCAGCACTATAGTTACAATGACCAGACCTGTTTGAAAATAAAACTATATGTTACATCTTTAAATAAAGTTAGTGTTGAGATATAATCAATTATATGTTATACTGTCGACACAATAAGTCAACGATTTAGTAAATAAGTCAACCCTTGCTTTATCATCAATCGACAAAAAAAACGCATCATATTTAGTCTATTCAATACTTTATTTTAAAGTAGAATCGAACTGGTATACTCCAATTATGGTACATGATTACCGTATATATTTAAAATAGTGATTCCAATCTTTATAATCCGTCTCTTAGCTTTTTTTCGTCAATTACAATCTCAATGTCACCAGTAACGGTGTAATGGTGTACAGTTTCAGTTGAAAGGTATTATTAGGATGCAGTTGTTAAAATCCTTTTCTTTATGGTTATTCCTTTTCAGTGCCGCTCCGCTCGCCATATAGATCCTCAATATTGACTTTGTTAAAAAGAAGAAATATTCAGATTTTTTTTGTTCCTTTTCTTGAAGATAATACCCTTCAGTGTCTTGACCGTAAACGCCCCTAGTAGTTTTTGTAACCAATATATTTTGAAAGACGAGAGACTTAAAACATCATCCATGGATGTTAAATTTAATGTATATTTTATATTGTAGATAGCGAGGGAGTTATGCTGGTAAAATACAAGATGTTCTAGTAGATAATAATGTATATTCTAGATTATAGTTATGCTGGTAAAATACAAGATGTTCTAGTAGATTATAATGTATATTTTATATTGTAGACTGCGTGGGAGTTATGAAGGTATTGATGGTGGTAAAATACAAGATGCTCTAGTAGACTTTACTGGGGGTATAGGTGAAGTTATAGATCTAAAACATAAAAATAAAATACCAAGAAATCTCTTTCATTTACTACACAAATCTATAGCGATGAATTCAATGGTTGGAGCAAGTATAGCTGTAAGTATTATCCCATTATAAAGTGAAATACGATGAAAATGAGGTTCAATGTATTACTTTTCTAATGAAGACGGGCATACGCCATACAGTGTGGTATGAGGGAAATTTTGACCGGACAGTAGTGCTACGGCCTACTCTTATATTGAACTCCAACTGCCAAGGGTTCTGTAACGTGCACGCCAATGTGTAGATGGGACCTCGGTTTCTCGTTCCATCTGAACGCTATATAGTGATTATCGATAAGCATTTCAATTAAGTGCTATGGTAACTACAAACTTTAAGTACCTTCTGATAACAAATATTTGACAGTAGAGTAATCCAATATGTGCGTTTCGTGTAGAGATCCTTACTTTACACACACAAAAAAATATAATTAATTTAAAATTTCTAATCGCTTTGATTGTACTTTAAATATGCATTATGTATGATTTAGATACTTAGGAGGCCGTTCGTGTAAAATAATTCAATGATAGATAATGAAAATGAATATATTGAATAAATGTCCAAATAATAAATATGACTTCTGAAGCCAAAATAAAGACCTGCAATAGGAAGATTTAGCTCTTGCATAATGCATCTGTAATACTTGATAATAAAGATACAATATGTTGTATCATTTAAAATTGTCCATATTCCGTTTGTTTTACATGTGCAAATTGAACACAAAGTTATAAAATGAAATGAAATGGGGTTTAACGTCCTACAGTTCTGCTCCGACTGGGCAAATGCAGACGGGCATAAAGTTATAATATGATTGACAGATTAAACCACCATGATATTATAAAACCACCCGTTTTAATTTAACAGCGACCACCCGGTGCTACTGAATCAGAAATTGAATTAACAAATGGTTTATATATGGGACATGCTTACAGTATTACCGGTATAAGAGAGGTATTATAACACTTTATTTACAAAATGCAAACATCTTCCATTAAAAAAAAAAATAATGTATTTCTTAGATACTGTTGGCTACCTTAAAGATTTATGCTATTATTGTATGGTGTTGGCTTTACAACGAAAGTACCACAGCAAACTTGGCATGGTGTTTAGTCTCGATTATACAATTAAGAATACGATTATTATAGCATATTGCTAAGTGTAGGGATGTTGCAAGATTTTGGAATACTAATTACTATCTTGTATTAAGGGTCATACCGTTTGTTGGCGAATATATAACAGCATATTATTGTAAGATATTAATTCTAGAAAACACAGAAGAATTCTATTAATTTGAAACAGTTCATTATTTCATTGGATCCAGACATATTATAATAATCTAACATGTTTTTAAATTAGACTATGTTCAAATCTACAACATACCGAGACTTCATGCATGAATCTATCATTAAATAATGGAGTATTTTGTTTAAGGTGCCATTTGGAAGAAAATCAGCACATTTACTACGATTAAGGAACCCGTGGGGTAGAGGTGAATGGAAAGGACCCTGGTCAGATTCGTTAGTATAATTATTTCTTAGAACTGAATTTAAACATAACTCCCATTGTCTCCAGTAGTAATGAAAGAACATTGTATGTAATGCAAATCGATTTTACTCCCGTCGCTTGTGTCATGATGGCTGGTTATTTTGAGAGCAATACCCACAGATTCAGAAAAAACAATTTGACAACCCCATCAGTTTGTAGAGTAATCTATACATTTTAGACCTATTATGAAAGCTAACAGAATAACATAGGTTTTATTAACATATTTGTTTGTAGATCTCCTGAAATTAGATCGTTGCCACCAGCAGTAAAGAGAGATTTAGAAATTGGTGTTCAGGAAGATGGTGAATTCTGGATAACATATGGGGATGTCATAGAACAGTTTGATGAAATAGAGATGTGTCATTTACAACCTGATGCCCTTACAGAAGAAATAGCAGCAGACGAGGTAAAATATCAGAATGTACCACGGTATGGTTATCCCGGTTATCTCAATGTTGTAGCTTTAGATTCCGTCGAATCATTAAGTGATGATTTTCCTGGAATTCAGCTGAAACATTCTTAAAATGGGACTCCTTTACCGTGCCACATATAGTCCTGAGTTATCAATATATCATACGGCCATTACTTTTTTTTCTACCGTGGCTGGGAAAGAAATCCAATGATTTTATTTTTACCAAATTGTCTCGATCGATCGACTTAGTATCTCGATCGATCGACTTTTTCTATAATGAAGCTTTAAAAGTGTTTCTCCACTGCGTGAAGCGGCGACCAGTCTCGGACACCATCCTTCCCCTAAAACCGGCTGTTTCGGGAGCTGCACATACTCCTCGCAGTGTTTCGTTTGATTAGACCTAATTCCACTCAAACATTGCCATATTCCGCGCAAATTTCCGTCCCAAATTATGACTGGTTAACAGTCCGACCAACAACCGGTACATAATGACGTAACAAAATAAATCGGGATTAACCAGAACTCTAAATATTTTACCGTAAAGTGTCTGGTGACAAACGAGGGTACATTACGTCAGAACGCGCAAAATGTATAATTACGCTCAATTAACTGGTACATAACAGTATATTGCAGAGAAACTATGTGATAACGAGGCTATCCAAAATAGCTACAATGTAAACATTTGATAATCGCTGCGCACGTGGAATCTTTTTATCATCTCTTGAACGACACAGAAGACTAAAGTGAAGGGCTGTCATGTTACGTGTTGTGTTTTAACAAACTGAATAGAAATACGACATTTGCTTTTTTGATAAAATAAATAATTCACGGATTTGCTTCACAAAAATGGATAAATATTATCGAATATTTAAAGCTAGGCAGTAATAATTGGTACACGTTTATAGAATTTATATCGGAGATTTGAGTCAAAGAATTTTCGTTCAAATAGCGAGTTTCAGCGAATGCAAAATTTACCTATGCGAGTATCAATGTTTGTTCCAGATGCATTCAAGGGTAAAATTTATCAGCCTTAACAAACACTAGGATTTTTTAAAAAGTAGTAGTAGTAGTAGTAGTTCTTGGTGTTTAACGTCTGCTTCCACATAAGTGATATCGCAGACAAGACATAGGAGAGCCGAAGCTGATTCCTGTTTTTTAGAATATGATTTTGCAATCTTTCCATTTGGTCTTAGGCCATGGATTTGGTTTAGTGAAAGAAGGCACCCTGATTAAGTCATGAAAATTCCCTATATTTTACTAAGGAGAGATTTGATTGGACGACGAGAATGGACACGCTCCGTCAAAGACTCAAGTTTTCAGTCTTAATACAGAAATGGATAGAGAGGGATTTCTCGGGCCATAGGCCTGCAGCCAAAATTTCCAGCATGAAGTTCCGCTACAAGGTCCAACCCAATCTGTTTTACAGAGAATTACGAGTCTCGTATAATATCTCTGTCATAGATGACTGCCTTAACACGTGCTGTCACAGCACGCGGTGTGAATCATTGGCTGAATGGCGCGTGCATTGTTTACATAAGACATTTTAATACCCATTTACACTAAATCGGAAATAATTTTTAACTACAAATACGTCAAACGCCTTTATTTATTTTTCCACTATATACAAAAAATGTTTTAGAATTTAATTTGTCGCAGGAAAAAAGTTAATATTTCTAGCTCATTAAGCCGCATCAATGTCATCCTTATCAGTGATTGTCGCGGCCAAGCAAATATTCACTGCGGATCAGTGTGGGTCCAACCTACTAAACAAACTATACCCTTTTGGAAAGATTATAACAATAGGAACACAAATCCAAGCAAACTACTTGCAATAACTCGGTTGTGATAATTGTAAATGCTATATTTATACTAACAATTATGAAGTTGACATAAAATTAAATAGTGACGAAAACACCCTATGCAAAGAATTTTGATTTAAACCAAAATGCGGAAAACATAAAGGACAAGGGAACATACGGAATTTTGCAAATCCATTTACGGTAAAAGGGGTTATCTCCCTTTATGAAAAATATCAATAATTATTGATAACAGGTTTTTTTCGATAAACTGAATAGGATTTAACAACAGACAAGGGCCCATATAAGTTCAACCTTTTTACAGATAGGATTTGAGGCTAAAGTTCTAACAAATATTTGAACTGAAACATAGTTTTCTCACTAAAATAGATATGACCAAAACTAAATAATGCTGTAATGGGAGGGACAATATTGTAATGAAAAGAAATCAAATGGAGTTTAATGTCGTACTGTTCTGTACTAACCCGTATAATGAAGATGAGCATAGCAATACATTATAGTTCGCGGGGTGGGGGGGGGGGGGCATCATTGTACATGTACAGCTATTATTCCATGGCAAGTGTTATCAATGTGCAAGGTAGTTCAGCTCTGAACGTAGGTCTCATTAGCCTACACTCGCCCTGTACATTCAGGAACTGCTAAACGGTCGCGTGTCAGTCTCTGTGAACGCCTGTACAATGTAAAGGAACATCTTAGTGAGAAAATAAGACCTTGCTTACCTCGCTAGAACCAGTATGAACGATACAAAACGCTGTTAAAAGTACGCCCCCTCCTATCAAGTTGCCCTTTCGCCACCATGACACTCTAAATATTGGGCAACGTCCATATTTAGGAATGTCGCCCATACAAGACGAATCGAAATTTAGGTAAAAATTGGAATCTTTGAAAAAAATTAGAATCTTCAGTCATTTATCGCTTTGCCCACCTTTTGATAATACAACAGAATAAAACAAACATTCCAGGTGCATAATAAGGGATAAAATAATTTACTTTCATATTTAGTATTTATTGTGGGACTTGGTGACCGATAATATTTTAACAAAATCATAGTAAAACATACACCTTGATTCTCTAGTTTTTTTGGGTTTTTTTAAAATACATAACAAGGTTGGTTTTTTATTCTAAAAAAGAGGAAAAACATATATCAAACTCTGAAACAAAACTTTCCCAATTAAAAATGACAAATATGAATATATAAAGCAAATATCAAGGAATCCTATAAATACATGAATATAACCGCCAAATTGTATTGCTCGTCTCGCGCTTCGCCCCCTGCAAGATAACCGGCCAATGAAAGAAAACAGAGAGTGCTTGACAAAAAGAGACCGACAGCCTTTCACCGCGACTCGCGCGTCTTAGTAGGAAACTCGCCTTCGTTAGCCTGCGTCACAATGTTGCGAATAGAGATAACGTGCTCAGAATTTTGGGTGTACGTTCATGTCAGTTGTCATTCGATCGGCATATTTGGCATACATTGGACGTTCTAAATTTCGAGAAAAAAATCAATACAGTAGGCATAAGCTATCTTCATTCGCTACTTTGTGACAGGGATTTATATAACAGAAAATGCACTCGTATGAAAGGTACACACATATGCTGCGTCTCTTGCATCTACCCCTCTCAAACAAGTTTCGCGCTCGTCCGAAAGTTATTCGTGCAAAAGTAGGTATCGACTTGATTATGTCGGCTCCAAGGGGCCTTTAACTATACTTCCAAATTCATCGATTTGTGTTAATTCTGGTCGGCATCCGTCACTCTGTCGTGGATTGAAAGACAGGCGAAACATCTCGAGAGCTGTGTCCGGTGACATAACAGTCGTCAGGAGGAACTCTGTTTAAGCCGTATCTTCCATCAGTCGAGGGAAAAGCTCGATAGTGTGGCTAGGTGACAAATCAGCCGCCGTCGAGTCTTCTACATATTTCGAGGCTGGCACTTACTCGTCCTCTTGGTCGACAACTGGTGTCGAGACCGATACTCGGACGCATTCATATCACTCCGATGGACGAAAGTATCGCCAGTCAGGCAGGCGGAAAAGCGCGATCCGACATGTCCGCCGACGACAGGTCTGAAACCGGCTACTCCTATGGCCACCATGCTCCTTTCCCTGCCACCGTATTTTTCTTATTTGAATGTAACAAAAATATGGAAATATCTATTAAATAAATGAGGTGTTGAAACACAGCTGTAGTTGATGGTGTCTGTCCGCAAACTAAATTCTTCGTGAACAGCTTGGATGGAGTAGCCCAATATAATTCTTTAATGAAACTTTCTTGATTGACAACTCTTGTTTAGCTCCATAGTATTTTAGTTACAATCATTGAGTACGAAACTAAAAGAACGTGATTAAATCTGTTAAATTTATGAGCATTTTTGTACTTGTCCAAATAACTATTTTTCCTCTCCGGTTACATCAACAGAATACAACACCTTGGAATGTAACAGTTTATCATGATGCCTGGAAGAGAGGAATAACAGCAGGGGGCTGTGGTAACAAACCATATCAAGGTAAGTCATTGCGTGAACTATATGTATGCAGTTAACAGTTACACAATAATATCGCCAATTGCATTCCTCGGTAAATTCCGTTTCATTTCCAGCGTACTGGAATGTATTCTCGGACATTGTTCGGGCGGACGGGTTAACGTAGAAATGTTGAAGAGGTTATTTCCCTTTTAGATTTAAGACTGGATACTTGTGGCGTGATGAATATGGAATAGTATGACGAAGTGTTTATAGGTTGAAATAAGTTATTGACCATCTATTGAAGGGATACGAAAGCTGCATTTATTGGTCACAGCTTTATTTTTATGCTGATTCATTTTTATAGTTCGGTAATAAGCCGATTTGCTTGAAGATGGAAAAGAAATGAAATGGGATTTATTAATAACGTCGTACTTTTCTCCACCGACTGGGCCAATGAAGACGGGCATACGCCATGGTCGGACATTGGGTCTACTCCAATTTCGAATTCAGCCTGTCAAGGAATCTTTTACTTGCAAGACAATGTGTACACCCGAACAGCTAGACACTATTCCTTACCAGGTCCTACGTCCTACACTACTGACAAGGTGAAACCACGGGGAACTTTCTCGGTCAACATGTATGGAGATGTAGATATATCCTTTATAGTTATTTTATTATTGTATAGAGTGAATTGACACTTTTTATATTAGTGTATTCATTTTAGAACCCCAGACAGTTTAAAGCTACAATTTCATATTTTCTAAGAAAGTCAAAACATAATTATTTCTATATCTTTTGCTCAATAGGTTGTCAACTCACTATTATACGATCATAGTTATCATTCTCACACTCAAAAATGTTTCACACCGGTAATAATAACACAATTACCTCCCTTGTTTTTCTATTCGCTACCATGGAATAGCTATCTTCAAACTTTTGAATTTGATGCTGAAAATTATATTTTTGCCAATTTCTCAACTGGCAATAGTGAATTATAGGATTAATAGGATTATTCTTTATCAAGGTATGTATAATAGCATCGATTTTAAGGCTTTATTTTAATACATTTTAATATAACTTAAAAATATGAAATTGTAGCTTTAAGCTGATGATATTGAGACTATACAAAATAGTAATTTTGATATCCTGAAGCAGGCTTCTAATATTTTATCTCTTTGTTTCAGATTTATATTGGATAAATCCGCAATTTTTCATCAAACTATCTTTACAAGATGAAGACAGCCGTGATGGAGAATGTACTCTAATTGTTTCACTAACAGAGAAAGAGAAGAATAATCAATCTAAAATTGCTATAGGTTTCGATATATACAAGGTAAACCTAATACCATTATTTGACGCTTAGAAAAAAGACACTAAAATTTATGGTGTTGTGGAAGTTACTCATATTTTATACACTCTGTATGTCTGTTTGTTTGAGTCAGCTTACTAACCAGTTCGATACCGAGATAGATCCTCGCCATATTTAAATAAAGAGAGGCCCTAGCCTTTTTCTTAAAGCGAATTGTGTTATTACTCTGCACACAGCTATAATCCTGTGAAAACACAATCTTCTTCTCCAGTTGAGGTCTCCAGAACTACGACCATTAAATGGTGAAAGAGCTTCAAGAAATGCAATGTTATTAGCTGAAAGGTCTGGACAGTATCAGTTTTACCGTGAAGTGACGAGACGATTCGAGTTTTCACCAGGTGTTTACGCTATAGTACCCAGCACATTCAAGCCAAATGTAGAAGCAAAATTTTTACTTCGTCTTTATACTGAGAAGGCAGCGGAAAGTGGGTAGGTATATTCAAGTATAAACCTAGGAGTGTCGAGATAAAACTCGCTAAACAATAGAAATAACAAACTATTTTCTAAAAGCTATCGATATGAAGAGCAAAGTGGTAGTGGGTATTTAAAAGTGAAGCGCAAAGTCCAAAATTATTCACTTCAGCCCACTGGCAAGCAGAAACTTTGTTGGTTTCCCTCCAGGCCCTTCCAACTCCACAACTTCTCGGATATTATACATTTTCCCGAGAGCTCGGGATCGTATGTTTTTCACTTATTCAGTTAAGAGTCTTACAAGTAAATATTTTAAATTTCGTTATGGTTTATAGTTCAACTGGTTCAATCTCCAGTAAGACATTGGCTGGCTAACCTGGAGGTTCCTTCATTGGTCACGGTGTTGGCCGAGAAAGTTCATCGAGATTTTACGGCGTGGTTTTCCCTTGTCAGTGATCAGGACAGGTGACCTGGTAAGGGAAAATATAGTAGTTCGGATGAACCAAGGTCCCGTGTACACATTGGCGTGCACGTAAAAGATCACTTGGCAGAAAGTTTTCGATAAAAGAGCAGACCCTAATACTATATAGCACACTGTTATGTCGTGTCCCGTCTTCATTAGAGTGAGAGCGGAACAGTAGAACGTTAAACCCCATTTCATTTCATTTCATATTTCTATTTCAGTATCTTAGATGACGTAAATCCAGACCCTGTCGTGTCACCCACAACGGTATGGAAGAAACATTTTATTATCATGTGTTTGAAGTTAACTAAATTCAAATCATTGCCCCCAAGGTTTCTTTTTATCATGTAAATTGGCTTTTAAATCTTACAAACCATCGTTCTATTAAATTTAGGATGTAGTCAGAGGTGTTGTGCATGAAATAGGATACGCTTACGTCTTATAGAACACCTGATACCACTTCTAATTTATAAAGGATGGTCGCATATATTAGCTTACGTGGTTTTACATCTGTATGTGATTGTAGAAATGATTATTTTCAGTAATGAATACGTACTAGAATTATCATTTAGACTATTTTAACAGCCGTACCTTCTACCGTTGTTGTCCTGGAAACGGTGTAGTAATTGGTGCTGGACGGAGGGCTTGACAAGTGACAACATACAGTCGTTCGGACGGGCCGGAAAACCGAGGTCTCATGTACACCTTGGCGTGCACGTAAAAGAACCCTTGTCAGTTGGAATTCAGAGAGAAATGGGGTTTAACGTCCACTCGACACAAACTAGGTCATTTCGGGACTAACATATGGTTTATTTTTTTATTTCAATAATTCGCTTGCGCGTAGGGGTCTTTAGCAGTGGGAGGAAACCGGAGGACCCGGAGAAAACCCACGAGGTTGGACAGGCGACCCTACTCCTTGTCACGTACAACCGGGGAATCGAAACCCCGCCAGTTGACTCAATGACAGACCATATGATACAGCGCGCGCATGCTAACCATTGGGCCACCCAACCCCCCGGAATTTAATATAAGACTAGATCGTAGTTTCGCTGTCAGGGCATAATTTCCGTTACAGCACACTGTATGGCCTAAACTGTAAAACGTAGTACAATACAATTAAGCAATAAGATGGTAATTAAAATCATTAATCAGCCACCCTGTCCATCGTCTGTCATTAGATTAAAAGAAACATAAGATTAATAGAAATATTTAATAATTGACTGAATGAATAATGAACGAATGAAATATTGAATGAATGAAATACGAACAATTCAGAAATGTATCACCATTATAGGATACCTAAAAAAATAACCATTTGACTGGGGTTTTATATATTGAAGCTCAAAAGAAAAAGTTTACATGTTGATTTATATTCAAATGTACATACATATCTTTGTAACACATTTTATGAAATATAGATATACCTACATAATTTAATTATTTTTTGTTTATTTTAGCCTTCTATACCGCCTGTAATAACACCAACATATAATATTATAACAGAATTATTTCTACAATATTCTGGTAGAGATAAACGACTCGATTATAAAGAATTAGGATACTTTATTAAAACAATTAGCTATAGAGGTAATTTTTTTATTCTATATGAGTACGTCATTCTGTAAAATATGTTTCCACAGGTCCATTTTAGATTTTCTAGTTATATTAGTACCAAAGAATAATTTTATCAAAATTACCCATGTAAACAACCACTCAATTTATGTTTGAGATATTATATTTACATTGATTTTTTATTTTCTTCAGAATTTGGTGAACAATTAACATTTAGTGAAGAAGCTTGTCGAAGTTTAATAACGTGTATGGATGTATCCTTTAGATAGTGTATTCACACTATTTCAAATATGACAGGGCTTGATTAAGTTCAACATATTTTTTACAAATGAAATAAGGCTTATAATTTTGATATATGGTAAAAAGTTGAATGAATTTTAAGTAATTATTTACAATTGATAGACAACATAGCCTATAAACGTGCATTTTGTATCACTGTTAATTGAGAGAAGGGTGGATATTAAAATATGCCCGTTTATGTAGAATAATATCTTGACAAGAATAATCTTATATATTTTCAATACTACACAATTCTTAACTTTACAAGAGAAATAGATCTGGTTTTATTGATGCGGAAGAAACCCAGAAAATGTGGAAAGAAATTACAGCTTATAGGGTATGTTCATTATCTATATAATTGTTTACTCGACCGGAAGTCTTGGTTCTCTGTCTAAATACGCTTCACAATTATTGGCATAAACATGGGTATATATTCTTTTTCTCTTATTGACCTCGCGTGCTACCCAAGGTATGGGGATATAAGATTTGTTTAGATCCAATTTTATCAGTGTACATTTATGATCGAATGGGTATACCAGTTTATGGCCAGGGTTATGGTATCATTTGATATTCCTATGCTAAGATTACATACCCAATTTTAACACAGCCGACATCAATTTGCAGGAGGTTTTCAAGCAGTTTGATAGAGACCGATCTGGGACAGTAGATGGTTCTGAATTAGAATTCATGTTTTCTAAATTAGGTATGTATGCTTAGATAGCATTAATTTTTATACTCCCACATTTTCATGTGTACGTCGCCCCTAAGATCTTCCTAAGATCTCGGTTCCTTTCGATATTGGCATGTATCGGGCCGTAACTTCATGGATTATGGCCCCTGAGTGTACGAAAATCGCGTTTTTAGCTTGTGGACCCTATAGAGGTCACAATTTTTATCTGATTTTGTTGAAATTTGAAATGTAAGTTTATAACACAACGACCTTGGTTCCTTTCGATATTCGCGCATATCGGACCGTAACTTCCTGATTTATGGCCCCTGATTTTATTTTAGCTTGTGGACCCTATGAAAGTCACAATATTATTCTGATTTAAAAAAAACGTTTGAATATATCACCGTTACACCTTAATGACGGTTGAGTTCGAATTTCGTGAAAATCGGACCAAAACTACCGGACAAAATGTCCGCCCCTATAACGCAACAGTGTTTAAATATGGTATATCAAGGTTGTGGACCCTCTAGAGCTCACAATTTTGTTCCGATTTTGATGAAACTTGAAATACATGTTTATAACCCAAAGATCTTGGTTCCTTTCGATATTTGCGAATATCGAATCGTAATTTCCTGAATTATGGCCCTTGACTGTACCGTTACACCGTATTGTTGGTTGAGTTCGAATTTCATGAAAATCGGACCAAAACTGCCAGACAATATGCCCCCCTGGCAGCCGCTGGTTGTTGACACGTTAGACTTATTTTAGTGTCAGTTGCATAGATTTAGTAGGCCACTAGCACACCACTTTAATACGCACAGTTTAAATGGGGATGCTGCGACCCTTCTTGGATTGAGCTAACCCTATAGCGAACTCTCTCATAAAAACAAATTGTTATTTCCCACCTTCGTCTCAGTTTGGTCATTCTGCTGATTAAAAAAAAAAGTTAACTTATTATACAAGACCAGGGGTGATCATTCTACAAGTAAATGACCTTCGATTGTATTTGTGTTAAATTGCAGGTTTCCCGATACATAAATCTATAATGCAAGGTATTCTTAGAAGATATGGTGGTCGACAATCTACTTTATCTTTAAATGATTTTGTTATTGTTATTTGTAAATTAGTACTTATGTTTGGTAAGTAATTTATTTTTTTGACCAATTTGTCAGAATATTATTACATTTTAAACTGAATTATTAAGACCATTTTAATATTTAATCCATTGTTTATCAAGGTTTTATTGAATTTATACTAATGTTACCAGCCAATCAATCGCTTAAATGTGGAATGCAAGAATTAGAGGTGGCAAGTATCATGTACGAGGTACTAATATCCACTTTTAAAACACCTGGTACAACTTTTCGATCATTTTCCCTGCTTTTTTTTTTTTGTCCGACATGTTATTAGCGTTTTGTACTTGGCCGCTTTTAGTCTTTTTTTTTCATATTATGATTTAATTTTAATATCATATCATTATTTAAAGTCATTTTCATATTATTATTCAAAGGTATTTTCCAAGAACAAAGAGATAAAACAAGATCTGATGGTCGTGATGATGTAGCACAATTTACATTGAACGAGGTAAAATTATTATTTCAGTTATTCACCTCAAATAACCCATGAAGGTACCGTCATTAACCTTGCCTTCAGTTATCTATTCTATTCTTGGTAAGGATTGGACTGTAGTTGTCGACTATTAAATCGCGACTAAAAACCATATCGGCATATATAGCAAGTACCCTCTGGTTTGGCGCAAATCAAATACCGAATGAGTTTAAAGTACATAAATGTATTACGCAGTAGACATTCCGCCCCACCCCAAACACCATCTACATCCGGATCCATTTTTTTTATATTTATACAATGTTTAAATAGATTTTTGTATTAGCGGAATTATGTTTTTGTATTTTTTTTTTAATTTTCAGTTCCTTCAGTATTCCATGTTTTGTTAGAAAGCCATCCTCATCATGCAGAATATATTCAGGAATATGTCTTTTTTGGTGCCATTCATTTGAATCATAATCCATTATTACTACCTGTAAGATTTGTTGTAGCCATTTAGGCTAATTTGCATTTTAAATCATTTGTGTTTATATACACATTAATGGTATATACATAAAATAGTTCTGTATTATGTCAATTGTATGTTATAAATGAAAGTATGAATATGATAGTGTCATATTGTGAGATATTCTGTATATAGCAGAAGAATATTGGTACCGTGAGTTTATCAAGGAAATAGGAAATTTGACGTCGCCGAAGTTGCAAGAATCAACAAAAGCAGGACACATTAATTTAGGGGATACAGTATTGACAAGATTTTATTTCTGTTCTTTGTAGCTTCATCCAGTGATTGCACTCAGCAGATAACGTAGCAAAAAATCCAGCCATTTACGAGGGCTGACTGAAGTGTTTTAAGCCTATTTGTGAAAGACCTGTACAAATCAATGGTTTTCATTTATTTTTCTATTTAGTCCCATTCGTGATGTACACACTTTTGCCAACGATGTTGCAAGAACTGGATGCCGGTCAGGAACAAATTTTCTTCAGCCACCGCAAAAAGTCTTCATCATTAATAGGAAAATGACGACCGGTTAGCTCCTTTTGCACCTGTCTCATTAGGTGGGCATATCTTCCATTGATAGTCTAGCCTTTATCAAGATAGTCAATTAGCAGAATACCCTTGGAATCCCAAAAGACTAAAGCCATCACCTTTCCAGCAGAAGGAACCGACTTGACTTGGGGGAGGGGACTGGGGGCTCTGGATGCTTCCATTGTTTAGACTGAATTGGGGATTCTGGTTGAAAGTGACAAATCCGGGTCTCATCGATGGTTACAAATCTGGTCAAAAACGTTGCAAGATTTGCTTCAAGACGGTAGACTGTCAGTGATGTCTCATCAGTGATACCCACAACACTGGCAATATGTCGAGTGGTCAATCGTCGATTAGCCATCACCATGTCATGCACCCATGTAATGTTTTCTTGAATGGTTGCTGTTTTAAAAATGGCCTTTCAGGACGAGGTCATCGTCAAGGAAGGGACATGTCGGCATGCATCTATGTTTGGGTTAGTCCTTTCAGTTGCAGGCACTTGATGACTGTCGTATAGCCGGTTTTGTCCATTTCTGAGGATTTCGACAGGTAGGTTCACAAGATGATCTGGTAAGAAAAAGAAAACGGTTGCCGTTCTTATGCTTATGATTCATTGAATGATTGTACTTGTTGGTGGCAAAAGTTTTGTTTCAACCCAATTGATCTATCCTTATCAGGCTTAAAACTTTTCAGTCAGCCCTCGTACATCATGAAGTTTGTTAAGTTTTATTTTAACCGACGTTCTTTATTTACAGTTAATTCTTACATGAAACTCGGCGTATTTATACAACACTCTGTTTCAATTGCTTACAAATATATTTATCTTGCCATTTTGTAGTCAATGAACCTTGTGCTTGTGACTGTCAGTATAACCAAGATATTAAAAATATTATATATATACCCGGTCAAATTATATTTATACATATACATTCTATTACATTTTATAGTTCTCAATTTAAAACTAACCTGTTTTGATATAAAATAAATATATTATAAAGATAATGTGTTGCTTATAATTAGTCATTAAATTGGCGGGTGACTGTGTGGACAAGATGTATAAATAAAGGTCGCTATGAAACGAAACACGCCCCACCTAAGTCACTTAAATATTTACAGCTACTTGCCTTCGATGCTTTCTTCCTTGTCCCGACTGGTGCAGAAAATGACAATGACAATAAAATAATACACAGAATTCTATTACTTTCGACGATGTTCAAAGAATGCTTAAAAGCCCACAGGTTTTGGTGACCAGCGTAATAACCCAATGATGCGCGCCTCTCAATTTCGAAGGGGAATTTCCGGGGAGGTGGGCCAAAAAGTCTGGCATCGAGTCAAGTGCCGTGCTTTCGATCCCATGCATGTACGTGGCAAGGAATAGGATCGCCTGTTTAACTTCCCGGGTCCTTCGGTTTCCTTAACGACCCATATACCCCAGCGAAACTATTTCAGTCCTGATATCAATCTGTTTCACAGAGAATTACGAGTCTTCTAATATCTCTGTAAAAGATGACTGCCTTTAACACGTGCCGTCACAGCACGCCATCATTTCTTTGAAGCACATACAAATCTACAATTATTGAAATCGTTGTCTGCCTTTACGCTATAACATAATTTCCAAAGAAGAAAAAACACAGTACATAGCCAGTTGTTTAACATTTAATGCCGTGAATATAAAACTATGGGATTATATAGACCGAGTTAATAAAGAGTCGTGATAACAAGATTGTTTACAAATTAACGGTGATTAATAGTACAGGTGTTTGTCTCTTAAGAAAAGTTTGTAACAGATCAGCACTGAATCTGTCAAATTTAATTTCTTGTGAATACAGCTAAAGTTTTCCAATTTATCCGATGACATTATGGTTCAAGTATCACTGAAATAAACAGAAGATGTATATTTCACAGATGTCGTAATATAAGATTTACAGAGTTCTACACAGACACATCATTATTGCCGTTAAATTTCTACCCGATTGGTATTTATGGGTGTGATAACATGAATCAACTATTCACAATATAACTATTTTGATCATTTACATATTCGTTTCTGTCCAAATATAATTTATATCAGGTAGCACCGGCAAACTATATCATATTCATTTTCAGTTGTATTCGTTACAGAATAAAACGACTACAGCCCCTTTCAATTGTTTTATGCTTTTGTTTTCAAAAAATTCAATTAAATAAAATGTTGATTTCTTCTAAAACAGGGATACAAACATACCTGTATCTCTTTAAGTTCCCATCAGACTAATTGGTATCAACAGTATCTCATATTTTAATCATTGGCATCAGCTCTTGTTAATATTACCATTGCATGTATCATCTGACTTATTGGTGTCCACTCTTGATGTTATTATTACCATTTCATATAAGGTTCTGGTTTTCCAGCATAGTTTCCCCCAAGAAAATCGCACTGATGTTACCTGAAACTTTAAAACTAAACTAGCATTGAGGTTATCTAAACCATTTCATTGACTGTTTCTTAGTAAAAATGCCGATATACATCTGCAGTACAAATTTCGAACAAGCAATACAGTTTCTTTCATCCACAGAATCATAATCATCTTACCTTGACGATACACTCTCAATATATTCTTCTCAGTGTTAGTGTACTGAACTTTTAGCACAGCATTAGCACACCTCAAAGATAATAATAATAATAATATATAAGCTCCCGTCTCATCATATTATGTTAATGCCGAGATCAACATGCGGCATGCGGTCTTTTTCATTTTTACCATCTGAACAATACAATTTTCGTAACATTCGGGACAGGGAAAGTTGGGGGTACATAATGCCGTTTTCCAACTGAACCAAAATTGAAGGTAACGTTGATACTAACGTTTGTCGACACTTGAAACACAGATCAATGGGCCAGTGGACACGTAATGATAAATATCTAGTAGAATGTCAGATTTCAAAAACACTTGCTGACATACATATACACATATTATTTGGATTATATTCAGGGAGTTTGTTTTTTCTTCCAGTGTGATCTTTTAATTATACGAAATTCGATAATAAACCCTTCAGCCCAAAGTTTCCCCGCTTTCAGATATACGCAATATTCATTCTTAAAACCAGCACAAGAGACAGAAGAAATAGTTATTGGCAACCAATGCAAGCGCAATGACTTACCTTTCAATGCAACGCAAAACGCACGAATATGAACATAACATAAAAAGAACAGGTCTTTCGCTCAGTCAACACTCTGTGAATTTAGACACAAGGGCTTGACAAAAAACAATAACAAAGAAAATATGACAATGAACATGGTTTTTATTTTCTTAAGATGTACACCACCCACCTAATGTGTTAATCTGAATTAAAAAAAGGTGACATAATAAAGTACGAATATGAACAAATGTATGTTTAAAAGAACCAGCAAGAATAACAGACACAAGAGACATCTGAAGGTTGTGTAAAGTTCTGCTCCCCACTTCTAAATCAACGAACCTATGGAAATAGTTATTTAGTGTTAGTTTGTGTGAGTGAGTGTTAGTGAGAAGCTGTGAGTGTTATTAAAGGGACATGAGATTGAGTTATTATTTTGTTTATCACGATTTCATCTGGCTCTACGCAATTCTCAATAGATTATTTAAAGCAATACTAGCTCAAATTTATTTTTCAAAGTTTTCATTTAAGGAGTAAGATTCTAGTCAAATTTTACAACAGATCGTGCATGTTCTGTTGCAAAGAAAGTTAAAGATTTATGCACCATTCAAAAGAGTGACATGTTTGACCTTGCTGGTGAACCCGTTTTAACCACATATGAATACATGTTGGCGCATTTTTTAATTTCCCACTCTTGAGTTTTAAATCTTCCAGTTGATAGACAAATAAATGTTGTGTTCATTAGGATAATTGTTCTTTCTAATGATACTGATTGCCATAATATCTTGATTGTGGAAAAACTCAGCCATGATTAAGTTTTTATCTGATGTCCCTTTAATAATATTATGAAGAGTGAAATAAAGGTGTTGCTACCGTCGATATCTTACCAGGATCTAACCCTTACCGTCTAAGATTTAAGGGAACCATTTTCCTAAATAAATACCTACATGTATTATTTACAAAGGGTGCGACATATTTAACTTGTGTTCGACATATAAAAAGTATAAACATCATATAAAAAGAGGTGCATGTACAGGAAACACGTCTAGGGATATATACAAACAACATCCAGTGGCTAAACGAAACAAATGGAAGACAATTAATTGAATCAATTGCTATCTATATACATACGTGGCGATTTTCAAAAGTGGGAGGTATTTACATATTTACACCAAAAGTAATCCACCAATTATATACTGGAAACAAGGGATTAATGAATATTCACCGCTTAATGAATGTTTGGGGCGGGGCCCCAGTACCATTCTTCTTCTTGAAATTTAAAAAAAGATCTGAAATATAGCATTATTTGACAATCCCTTTCCTTAATGGATTCAAAGTAAGCCAAATCTTGCAAGACCATAACCTATAACTGTATGTTTATATGTATAGAGAAGCCTTCATCCATACTCCCTCTATCTATCTCTCTCTCTTTCTTTCTCTCACTCTGATATTAAAAACAAAACCAGCTAATTATTTACAAGCATAAAATATAGGATATTTCGTTCATGACATAACGCTGAAAGAGTTAGAAAGCAGTATCTACGTGATAGATAAAACAAGCTGTAATAAGAGTCATGCATTTTAAAACAATAATCCATTATCAACATATCAATCTCGTTCGTTCACATTTTCAGCTAAACATTTTGTCCCATAGAATCCTGTATATCGACAAACACATTCTTGAAGTAGCATATTATAGTCCTTCTCCGAGTCATATGGATTGTATTAACGTTAATAACGTGATATCCAAACCTGACTACATACATATTGTAACAGCGTTTGGCAGCTTTAACAATCACATATGTCTATGTACGTGCCTTTTTTATCGAGAGTTGGAGGGCTTCAATGTGATCGAGCATAATACTGACATGAATATGTTTTTCAGATAAAAGAAAATAGCAACGATAATTGGAGAGTTTTGTTTTGAAATATGGGGATTTAGCACTATCGTAAATTTACATTTGTAGGTGAAAGTACTACTATGTCCATTTAATTTTGAAGTCAAGAGATCTAACACTCTTCATGGTGAAATATTAACTTCGAGTTATCAAGAATTAAAACAATATGGTAATCATCGATTGCTTCTGTATTATGACTAAAAGAAAGACCGGTATCAGCAAAGGTCGACCACATTTTTTAACCCAAACTCTCCGAAACCTTTCCTTTCTTTGAAGAGTTATGACAAAATACGCTGGTTTCATAATTTCATTCGATACTTCACGTGGTTTCACCAGTTGTTTCATGGGAAGTCGGGTTTATGGTCTTGGAATTAGTTGATACTTCAGGCTCATCTATATTACTAGCCCTTTCAAGCATACACTTAATAGATGCTATCCTTGTTCTTGTGGCGTCGTCCAACTCACAATTATCCTTCCCAGTTTGTATTTTTGTTGTCGTTGCGTAGCTTACACATTTTGTATAAGAAGGTTCTGGTTTCTTTACTTTCGGTAAGGTAGTCGGTGGCGGTGGTGGTGGAGGTGGCACTGGGGGAAATACAGTAGATTCTACTACTGATTTTGTTGAGATCTTTAAAGATTCTTCTTTAGTACATGGTGGTGAAGTTTCAGTGGTACTCATTCTATTTTCTTTGAATAAAAATGGATTGGCAAAAGGAAGTGATTGTTTCATCAAAACGTCTTGAAGAGCTCTTATCTTTGAGGCCGTTTTTTGGACTGAATATGTTTCTTCATCTGAGTTACTTTCGGATCCAATACGGTTGTGAACTTCCGTAACTAATGCTACATCTGCATCCCCACATTGGGAAAATATGCTTGACTTCTTGGGTGTTTGGTGCTTGTCCATCAATTTAGAGCAATGTGTCTTGCGGATTTGTTCATGAATATCATAGCCAGCGACAGACTGTGAACGTTGTATTTTTTCTGATTTGGGTTTTATATCGATACAGCTATTAAAGCTACCTTTCCTCGATACCTCTGTGTTAAGCTGTTGGTTTTGTGAGATCGGTTTTGGTAGGGTACACTGCTGGACTTCAATTCTTAATGACGGTGGTAGTGAAGTTGGTATTGGTGGAGGCGGAGACGTCTTACAAGATGGCCTTGGTGATGTTTTCTTCCTATTGTCCCTCGACAATGATGCAGAATTAAATACTGTTTTACAAGTGTTATCCTTCATAGAGTTGCTTCTTAGAGAATGTTTGAGATCGCCTGTACCCATCATACTTCTCTGGAGTACTGACGCCAATGATTCTGTGACAATTGGTTTGGTGGCTATGATGTCTTTTGGAGGACTTACCTCAATTTTTGGTTTAGGGGCGCCGACGCTAGACTGACTTGACTCGGAAGCGCTTGAATTGTTACGGTTAGGAGCAAGGCCTGTGAAACTTGAAGATAGTAATAACCCCTCTTCATCACTAGAAGAAACATTTCTCTTCCTGTATGTATTTTTAGTTGGGCGTTTGCTTGGTTTCAGAGGTTTTGTTGGGGTTGGTTTAGTATGTTCGTCATCAGAGTGGATATCATCAGTACCTTCACTCATAGAGAAAACTTCTACATCATCTCTAGATGGTAATTTAGGACTTGGTGGTTCTTTTGCTTTAACCTCCACTTTTGTTTCTATGATTTCTGCTAAAAATTCTGATTTTTTCCTTTTGGTCAGTTTTATATCTTCGTCATCTGAGGAGATAAAGTAAAAATCTTTCACGGCCGAGTCGCTGGAATCTGAAAAACGCTTTGATGTACCAGATTCATCCGAACTTGAAGGGTTGTACCCGTTCTTATCTTCATCAGAATGGGAAGAGATACCAGACTCAGTTGAAATACCAGATTCATCTGAACTGTAATCAATCAATGAGGACGAACACAATGGTTTTGCTCTTCTATAAGGTCGTCGATCCCATACTGAAAATGAGGTCTGGGCCTCCTTTAATCCAAAATGTCTGTCTAGCGTCTGTGTGGTGTAAGGATATGGCATGGAGTGATCCTCTGTATCTTCATCTAGTTCATGGCTCGAATCTTCGTCTTCTTCTTGGACTTGATACAGGTGTGGTTTAGCGTCCATGTTATCATATTCTGGAATAACATCTAATGGCTGTTTAAAAAATCTGAAAATAAAATAAAACAAATTTTCTAATTTGGAGAACAGACAAAAACGGAGATAAATTCAAAGAAGATAAAATTAAGATATTATCAATTGTTTGGATTTGTCATCATTAAGAAAATCTAGACGGCAGGAGCAACTTTTATGGACACTTTAAGAATATTTAAGTACACTCAGACTTTGGCATTATCATTTAAACTCTCATTTGTATCCAGTTAATACAAAGGAAAAGACTGTTTATACCCAAGGTAAATACTGAAAAAGGGCGAATAAAGCAATCACATTTTTGATAAAGTCTGACAAATTGTAAAATAAAGACTTTTAAAAAAGATATTTCTCATCAAACAGTTCGAGGGGTGTGATATTGTTGATTATTAAAATCGTGTGAGAGTTTAAGATAAAAAGCCAACCCCGCAGATTTCTATACTGAGACAACATCGAGGTTTTGCCCATGTTACCGTAAGTTACAACATTTACTCATGCATCTGTTGATACAGACAAGCATTTGTATATTCAAATGAAAGGGGGCCTTGTTATTATCAACCCAGTAATAGATATACAACAATAATTTGGTATTGAATAAGGCGATTTTGATGTGGGTTTATAAAATCATTGACATTCATACGACCATTTTTTTGAGGACTAGATTATTTATAGGTACAGGAAAGGCCCGTGTAGAGCTTTCTTTCATGCCCATTTCGGGGTATTTGGGGTATTTCTAACACATAATTTATGCAAGTAGGATATTCCAGGTAAATATTAGAACAATATACTCGCACACAACATGAATTATAATAAGCATCTATAAAACATACCAACGACACTGAAACTTCATATCATTTTATTTATTCCTTGTTTGGTGCACGGGTTAGTAAAGTCCTTAAACAACTGATAAAGCATATCCACATCTCTAATCTGGCCTGAAGATCATGAAACTTTCTCCAACTTAACCAATAATAATCTTAATTCCCATTAATAGCGGTGCAGAAATGTAGGATGGTAAACCCCATGTCATTTTCCCATTAATAGTAATATTTCTTCATTTGACTAAGATATGACACATTATGCTTATCTTGTTTTAAAAATGTATAAAAGGTAAAAAATGTTTCATGATCCCTGTGCAAGATCTAGGATAAAGTAATATCAACAAACTGCTTTAGGGGACAACTTATCGGCCAGGACTATCGAACCAAGCTATTTCCTTAAAAAAAAGACGGTTTATCCTCGCCTATGCAATAAATGATATTTTTGCTCTATTTACTTAGATTTTTACATAACACATCGCCACTTCATCCGTATTTGTATCTGGGATATATACTCTTCAAAAAAAGTAGGGGATATTGAATTACAAATACCTATGCAGGTTGTGATATGATAAATAGTCATGGACACTTGACATGCTTTGAGAGTATGTTCACAGATGAAGAACTTATCGCCCCAATAGAACCACTGAGCTGGACATGCGACGCACAATAGCGCCATACACATGGGAGGGGTTCATTGTCAATTTTGACACTTCAAGGAAGGGTTGATGAAAACTGCGCTTGCTGGGTTATCCTATCCATGTTTGCTTTCCTATCGGTTTGGATAAGATTTACTGTTTAGCGTATCTTTGCTTTAGTGTGTTACGTTGAATTTGCAATGAGACGTCTTCAACATGATGAAGGTCTATGTGTTATTAGCATGCTTCAAACGGATTCTACACAGCGAGCAGTAGCCAACATGCTTAATGTGTCAGAGACTGTGATCAGCAGACTGTGGAACCGGTACCAACAAACACACAATGTTGATGATAGACCTCGTTCAGGTCGTCCTAGAGCCACTACACAAGCCCAGGATCGATATATTCGTACAGAGGTCCTGCGAAATCGCGGACAAACGGCCAATCAGCTTTCTGTAAACCTGTACAGTTACAGGAATTCGAGTTACACCCCAAACGATTAGAAATCGGCTACATGCAGCCCATTTGCATGCGCGACGACCGCGTGTTGTGCCTCCATTAACTCGCCAGCAAACAGGCGTCAATGGTGTAGACAGCGTAGAAATTGGGGTAATCGTCGATGGGCGCGTGTAATGTTCTCAGATGAGTCCAGATTTACTCCGGATTTCACCGATAGGCGTGCTCGCGTTTGGAGGCGTGTAAACGAGCGTCATGCTAACGTTATCGTCAGACAGCATGACAGATTCAGGCGTGGGTCTGTTATGGTGTGGGGAGGAATCACCATGACTGGCAGAACGGACTTGCATATTGTTCAAGGAAGGGTCACTGGTGTGTATTACCGTGACCACATCCTGGTACCGATAGTTCTGCCCTTTGCTCAACTTGCAGGTCGACGTTTCATCTTTCAAGATGATAATGCCCGTGCCCACCGCGCTCGTGTCGTGAATGACTACCTCCAGTGTCACCATATTGTCCACATGCCTTGGCCAGCCATGAGTCCTGACCTTCCCCTATAGAGCATATCTGGGACATGATCGGGAGACGTGTTCGTCGACGTCAACGTCAACCTACAGCACTGCAAGAATTGGCCGTGGCACTGCAAGGGGAGAGGGTCAGATTGCCCCAAATCGTGATTGGACGGTTGATTAGGAGTATGCCACGACGAATTGCTGAATGTCTGAGGATTGGTGGAGCAATTACTCATTGTTAAGACAAAAATCAAAAACGTCCATTATCACTATTGGCAGTGCATCTCTTTGCGAGTGAAATGGGGCCGTCAGATAAGCCGCCCATTATTAACATACACTGGTTACCTCTAATAAAAACAGCAGTTCGTTTCCGCAGTTTTGAATTGTTTCTGAATATCCCCTACTTTATTTTTGAAGTGTATATGTAGTAGTAAGTGATTTGTTTATAATACGTCATTGGTTAGGAGCAAATTAATCATAAGGACGATAACGCTGTTTATAACAATCGCTTTAAACTCTGCATACCAAAAAGAAACAAACAACTTTTAAAACGTTTCAAGAGTTACACAAAAAAAATGAACAATTCTACGAAAACTTCTAGTTATATTGTAATGGCTATATACTTAAGATGAAATATATAATATTTTACCTGGTCAAAGTACTCACCGATTTGAAATTTACAAATTACATACATGTATATGAACATTCCCGTGTGACATCCATAATAATTGTGCTGTATATATCGTTGTGCAGAAATACAATATAGTGACATGGATATGATTTAACTCCACCCTCACGAAAAAAATACTTAATTGGTGTTTTCTTCCAAAATCAATAAATACTTCAATGATACGCAAAAATGCATAGCGTGCCTGATAGCCAACATCGAAGTTCTGTCCACTTTAGTTATTTTTAAGACAAGCGCTTAAGCCAAGTAAGATCTGTATCAGATCATATTTTAACGTGAGGGGGGAGTGTAAGAGTTAGTAATGTGTGTGCTATACTGTACATGTGCAATTCATTTCATGGCATCCTTAAAGCTACAATATAATGTAACTCATTATATTACCTGTTGACATTTTTAATGCAAAATACATGTAGGTTTTCTTTTGACGTATCATTTCAAGATCTGATGAATTTAAAGAGACATTACCGGGTTTTTCTTCAACGTTGTAAATGCACTGCCATTGATTTATTCAATGTTAATAACACCAATGACATTCATAACAAAAAAAATGAAAACGTAGGACCCTTTCAATAATCGTAAAGTTCATCAACAAATAAAACTCAAATAAACCAATTGTCGATTTATTCTTCAATACCAGTCCTTTATAATGTAAACAGTTGGTCGACATCCACTTGAAGAATAAAAACAGCACCACAAACGTCAGTCTTCTTGGGAAAAATATCGCGTTACGAAATCTCTTTTTCCTCTACGAACATAATTCATAAAGTCGACCACTATTTATACAATAAATCAAACTTTTTAATACCACGTTTTACAGATTTTTAGTGGGGAAAATTTCTAAATAAGACATTTTTATGGCTATGATAAGAGTAATAAAGTCAGCCTGTAACGATTGCTAAACTGTGGATTCTGACTCGATCTCATTAAATTCAGACGTTAATTTCGTGTCGTTTCATTTTTGACCTTGTACTGTAATACAGTGTAAAAGTCAGAGGAATAAACCGAAACAAAATAGTAATTGAATTTTAATAAGGTAGATTTTGGTATGGCCTGCTTATGTCTTGGGCTAGGTCATTTTCGTGAAGAGTTTCACTGAAATCAACGAACTTATTAAAGCATTTGTAGATTTATATTAATCTTTAATGTCTTTTGGCAAATTTAAGGAACTTTTTGAATTCTAATTTGGCCTAGCGTAGACATCAAACGAAATATATCATTATTTTGCTGTATGAAAAATAGACAACTTTACCGTTCTATATCGTCAGCATTAATATCATCTTCTACATCCATCTGGTTGATATGTGTAGGATATTCATGTTTCTGTAGTGGTAAACTTATGGGACATGGTCCTATAATATATAACAAGATATTACTTACAATCTTGTAAAATAATTGATATGCATGGTATTATTATGTATATACAACAGCGATGTCTCCAAGAAACGATAGACATATCCGAAAGGAAGCTGATTTTCACCAAATTTGATAAGGATAATAAATAAAATAAAACCAAGTACGAATAATCCAAACAATTAGACAAAATTCGAAGTCCTAAAAAAACGGAATAGGCCAAATGGTGTAATCAGCAAATGAACTGTTCACAGTGTACAAAATACACGACAAACAGTGGTAACAGGTGTCCGGAATAGTAAGCTTACCATGCCTGGCGCCACACCCGCCATAGCTGCATCCAAACCTTAAGACGATATCTCGGTAAAATAGCGTGATTGGCCAATGGACTATCCGTATGCAAAATGCACGTGATGAACAGTGTTAACGATGTAGTAGACATAATCAGGGAGATAGTATACGCGTCAATTAAATATATCTAGAATAATAGCCGAAAGAGACATGTTATATTTACCAATCAAGTCAATATGACAGCCATAAAACTTTTTAAAGGATTTTGTAAGTTTAGTGGGCAAGTATCCCTGTAGTTGAAGCTTAGATGACAAATGCCTCGATCTACTTAAAAAATCAGAATAAAAGGAACAAGCTCTCGCGTAACGAATTAGCTGAGACACAAACACACCATAATGAATGGAAAGTTAACAATCGGAAAGTCAAAGTCATCACGTTTATCGTACAATTTAACATTCAATTTGTGGCAATTGTCAAAATCGAGACGCAGATCGAAGTAGAAAGCGTAATTGTCACTGTTAGTAGTGTTTTTAATTTCGAGCTCATTAGGATATATGAATTCTACATAATCACTAAATTTGGGATTATTCAGTGATAGAACATCATCGATATATCGATAACTGTAATTAAAATGTCTGACTGATCGTTTATTTGTTTTTACGAGTGCCTGTATATAATCGGCTTCGTGAGAATATAGAAACAAATCAGCAAGCAAAGGTGCACAGTTGTTGTCCATGGAGATACCTACAATCTGATTAAAATACAAATCTATATTTCGTTTCGTTTTTTTTATACTTTCGATGGCCTACACTACATGAAGATCTGACAAGTGTACCGACTTTTGACCCTATGGCCTCAGACATTTGATTAACGAATCAGCATTGATGTTACTAGTGGATTACCCACAGTTCCGTGCAAAACACGCCCAAAGCTCGTCGTAATAGACCGTTTCATTGGCTTATCCCTGACACCATTCAGAACACGAGTTAAATAACAACTCTTCCAGATCCTAGTGTAGTAAAGACAAGTAAAACGAAATTTTGAACTATAAAAACGAAACGAAATAGGATCTGTGTTTTAACCAGATTGGGATACCTATTACTACTTGCTGATATATTTCCCCTCCAAATTCAACAATTAATTATCAATTAAAAAATCCATCATCTGAATTATCTTGTTGGTGGTGAATTTATTTTTGGAATCACTTCAAGAAATTTTATCTCTGGAACCGGAAGTCTTAGAATGCTGAAAATAACCATGGTGATTCCTCTCCGATCTAAGTGCTTCACACCATGTTTGGAGAAAAAAGCTTTAACCATCACAAGGTTAGCGGAAAGGGATGCCGCGAAAGGATTCGTCCTCTCATGACACCAATGCTTCACAGGGAGACGGCATATAATACGCCAATACCATAATGTTGGCATATAGACATTGCTATTCTTGATGTCATCAGAAGCATAACTCCAAATTCAGTCAATATTATTCAGATTAAAAATGTTCAGATTGTTTGGGAAAAAGTCGTACATAATTAGTCATCTGTTTTACAAAGCAAACGATATCGTTTACACGATTTCTTTTGACCATTGCAGCAAATGTGGAAGAACGTGATGGTTAGGTGAAACATTATTTATAAAATATTTATTCAATAATATTCTTCTTTGCTGTCAACTAAATAATCAAAATATGATTTAAAAACTTCTTCAACAATTATCTATGGACATGCTGTTCAATGTCTGAATGTAGTTCTTCCTGGCCAGATATCCACAAAACAATCAAACATTTGATTAAACTCTGTAACTCCAACATCTAAAGAATATTAAAACTGTATTTCCATCGGGCTCATGTTGGATTTTCGATGAAAAAAATATTTTGTAAAAAATTCCCGTTTGGTTAATGCATATCAATTAAAAGTTGTAGCACATCAATTTAGGTGAATGCTTCGAAATCTTTTTTTATTGGAAATTCACAAAACATTTCCACAGGAAAATAACCCAGGGGTTAAATGAACATTTTGACATAGCTCTCTCAAATATCAGGGCGTCGTTTTTGTTTGAACATCTGTGCAGTTCTAAATTTCGAATCAAATGTTTGTCGTGTTTTCACAAAGATGTGTAAATCTTCGGGATTTATCTTACAAACCAAGCTAAACTAAATCAGTGCATCTCATTACAATATGAATAAGTTCACTGCAGATATCATAAAATTTACACAATATTTACAATATTTAAACTGGGTTGATCAAATGGCGGGAAGAGAAAAAAAATATTAGACTGCTTGAACTACATAATTTGCTTTGAACGCTAACAAGAAATATTCTTATAATCTTGGGGTCTATGCATCATAATTTTCTTCTCTGTTCGTTTTTTTTTTAAAAAACCAAATAAAAACTTGTTACACTGCCTATAAATAAACTAGTACAAACCCAGGTTTTAGACAAGGTGGACAAATAATTCCCAAGGGTGAAAATATATAAGAGCTGTTTTTGTTGAATGACATATTTTATTTCAGCGCTTGAAAAACGGTGATATTTGAAAAATGAATATTTTCAAAGCCCCGAACCTGGTTTATTTTCCATCATGGTCAACTTTTTCAACGGGTAAATATATTCATTTTATTCTCCGCGTGTCCATAAACCTCGGGAAAACTTTGAAGGTGTTATTGTAAAACAAAATAATGAAACCTTAAAATTACTTACGATTTCTTTGAGCATATAAATGTCCATTTCTGTTTGGAACTGACAGTTTTCTGTTCTTTAAGGACAGTGTTCCAGGAGGAGAGGAACGAAGCAGAATAAATTCACCACGAAATATTCCACGACTAGCAGGACGATTTGTTCTCCTGGAAGACAGTGACCGCTGCCAACTGGGCCAAACATAAATTCCTTCCGATTTTAACGATAAAGATTCGTTTTCAATAGTATCCATATTGCCGACCATCTTCTTTTTCTGCAACTGTAACACCAAAATAAAAATCCAACATAAAAAAAACATACATCCAAATAAGAACTAAAACATTTCACACAGGCACAAAAAAAATCTTGTGACTAACCTTCAGGGGTCGCGCTAGTCTAACTCTGCTCGCCATCACAATAACGGTATGAGTCTAAAATGACAAACTATTCTCCTATACTCCGAACGTCGAATCATCGGTAATCCGGATTTTGGCGGACAACCGCATTTACGTTAAAGGTTACCTTGGTTTCTAGAAAATCTTGCCTGACTGTTAACAACAAAACTGTGTTAATTCGCTTCAGTTACATGCCATAATTTTCCTATTCATTTACTTGGGGGTTAGTCTTTGTTTGTGAGGACTTTTTCTATCCATTTAACGATTTACTGACAGGGAGCAGCTCTCTTCGTAGGCTGAAGATAGTCAGAAATTTGGCCAGATCCTCTAGGATAAGGAAATGGTTACTTGATCCATCTTCAAATAATGTACAACAACTGAAAATGCCTTTCACGTCACGACTCTCTATTTTGTGGGCGTTTTATAAATTATCTTATCCCTAGTCTGTTTGAAGTGGTTAATCGTCTTCTGTCTTATATTCTTATGGTCTCAGCCATTTATTATAGATTTTTAAATATAGACACTTTCTTTTATAGGTGTAAAGAAAAAAATTATAGATCATCGTCGTCGGTCAAACGAACAAAACTGCGATAGATGACCCAAATTTCGATGTACATGTAAAATAACTAATGTATTAATATTGTTATATTTCTAAGAAATCCGAAAATCTGTGCAATAAACCACATCTCATAAAATAATAATAGTAAAAACCCGTTCTCGTGTTCATCTAATAAAATAATATTGGGGCCTTTTATCAGCAAAATGGCATCTAGACGAATATCATGAATAATTGCCTTTCTAACCATCAGATTCTTTAAATATGTAAAAAAAAAATCAGAAAAAAACAAAAAAACAAACAAGTACGCTTTTCTTGTAAACTTCGAATGTGGTATGCGCAATACTAAACTAATTGCTGTGGCGGCTAAATTCTCAAAATTGTCAAGGGAAAGGCGAGTTCCCCATAACCCGCGACAACCGTCGAAGTCGGTGGCGGCTCCGTGGACTAAACGATTGATTGGTCATTTGGTATTCAGGTCAGCTGCATTCACGGACTGGGATAGCAGGAAACGTGTTTGCAGCCGCCAAGTTTTTCAAACTTTCTATGGGGAGAGCGTCCCTACATGCCATCCCCCCTAGTGAAGCTAAAATCTTCAAAGTGCGGGGGCATGATGATTGGTAGTTCAGAGATCTCTCACAAAATAGCTCAGAATGGTCATTTAGTGGGCAAGGACACCCCGGACACCCCCCCCCCCCCCACACACACACACACACACACGAATATCTTGCCCCCGCAGTTTCAAAACCTTAAAAAAATGGCCTGCTAGGTAAGCTCCGAGATTTCGGCGCACGCTGACGACCAGTCGCCGCCGTTTTTTATGCTTTGTCGTCGGTAAAGCATAGACAATGTTCAATAAAATTGTATATAAAGGCGTGTCCGAAATTAGGTGTCTGCGATATCACCCAAGGTGAATAGGGAGTCTGGGTCATTGGGGATGTGATAAATCTAGAACAATTTCGATACTGTTGATCAAGCTCATGTACCATTTCCAAACATTGTCGTAACTTCCAACCATATCTTGGCAAATAACAAAGTTAGGTTTTTCGGTGTTTAACACTAGAGTGTTTATTTTAAGAAGACTTTAAATGCAACCACGATAACAGAAACCAATTATCACTTGTTATTTTATCTCATTTTGACTCGGTTTAACTATATGGGTTTTTTTGTGTGGATTAAGACAGCTTTTGGATTCAGACATGTCCGCATAATTTCTTGTAATATCATCAAAATCACAATCCAAATCACAAGAAGCAGGCTAAAATCTTGGCTATGTGACTGATGAATTCATGACCCCGGTTCCTCAAATCAATAGTATCATACGGAATATGCATCTTCAAATGAGAGCTATTTCGAGAATACGCTCTAATCAAAATTAATACTGATGCCTGCCAAAGTGTTGTTGTTAGAGCATAAGTAACATCGCATAAGAACTATGTAAATTACCTTCTATTTGGAGCTACAGAAAGAGCTTTAAGGTGGTGGGTCATTATATACAGACTTGCCAACACGATGACTATCATAAATGACCCTCAAATTATAGGGAGATACCATCAAATTAGCGCGTACATCATGGAACGCCATCTTAAAAATCACCTTCATTCAGAAACAAAATATACCCATTCCCGCCCCCACCTTGAACATATTTCACAAAGAATAAATCAATCACGCAATTCTGTTATCAGTATTTTTTAAATAATTTATTGAAATAATATATTTATCACTAGAATGTATCAATACCGTTTTAAATAAGGTTGGATTGCTGGGGAGTATAGAAATCAAAGAGTTCTTTTAAATAACTGGGTGTGCAGTGTCAGAATAAACTGATTTAAACACATTCACAAGAGCTTTTAATTGAACCCTTGCTCGAACTGGAAGCCAATGGGGTTTGTGTAATTTAGCTGATATATGATCAAATTTTCGTGCAGCATTGTTTTGCGCTATTTGAAGTCTGTTTAACCCTATGAACTCATGCCTTCTTAAATCGATGGCGTCGAATTACCCGACAGTTTGTTCTATTTATAAACATAAAACCATGATCCCGCAATCAACATATTTATTTTCAGTTTCTCTCATTTTTGAATCAATGACGGTTTTTATTTTGTCTCCGGGTCCAAACTGAATCTTGAGTAAGGTTGTTAAATAAATTGTAGAATTAGAAACCAAAATAGAGAAGAGAATACAACAATCATTCGGGTGGTTAGCCTTACGAAGAATGTGAACAAATGACAATATCTGTTTGACAAATCAAAGTTTGTCTTGGAAACAACTACACGTATGTTGACTGAGTGAATGGGTTTGTAGGCACGTGTATCTGAAAATGGGCAACGGCTTCGTATTGTCCAAACTTAACTAACACCAATAAAGGACAAACAATTGTTGGCATGTAAATGGAAACAAAATTTCGTGGGATCAAAATTTTCGATTTGAAACATAATTAGATGGCCTAATTAGACTGTAAAATATTTCCTGTAACAACCAACGAATCCTAACTCGGCACAACTGTTTAGATCATAATAATGTATGTTTAAACATTATTTATTAACAGATATTAAAAAAGATACCTTTCCGCGTACAAACTTGGTGATTTGATTATATATATATATATTTGAACTAAAAAGATATTCAAACTAATTAATCTATCAAAAATTTGCTCCAAATCCTTCTCAAAACATTGTATTCGCGAGGAAATATCCCAAGATATAAAAAATCTATTAAAAGAAGTCATGTTTGTGTCATGTGACTTGGCTGACGCGGTATCTAGCAACGGCTGTGAAGTCGGGGAAAATTCATTGCATATACAAGACGATGTTGTCTTTAATAGCTGTCCATTTATAATAAATATCGAAATAAATATCCACTTTACACGGCTGTTCTCGTGGTTTTATCTCAGAACGCTGCGCTGTATCATACGGTCTGTCATTGAGTCAACTGGCGGGGTTTCGAATCCCCGGTTGTACGTGACAAGGAGTAGGGTCGCCTGTCCAACCTCGTGGGTTTTCCCCGGGTCCTCCGGTTTCCTCCCACTGCTAAAGACCCCTACGCGCAAGCGAATATTGAAATAAAATTGAACCATGTGTTAGTCCCGAAACGTCATCGTTTGTGTCGAGTGGACGTTAAACCCCATTTCTCTCTCTCTCTTTATCTCAGAAACTGTTGTACGTTTAAGTCTCTCACTTTTTCCTAGTCCGCTCACCATCAAGTTTATCAACATATACATCAAGCGCTCCCTAACGCTGAAAGATCAGACAATCTCCGCGTGCAACCTTTGACGTCACTCGAGCAAACATCCCTAAGCATTGGGTTCCCGGTTAGGGAAACCCTTAGATTTTTTACCTGTTTGCGCTCCATAGGTGTTTTTCGAGGAATCCAGTATTTCTCCAGTAAGATTGGAAGTTTCTACTGTCCATATATACCAAAACTGTCATACTTTTATTGGAAAAAAACCACCCGATAATTACTTTTGTGGGAAAGTATATTTGATATCAAAAGGAACAAGTAAGTTTCAAAAACATAGAGTAGCCCTGTTCATCCATTTTAAACAACTGAAATAGAAAGCAATAACTCCCATGCCAGACAGGCGATTTTCAGATCACTGATATGATTCCTGTGAAGGCGAACTGTTGTTATGTGAGACTGTGAGAGGATATCTGTTCGAAACAAACTATTCATAAAAATAACCGAGATCTGTGTAGATGTTACCGCACTTGTCGCTAACAATAACTGCTTTCCTTTATTTTCATAACGTTTGTGTTAAAACTATATGTATTCTACCAGTTATATGACATATATGCATCACCTCACCCTATTGTACATGACTCTTTGGAACCAGGAAAATTATTTCTTTTAAATTGTTAATAAACCCAATCCGCTCTATAACGGAAAGACACGATATAAATTGTAAGATCGCTATGTGTATGTAGATGTCTGGGAGCACGTCCCTGTTCGAGTTCATCTGTTAAGTCAACGTGGCATCACTTCAAAGGTTAGGATTGTGTTGAAAGTCAACGAAAAATATTTCCCATACTACAAGCGGATTATAATAACATCTGAGAGACAATAAACAGTCTATAACAATAAAAAGCTAACATCGAGTAAGATTTCAGTACAAAACTCGTGGATTTCGATGACAAACAAATAATTAGCCTTAGTGTAACAATGGCTCATGGGATATCCCAGTTTCTCTTGAAGACTCAACTTCACATTTTTTCGACAATGGTATTTCAAGTTTAGTTTAGGATCAGTTCAAGAACGTAAAGGACTGTGCGATAGGCCTATAATCCCCCTGTCCACTTTGCTGACCAGTTGACAAGGTCCTGGGTGCATACCACGTTAACCTTTCAAGTTATGTAATATTCGACGGACAAGTGGGCTATCGCATTTTTGAACTGAAGATCTAGTGGTCCAGATTCTGTCTTAACTGGGGGGTTGGATGGTTAGCATTGTATCATAAGGTCTGCCATTGGGTCAACTGGCGTGGTTTCGATTCCCCGTTTGTACGTGACAACTGACAAGGTGTAGTAGGGTCGCCTGTTCCAACCTCGGGGGTTTTCTCTGGGTTCTCCTTATTTCCTTTCACTGCTAAAGACCCCTACGCACAAGTCCCGAAATGACCAGATTTGTGTCGAGTTGACGTTAAACCTCTCTCTCTCTCTTTTCTCTCTCTCTCTCTCTCTCTCTCTCTCTCTCTCTCTTTAATTTTAACCAGTGATCGCCATTTGCATTTTTCGGACAATATACAATCCTCGCTTAAATGTACGCAATTAATTATTCAGTATTCAGTTAAGAAAACAGACATCAACCGTGTGTAATCTCCCGGCTTGAATTAAATCGACGTCAAAAGAGGTCCATCGAAAGATTTTAGTGAAATGTGTAGGTGGCGATGGCTTGTTTATGTAAAATGTGGCTAAAATGGACATAACTTGTAGTAAAACAGCCCACATATTGGTCATAACGGCCATACAAAAATCAAAACTTCCAATTAAAGGAGCTAAATCGCTATTCTTTAGCACATAGAAATGGACACAAATGGGCTGCAAGGCATATAATAATGTAATATGAATATATATAAACTCATTTACATTCAATCGTTTCTGTTTTTACTGTAATTTATAAACCGTTTATGTTCGGCGAAATACGTACAACCGGTGAATTAAAACCACGCCATCTGACGCAATGACAGACCTTATGATACAACGCGCACGTGCTAACTATTCGGCCAACCACCTCCTCTACTTTTGGAGTAGGCTACATGTTGTTAAAGAAATGTAAACAATAGTTACACGTAGATGTAGTCCCCCAAAATTGTTGTTTTTTATACTTCATGAAATAAGAAGTTTTTTTCAATATAAAACTCACTGATGCATATTTGGTTTTATTCGCCCGTCCTTCCCCCCCACCCCACCCCCGCCAATGCATTATGTAAGATCTAGATAAAGCGCTGACAGTTCTCGCCATAATAATTTAAAAATAGATAATGGAAAAGGAATATATTGGAACTGTCAGTCATATTACGTTATTCTGGGCGAAGTTATGACTGTATGAAATTTTGATAAAAATAGCGGAACCTCGATTTTCATTGCTACCATTGTTTCGATAATAAACAATGTCTCGATTATCCATTTAAATTATTTTTTTAAATGGCGATCGTGTTTCAATCCATTAAAATCATGACCATCCGATTGATTAGAGGCTTGTCATGTGAATAAATGTCTCATTAATAATTTGAATAAATGTCTCATTAATAATTTATATAACATTAGAGGCCAAAACAAAGATCTGCAATAGACAGTATTGGCTCTTATATAATACATCCATCTTATGCGACCTAATTACCTTTATGTAACAGAAATTTCTGACCGTTTCAGTTCAAAATAAATGCCTCGATAAATCCATCCACTATACTGTGGCAAGCTAGTGGACATGATTATCTGGACACTACTGCAAGTGTGTTTGTATGTGTGGGTGTCGGCAATACCACCTGAAAACTGAGACCTTTCTTTTCGAAACATACTGGAAACAGATAAAGATGTCTGGTAGTCTTCCACGCAGAATATTTCTCCCCCCCCCCCCCAATCGTGTTTACAAGACCCCCACCCCACCTTCGCTTGATACAATCCCCACTCCGCTATTCAACAGACAGGGACTACAAACACAAACTCCTAGTGAAATCCGTTCTCTCCAGTCAGAGAGATGTTATTAACAGTTAAAGGGGAAATCTGTTGGCCTACATCGTCGGGAAAGAGTAAATGTTAGAACCCTGTCTATTCTCCTGGATTAACGGTCAGGTGATAATTATTCCGGCCATGTTTTAAATGAAGTTGTCTTATTGTGTCACACGGACATGGATAATGCCATCATTGCGTCTGATACTACTTTTCCATGGGTACGCGACAGTATATCCATTATTCTGCTATGTCCACCATTTTTTTATTAGTGGGGATTACCCGCAGTTTGTTTCTGGTGAATTATAATATTTAAATTGTCTAGTATGCATTATAAGGAATATATATGAATCTGTTTTATCAGACATTGTTTTAGCTAGATGTATTTTTAATTCTATAAATCAGCTACAACAAAGCCCCAACATGTCAGAATAAGGATTGAATAATAAGTTTAAGCCCGTAGAAACATTTTGATCAAATAGCTATTCAAATCGATTATAAGTTATGACGATTCAAAGTCACATTGGTTCCTATTGATTTCACACTGCACTAAAGTAACAATAATTCCACTATCTTCTTTATGCAGGATATTATTCTTCATGACGTTTTTTTTTTTGTTTTGGTTTTTTTTTCCTCCTCGGATGTGCTTAAATATTAGAATATTTTCAAATTACACTTTTGTTTCGTAGTCGGATGTGCTTAAATATTAGAAATTTTTTTTTTAAATTACACTTTTTACATCCGTACCTTCTGAGATTTACGTGAACGACCTCTGGTCGTGTTTCTTTAAAATTACCCAATGTATGATTCATTCGACGTTTGAATAAACTACGGTTAACAAGAAAAGGTAAAAATAGAAATCGTAACGTCCTGGCTATTCCAAGAGGCAAAAGTTTGGTATTCATACTTGAATCTATTTTAACACAATTTCCCGAATCTTTGAACCTTTAAATCATCAACCGATCACATGCCAAGGTATGGTCAAAAATACCAAATCCTACTTACCAAATTATTGGGTATAGCACCATTCCATTCTGTACATTTACCATTCTTGAACGATCTGGCATCGGATCTCGAAAGAGCTTGTATATTTAGGATGTTACTTATTTGTGGAAATTTTGATCCCATTTTTTCTGGAATAGGAATAAAATATCGTATTTATGATGCTAATGAGTTGATAAAATACACGTAAGAAAATTTAATTATCCTTGACGTAACCCTTATTTTTTGCTATATTATGTACAATAAATATACTTACTCTTCATCTCCTTCAGACTGTTTTTATCAATGGCTGTCTCAGAGACTACTTTAGCAAACATAGCACATTTAGGATTACCACATTTCAGCGCTAATGATAGAGGTGTCTCACCATCCTGTAAAGCACATACAGAAAACTTTCAAACACACAGAACATTCCATTATTTTAGGTTCCGAATTTGAAGCGGTATGGAAAGGGAAGTAACTCTTCTAAATCACTGCACATTTGACAACATGATACAAAAGATAGCCCGTGTGGCGTTTCAGCATTAATGAAAAGTGGGATCAGGTGATTATGGCAACAGAAACATAACCTTACTCGTGCAAAACATCTTAGGAAGTCAATCCCAAACACGATAAAAAGCACATGTTAACATTACTCACCTTATCCGGTTGATAAACACTCATACCAGCATCAACAATCAACTTTAAACAATCAACATGACCATTTTCTGCAGCATCATGAGCTGGTGAACGATCATTGGTGTCGCATAATCTTAATAAATTACTTGTGTTAGGTAAATCCAGTAAATACTTCAATATTTGATAATGTCCATTACCTGAAGGAATTGAACAAATATGTATGAAATAACCAGTCATAACATAATTTAAATGTCAGTTTACATATTCAGTATATTATAGACATATTCTCTTAAAGTTAGTTATAGTTGTCAGGGGCGGATCCAGGATTTTCAGAAGGGGGGGGGGGGGGGGGGTGCTGCCCCCACTTGGGAGTGCGAAGCCCGGCCCTTGGTGGTCGGACTGACGGACAATCAACCAAGTCACCAACCGGCTCGTTTCGGAATAAAATACGACGGGGTTTACTAAAATTTTCAAGTATTTTTGTTCTCCTTTCCTGCGAGAATATATGGGGCAAAACATTGTTTGCCACCGCAAAAAATAGTGGGGGGGGGGCGTATCCATGATCATGATAATCTGTAACAGAACCGTATAGAAACATTTTTGTTCATTTGTTATGTTAATGTGTACTGTATAGGGAGATGAGTTTTACGCGTTGGGGTCTTCAGCAGTGGGTGGAAACCAGAGGACCAGGAGAAAACCCACAAGGATGGACAGGCGTCAGTTTTAAGAGAAAATTCAATATCTTAATAGCAGTGTTGACACGGGCAGCTGTTGAAACTTTTGCACTTTTCTTGCGACAATGACATCGTACCTTCTATTTATGCGTAGAATAAAGCACGAGACTGAGATTATGCTGGGGAAAGAAAGGTTTGTTTCTGAAATCTTTCTTCCCCAGCATAACCGAAGTCGAGGACTTTATCTTGCTTTACCTTGTTTACGTCTATGTACGTAAAATGAGAATATCCCAGAAAAACCCTATATCATGTTTTCTTATGGAAAAAGCCTTCCCTGGAAGAACAGCCTGTTACAGGTTTAAAGAAACACTTTCAGAAGAATAACCCCGAATTCACCTGTATATATCCAAAGCCCCCCCCCCCCGACTTTCAGAGCGCTAGATATTCTGGGCATGGAATATACCCCAAAGATCAAAGAGAATTACCGTTATAGGTTTATAAAACGCATTACACATTGAAGGTAACTAGTATATTATAGTAATCTTTGATTATCATGCAACATATATATGCTAGCTTACCAGATGCGTAATGGAAGACAGTTGCTCCATCGTTTGTACTTTCTAGTAAAACAGAATGACCTTGTTTCATTATGATGTACTGTAATACATCTAGATGGCCACCTTCTGCTGCTGTTAATACGGCTGTCATACCTTCACATGCAACTATTCCCAAGTGACTACAGGCCTCTTCCACTAAATATTCTAAACATGGAAGATGGCCTTCTTGGGCGGCATAAAAGGCAGCCGTCGCTCCTTAAAAATAAAACAAAGTGAGAAAAAAGTAGTGGAATAAGGCCAGGGTCGCATTAAAGGAGGGGGCTGGCTAGGCTGCAGTTCTAAAAAAATGTTTTATATGTAATTTTTTGATTTTATTTATCATGTTGTATATGTTTGTTTCAACTAAATCTATCTATCTACCATAAAGCATACAAATATCATTGAGTGTGACGGATAATGACCAAAAAATACCCCCCTTTTCACTGCTGATATTTTCAGCCAGGGGTCCCATGCAAGTTTAATCTGGTCCCGACTAAGGCACCGATAATATAGATGAGTACTTTGAAGTTGTATCAGATAACATTTGCATAATTTGGAGATTATCAAGTAAACATTCGACATTTATTGGGAGGTTTCGTATAAGATTGTGTACGAACCGTGTATCCAATTCTGAGAAAAGGGCTATATTTGTTAAAACTAAGATTAAATCCAAATAGAAAACTGAGTTGGCCAGAGCAAATACTTTTAGATTCAATTTAAATAACGATCTGGTGGCAAAGGCGGAGGCCAATCACCCATCACGCAAAATTTGTGGGTTGATCACAAGACTGAGAACTAAAGTGCATCCAAGTTGAAACCACAAGGGAAATGTATAACGGGAGACCCAATTGGAAAAAAATAACAAACTTCCGTGTAGGCTGCCTTGATTGGAAGGAAGAAAATCATCATCGATACCAACATCGACGTGTAATCTGCCAACATCACAAGAGGTGCCACAGACGACTCCATCCCAAAGACTTCTGGTAGAAAGCTAAGAAATACAAAACCTTGGTGGTCGCCTGAATGTTAGAAGGCAGTTTACGATAGACAGAAGGTACTTCGCCTACGAAAACGCCACTATAATGAAGTCAACCACCAAAATTACCTGAAGTTGGAATACGCTGCAAGAGATAACATCCAGAAGGCGCAAAGTGGACACTGGGTGACATTCTATAATGCGTTGAATCAAAACTGAACTCCATGAATGGAAAGCGCAGATCATTCAACATACCAAACCTTGAGAATGGAGATAAGTACGTTACCAACGGCAATGAAAAGGCGGATCTACTTGCAAACACATTTGCAAACACAAGCAGGGATGAAAACCAATCACCAGAATTCTTGAAGAGAAAGGAAATCTTTTATCTAATGAAGAGGCTGAACCAATCAACCTACCATTCTCTGAGGAAAAGTTAAATAAGTTTATTTCCCTCAGGAAGGATAGTGCGGCTGGTGAGGGGAAAGTAAAGTACTCAATGCTCAAACATCTGCCTAGAAATGCCAAAACGAAGCTACTAAACTTCTTCAACACATCCTAAAGGTCCCTAAAAATGGGAGAAAGTCAACGCCATCCCTCTACTGTAAGCGGGGAAAGAGAGGACAAAGGCATAGTCCTATCGTCCAGTAAGCGTGACATCCACACTATGCAAAACCTCGGAGACAATGGTTAACATCTGACTACAGTTCTATCTGGAGAGCAACCGACTGATCGACGAAAATCAAAGCGGGTTCAGGAAGGGACGATCAACAATGGACCACTTGGTGAGACTACAGCAAGTCATTTCTCAGACACTCTTCTCGGGGAACCTGTTATCTGCCGTGTTTGTAGATTTAACTAAGGCTTTCGATTTAGTTTGGTTAGACGGGTTGCTCTTGAAGTTGGGATGTATCGGTATAGTGGGCATAATGTTTCGGTGGATCAAAAGCTTTCTGAGCGATAGAAGGATACAGGTGAATGTTGGTAGATTTCTGAGTGCCGTGCAAACATTAAAAAATGGCACGCCCCAGGTGTCGGTCATCAGTCCCACTCTGTTCAATATCATGATTAACGACATACAGAAATCGTCCTATCTCGACTCCAGAACTGAGTTAGCAAAATTTGCTGACGACAGTACAATTTGGAGGAAAGGGACAAGCTACTGAGAATTACAAAAGAATACGCAAAAGGCCTTAGACAAATTCACGACATGGACAAACGACAGGAGATTCAAAGACTCGGAGAAGAAAACAGTCGGCATGTTTGTGAGTAGGGATAGTGGGATGAGCAGAATGACTCTGTGTATGAACGGGAAAACCATCGAGTTTAAAGACCAAACCAAGTTCCTTGGTGTAATCTTTGACCGAAGGCTGGCCTGGAAACCGCACATCGACGGGTCTATAGATAGATGCTCCAAAGTCCTAAAATTAATGAGAAAAATAATGGGCAGTTACATTAATGATGGTGTATCGTGCTCTAATGCGTCTTGTATTAGATTACGGCTCTTAAGTAAGCTTGACACCATCCAATACAAAGCTCTGTGTACATGTATTGCGACTGGCGTAGGGCTGGGAACTAGGAAAGAAGCACTACTACAGAAAGACGGGAGTTGCCCCTGTCCCTAAGAAGAAAGAAACTAGCGACAAGATACTGGGCTAAGATCTCGCAACTAGGCGACAGATCCCCATCCTTTGTCAGCCTGACGAAGATAAGATTTGTAAGAGACCCTAGAAAGGAAAGCTTCGGTCAGGGTATTACGGAAACAGTCCGGAAACTGCGACTGGAGGAGCTCGTGATAAATGAACGCGACCCACCCACGATCGCCCCTTGGACACTCCCAATACCCCCAGTGAATCTGGATCTACTACTAAAAATGGACAAGAGAAATAATCCTACTGTTGCGCATGATTTCCCTCTAGAACACCTGGAGGACAATTGGTTGTCTGCTGACTGGGACCATGTTTATACGGATGGCTCACGTAATCCCGAAAGGGGCACCAGCTCGTTTGGAATATACCTGCCAAACGAGGAACAGGGAATACGCGGGAAACTGCCCAATAACTCTTCGGTGTACACTGCAGAGATTGTGGCCATCAAAAGACTAGTATGTTCCTCATTCCAAGCGGCTCTCTGATCAGTCTGATTTCAATCCAAAATGACAACTCGGACTCAAGACCAGGAGTCATTTTGGAAATCAGGCAGTTGTACCAAAGGGTACTAGAGAAAGGAAGCAAACCAGAGTTCGTGTAGATTCCATCACACGTGGACATCAGAGGAAACGGGGAGGCAGATCACACAGCATCACACCGCACCATAGACTACAGCATCACGGAAATCTACAGTATGGTTAAAAGACAGGTGAATTCAATATGGGAACTAAAGCTTGTTGAACTTGACACATACATATTTCGACTGGATGAAAAGATCTATACAAAGGCGGCGTTAAAGCACAAGATACTACTACTATTGAGCATTTTCTGCTTAGGCAAAGTAGAGACTTCAAACTGATTGGTCGAGAATTTGGTGTAGGTGTCTATTAGTTCGATACCTTGACTGAGTTCGATCCTGCGCATTTTCCACTTAGGCTAATCAGGGATAAGCAATTAAATTAGCTGAGACCAAGGAACACGATAACTTTGGGGATTTCGGCGGGGGACATCGGCCTCACTGTAGGCTTGTTTAATAATACAAAAGACGACACCTCATCAAACTCGGCAAGTGATATAGTAATAATTATACAGGGTGTAGTCTGAATTTCTGTTGTAATATGAGTAGTACGGTTATTTGGTTATGTTAAAAAGTGTATATTTTAAAAAAATTTTAAATGAATCAGACATGAAACTAACAAATCCACGTCTTTTTTTCAGCCGACATTTCAGTTTTTAAGGGTTTTAAAATATCCAGACATCGGGGTATACATACCGAACATATCTCTAACGTTGACAGTTTGTCTACAAACTTCTGCCAAAACTTGCGTACAGTACTTGTTTCCTGCAAAAATAAATACGAAACGATGATGTACATTGTCAGACGAAATTGTGGATTTTATAGAATAATGATGCAATCTGTGAATGATACAATAATTGTAGTGTATATTCTACAACATATATGGAGTCGCGGTGATTCAGTGAGTAAGGCGCTGGCTCACTGACTTGACGGTCCCGGGTTCCATACCGGTGTTGGTTAGCGTCTAGTCGTCTGGATGGAAAGATTCTATGTACCTCTAACATTTGGAATCCGAATAAGAATATGCAATAGCGTCGCTGTCCGAGCAAAATCCCCCCCCCCTTTTAGCACATATTGCATTAAACCCCATTTGTTTTTTACAACATACAGAGATATATTAAAGGAATATAATTATATATCACAGCGAATCAATATCAATATGTCATAAAGCTGAATAAAAGCATATGTTTTTCATCCGTGTTCCGGTCGAAGTTCATTCTGGCGAGCGATTTGTCAATATGAATAAGACATGTGTCGGGATAGTGGCGGTAAGTTGCCAACTCTTTTCGCGTTTTATGTTTAATATTGACAATTTTGACGCAGAGTTAGCTCTGATTATTCAAACAACATGTATTTTCAAACGTTTCTGATTTAATTAGTGCAATGTTTATTTTTAAAGTATATATTGCCTTTAAAAGAGGTAATATTTTCAAACCAACTTAAACATGGTAGTCCCTTTTAAAAGCTTAGCCTCAGTAGATCACCAAGGTCCAAAATCTCCAGTTTCAACCTATGCCAATATTATGTACATTATATTCTATATGTATTTATAATTCTCTTCTTGTAAATAGTACAGTCTTTGGGTGGGCTGTTATAAAACTAGCTTTAATATTTGCCTTGTTCCATGTAGAAATTGGAAGAAGAATTCCGAAATTGGAAGGAAAATTCCGACTGAGTCAATATAAAATCAGGTTCTAGTAAAATATAAAATTTAATACCTGCAGCAGCAGCTAGATGAATAGCCAGAACACCATCAACAGATTTAACTAAACAGAGATCTTTACCAAACGCTTCAGCTAACCATTCTACTGTGGTATCTCTGTTTCCTATAGTAGCATGATGTAGTACTGTCATGCCCATATTATCCCTATCAGAAACAACATGGTATACATTGTCTTTTTGTGACTCTAGCAAGGCTTCCAGACATCTGAGATTTCCATGAAGGCCAGCAACATGTAATGGTGTTTCTCCTCGACAATTCTTTGCCTGAACGGGTGTGCTTGAGTACTGCAGTAACCACCTGTAATCGTAAAATTTCATCACAGTATAAAAACAATCTCTAACGAGACAGCGTATGATTCCTCTTCTTAGAACACCTATACCACTTCCCATTGAAAGTTTATGTTTGTTGTATTTTTATATATAATATATTAGCCTTCACCTGACGAGTATTGACCGTAATCTGACCGATAATGGGTGTATTCATTTCCGGAGTTCCGCAGGGTTAGGTTCTAACACCAGCCTTGTTCATAACTTGAACAGAATACTAGAGGAATATCCTAAAATCGAATAAGTTGCCACTTGAAGGGTAGTTTCATTTAATTTCACAGGTATCCATCAGTGAAAACACATCGGAAATATTTAGATCCAAAATCAATCTCGCTATTAGTTAATCAGACAGTAAATTCTTAAACAACAAAATTACACAATAAAAAGGCTACATCCAAGGGGTTAAAACAGGGACATTAGAAATCTGCTAACCATGAATGATATTCAGACGGCAGCTCAGAACATCAGTAATGTATTCATGATATGAAATGAACTGGGGTTTAACGTCCGACTGTTCTGTACAAACCGGGCTAATAAAGATGGAATAATGTATTCAGGCCTATCAAAACAAAATCATTGACAGCGTAGAATTTTCCTAGTTTATCAGCTCAAACCTAGAGAGGCCAATTCATTATTAATTTTTCAAAAGTAGTTGGGTTTTTTCGGTTACACATTCCAGTTGAAGAAAACGTAAAAAATCGGATTGAAATGATATACGGAATTTTCAAATATTCAAATAACGTAGAAAGGTATTCACTGTGTGGAAATATTCGGTTCTTTGGCGCGATGGGTTTTGATTTTGGTTTTTAAACATTTATACGTTTTTATGATCAAGTCAATTTTTGATACTTCCGTTCATAATAATTTGTTACTGAAATTGTGACACATTAGGGTTGATTAAAGATCAGTGTGAAGCGGAATTAATAGGGCGTTATGTATTTGTTAAACACAAATGGTGCTTGGTGCGGTTTGGTGGAATCAATGCTAATCGAACGTATCTAAGACCTAATTTACACAAACCGATAGCAATGCTTGACTTAAAAGTTTATCCACTCGAGCGAACTAACGTGAGAAAACAGCTTATGTCATCTCAGTAGCTCGCGATAATCCGGGGAATCTCAGACGGGTGGGTCGAAGAAAGTACCTATGCAAATGTCAAGACGATTGATTTGTTTATTACTCCCAAATAGGTACACTGTTAACAAAAATAAAATCAAACAATCAAACTTCTTTAACATGATTCTCTTAGGTGATGTCAATAATGTTGTGTATCGTCGACTATTAATGAATTGTGATATCAGATAAAGAAAAACATTCAGTCATATATACACGTTTTATTAAATACCAATACTTCTCATTGATCTCCGAGAAAGAATTTGTATAACTTGAGATTTTATAGCTGAATTGCTGAATGAACTGATCAATATAATTATCTAATCAATATTTTTTTCTTCACTACTCCAGTGAAGGAGCACAGACAGTAAACATTTTCTATTTTGTCGACAAATTGTTATGAAGTTTTTAAGGGTTTTTGTTGTCGTACAGGACTTGTGTACTTTTGTTTGCAACAGCATGGCCGATGATCAAGTAGCACCTGTTTCTGATTTTGCACTTTTATTCAATTTCGTAAATTGTAGCGGTGGATATTTACGATATTTGCAAGCTTAATTTCCCTAAAAGATATCAATATTGAAAGTTCGCATATATAACAATCAACATTTATCATTCATTAATAAGAAACTAAACATCCAGTGCGGTTGGGTATTCAAATTGTTGCACAGCATATAAAGATGATTATAAAGCTAAAAGGATTAGTCACAGGAGAGAACCTTGTCTAACACAAGTTGAGATATTCTTTGGCAATATACCAAATTACTGATGGAATGACATTAGTTTGGGCAAGGAGAGGTGTAGCAATGATTCAAACAGCAAAATTGCAGAGCATTTTTCATTTAACTTTTTAAAAACTTGTTGCAGAAAGATCAATACTTTGCTGGCTAGTTTTTAGGCGTTGTTTTAGTAGGTGTTGTTTTTTTTTAAATAATATCTAGAAATGTATATTGAATTGTGTCAACAATAAACAATATTTGTAACATTTTGTCCTAATTTATTGTGTTGAAATTGTAATGATTTCTCGGCCGAGACTGTTACGCCTAATCTGAAATTGTAATCAAAATCGAACTTTGTTGCGCAATTATTCAACGTCTTCATTTATTTATTCAATTTTTTTTAAATTGATCTCACAACTATGTGCAAACGTGTCTGGCCCAATAAAGCTTGTCACTTGAAGCCAAATAAGAAACAGAGGAATCTAAATGGTATTTGGTGAACTGTTAACGAGATATTTGTCCAAAAGTGGCATGGAAAAGAAAATCAGTTTGTTTGCGTTGATAAAACAAGATATGCAAGGGATTTAACTGCCGACCAGCTTATAGTTCATTTAAGAATCTCGTTAATTTACATATTTAGTAATGATTAAATTTCAAGCATAATATGCAAAACCACCAAAACTAAAATTTTATGAAAAATTTAAGTTCAAATTATCTTAAACGTGCATTATTTTAGTGGTCAGTATAACCTAATTATGTCCCGTTACCGTAAGAACGTCCACAAACTATATCACTAGTTTTATCGGGAAATACAAATTACATTCGTCATATGCATACCTAATAGATATCTCCACTAAAATATAATAGTAAGTTAAAGGTGCATTATAAGATTTCGATAAAGAGATTGCCGTTCTTGCTATAATAATAGATAATGAAAAATGAATATTATTGAAAAATTCAGTCAAATCACCTTATTCGGAGTTATTAGTCTTTGAAATTTTCACAGTATAGTCTCAATTGTCAATTTGTAAATTAAATTTTTAAATGGCGATCATGTTTCAATCCATACAATCCAATGGTCTAGAGGGTTCATTGTGGACTTATCTTGTGAATAAATGTGTAATTAATGATATTTATATAACATTTCATGCCAAAAGAAAGAAATTAGGGAACTACATAATGTATTTAGTGGCTTGAATTGACACATCTTTAAAGAATACAAATCTTAATAGGGAATCAAAACAAATGGCATTAAGAATATGTCAATTAGAATTAGCAAGAACACGATAATTAACTGTTAACTAACTTTTCGCTTAATGTCAATTTTAAAAAAAAATGTCAAATAATTAAATTCTATTGACTTTCATAACATAACATTAGGCGAGTAGTTTACTATAAATTGAGTTTAACAGCCGTATAAACATCACAACAAGCTTTCAACATATAACACTAGCCGTTTAAACTTATTTAAAACACTCAATTCGTCAATGACATTTACTTTGGACAAATCTTGTGTAAAATCGTGCTTCGAAAACCAATCGCAATGTTAACTATTCGTTTGATTAAGATGTTTGGTCCTTCGTCTGAATGTTTTTGATATCGTTGCTACATCCCCTGTTTAGGAAGGGAATATTTAAACAGGAAGTGTTCAAATATACAACACAATGTTCAGGTTTTTGTTTTTTTTGTCAGGTTTAGCACAATCGCCCTGGCACACCCCTGGAAGCAGCACAGACATCGTCTTTTCAGAGAATCAGAAATATTTATACTTTTTTACGCGTTTAATTTGAACTCAGTCTACATGAATCTATTTACAACTTAAACTATTGGTTTTTATTTTATAACCGTAATAATTTTAACTAGACTGGTATTTTGAAAACATTCTGGGTTCATAATTTAAATCATATCCTAACAATTTATTCATTTAACTTATTTATTTATTCTGGGTTGATAGATTAGAACATACTACATGTATATTAAATTTATTCATTTATCCTGGGTTGATAAATTACATCATGAAATGAAATGAAATGGGGTTTAACGTCAAACTGTTCTGCTCCTATACTGGACTAATGAAGACGGGCATACGCCATACACTGTGCTATGAGAGAAATTTTGCCCGGGCAGCGGCACTATCGCCTACTCTTATATCGAATTCCAACTGCCAAGGGATCTTTTACGTGCATTCCTATGTATACACGGGACCTCGGTTTTTCGTCTCATCCGAAGGACTAGACAGCTGCCCTTGTCAGGCCCTCCGTACTGCACCACTGACAAGGGGAAACCACGTCGGAAAATCGGGATGAACTTTCTCGGCCAATGCAGGGATCGAACACCCGACCTCCAGGCTACCGAGCCAGCGTATTAACCACCTAGCCACCGTGGCTCCCAAAATTACATCATACTATCTATAAATCCATTACCTTAGTATTGGTTCATAAATTAGATATTCTAGCAATTTATACATTTATTCAGGGAGACAAATGAGATCATACTATCCTAAGAATTCATTCAGTTATTCTGGGTTTATATCCTAACAATTTATGCATTTATTCCCACCATAACCGTCACTGATAGAATAGAGCATATTATAATACATTAATTTAAGAAACAGTTACTTTACATCAGACTTGCATCTTGATCATTGTGGAATTTCTTTAAAATATCGCCTGAATATTTGTTTTAGTTAAAATAAAATATAAAATGCGAAAATTTATACCAATCAAAATGTGTTACTTTCGCTGACGGTCCTGTTAAAGTTACATTATAGTTTTTGGACAAAAATAGACAAAAAATCTTCAGCTTGTTTAGATGATATCAGGCAAGAAAGCTAATTGGCAATATCTTGTCCAAAAGGTATTTATCTGGTAGATTTATGGAAAACGCTTCCTTTTTGCGATTTTCTGACATTTGACACACTACATTGCTTAGACAAAATTCGTCTTTATTTGTGTTAAAAGTAAACGTCATACAAGCCATTGGTGGTTTTAGCAAAAATAAGCCAAAACATTAAATCGTAATGCTAGGTTCACACTATTCTGCACGTAGCAGATCGTGGACCATATCTGACATTTTGTTCTCTAGTTGGATAAACTAGTGATCAGGCGACGGACGGTATCTGGTCAGATCTATTTATCTCGACGATCGGTGCCTGACTGAATACTGTCAGACAGAATTTCCGGCAGTCTATTTTTCAAAATTTTCTAGGGGAGGACTCCGTACTTTGACGCTCGTGAGTGGGCTTCGTCGAGATTCGCAAGTCCGTTCGTTTGACACTTTACCTCAACGATCAGTGCCTGAAATACTGCCAGGCTGCATTTCCGGCAACCTGTTTTTCAAAATTTCTGGGGGAGGCCCCCTACCCCTACTTGAAGCTCGTGCCTTTGCCCTCTTAACCTTGGACTTTGCCCCAGCTTTGCCCCTCCAATCACCGACGACCAAATAGGGACAATTCTATCGCAGTGCATTGCACGACGGTGGGAATCTAGCATTAGCAGTTCAAAAAGTCAGTCTTATAATTTATTTTAAAAAGACATTATCACCTCCCACAGGAGTATTGTGAAAAGTCTTCATATAGCTCTGTAAAAGAGGACTGCTTTTAACATGTGACGCCACATCATGGGCGTCAAAAATTGGCTCAATGGCGCGTGTACCGGTAAGCAGTTACCGGTACGGGCAGAATGGCGCCCTTTACTCGTTTTACATACCCATTTACAGTACATTAAATAAAATAAGTTTTACCGAAATAAACCTCAAACGTCTTTATTTATTTTTCTAATACTTAAAAAATGTTTTAGAATTTAATTTGTGGCGGAAAAAAGTTAATATTCCTCACTTAGCCGCATGGATGCCATCCTTATTAGTGATTGTAGCGGGCCAGCGACTATTCACTGCTAATCAGTGTATCACTCCTTTGAATTCTGTTCATTTTGTATAATAGAATAAATAGTGGCTTCGGTATTTTACCCGGAAAAAATTTATTCTAGTGCATACGAAAATTTGACCGCTCAAAAATTTATTTTGCTGGATTTAATAGTATACAATTTCTTTTTTCAGTTACGTGTCACATTTTCAACAAGATGGGAACATTCGCCCAACGATAAAATATCTAAAACATCTTTAAAGCAGTAATTCCGGATCTTAAACGGAGAAGAGTGTGCTCATTCCTACACGGTTGTCGGTATCACATTTGCGGAGAATGTTTGTCGGTGAGCCCCAGAAAAGTTTTCTAGGAAGGACGCTAAACATAGAATTTATTATCGAAACCATTCATGCAGCGAGATTAGGGGATTGTGTTTCGTAATTTAATTGCCAAACACTTATTTTGCAAAGGTTTTGTAAAGTATACCGGTCGAAATGAGAGACTTTTCAATCCACTGGAGTGGAACATTTAAATATAGCATTTTTTTTTTCAATTTCAGAACAACACTAGCACAGCAAAATCAAAAGGTTATATAATTTATACAAGACAGAAACTATGCCAATAACTGATTACGAGTGGAATTTTCAGTGAATTATGTCAATTTCCAAGTTTTAATATCGAAACAATACTAGTAGCAGGTAAAAGGGCCATACTTATTTCTTGCATAGCATTTTGTGGCACAAATTTTAGTATATTATGACATGTGAAACACAATGAAATTATAATTTGATATCATGATTTATACAAGACATAGACAGTCTGATAATGTGTGTTTTTCCAGTTTATTAGAGTTCATTCAATTTTGTTTTTTTGTTGTATTTCAAATGACCCAGTCTGAAATTTCTTATTTTGTCAAAATCTTTTCCCTGTTACTGTTAGGTAATTCTGGCGAACAAGGCTGTCAGTCAAATTAATTTAGCTTATTACGGAGTACTTTCAAGAATCTCACTTAAATTTGTTCATTTGGAAAAACTGTCTTTACGATTACGAGTTTCTTTGAACGAGCTAGGATGAACTAGAACTGATAAAGAGAAGAGCAAGTTACTGAATTCAACACGGTCCAGTTCTCCAAATATGTAGTGTTCCAAATTTTCGCTAGTAGTAAAAGGGATGAAATTTTCACAATATTTTTTTTTAAGATTGAAAAGCCGCGCAAGACACGATCTAGTTCTTCACCATTTTTGGAAGGTTTAACAAATTCTAAGCGCTTACAAATGTTTTAGCTTAAAGAATTATGTGTTGGTTTAGTATTTCAAGCAAGAGGAAAACGATTCAAACGCGCCGATCCTTCGACAGATTTGAAAGTACCCCACCCACCTCTTCCTTCCTGGACGAAATTAGCCATAAGTTTGAGAAAAATACCCATACCATTATTACAACACACCACTTACACGGTGTTAACAATTATTATTTAATTCCCTAGAGTGGATTATACCATCATGTTGTTTTAAACCACACAACTCGCGGAAGCTATGATTAGACCCTCTTCAATTTCTCTTAATTTTGATAATACGAATATTTGGTGCTTCATATTCTTAAAGAATGACTTAATCAACCCCAAATTGGCGTTTGTCAATTGTGACCCAAGAAGAGCTACGGACTTCCTGATAGTTCAGAAGTGAAGTCAACTGACAATGATTATGCAACAGAACTTCTCATAAAGCGATGACAGATCTACAATTTCACAAGATTTAGTATAAATTAATCCCCTAAGATTTCTAAAACTCTTTTTAAATAACAGTTTATGCAAATGGTCATCAGCACAACTTTTAAACGGGCCATACATAGAACAATATATCCTGTAAATCTAGTTGTCATGGCTAAATTTGTGGTTCACGGACGTGGAAGATGACCATATTTCCACTGATTCAATGTCTATGACGAAAGTGTCCAAAATGTATGCAAGTGGCCTTCAACAAATCCGTTAAAAGGATCATATATCAGTTTATATTATCGTGTCATATAAATCATGTTGTCGTGACCTAACCTATGATGAAAGCGCCCCAAATTTAATTTTAATAGAAAATATTACCTGAGTGATCTGAGTTGTCCACATCTAGCAGCTATATGTAAGGGTGTATTACCCTGTTTATCTACTTGTGGTGCTTCGCCTGTTTTATATATAGCCTTCAGTAGTCCAATCTGTCCTGTAGCTATAGCATTATAACAAGCGAGAGTAAGAAAATCTTTAGTAAGGCCTCGATTCATTAAATCAGGATTGGTTAAATTCATATTTTCGAAACTACTAGCATCTCCAATAAGTCTTTTGGAAATATGCGGAGATGGTGAATCGGGAAAACGGTGCGGTCCCATGGCGTTTACTATTCGATTTCTTTGACCGGTGCTCAAGTTTCTGTCATGTAGTTTACTCCATGCTACCCTTCTCTGATTCGGTGACTTATTTTGATTTGAGTTTACGGATGATGATCTCCTCAGAGAGATTGACATCGCCCAAACTTATATTCTTTATCCTTGGCGAATAGATGATTTAATTATTCAAACGTGTTACGTAATCCGGTTAAGCGAAACCTGACCAAACTCTGATTTGGATGAAACTGGAGCGAAGACGTGGTCACTACGAAATACATTGAGTTAATGTCGTTCAGAAGCGAAGCTATGACTAAAAACAGTGTACTCGTATAACTGTCTATCCACCGCCCCCAGTCTAATGTTGGCTTATCATTGTGTGATATCCTTAACGAAATCGAGGCACATGTTTACATCTGTTAAAATCGATGTGGACTGGATGTTTGTTCATCAGGTGAACCAACAAGAAAATCAGGCATGTACATGAACACTTTGCCTTCTATTTGTTCGATAATCGACCACTATCAGAACAATTTACTGTTTCTTTAATTGTATGTAATTGGTATTCATAATTTTGGTGTTTTGCGAAAAACTTTAATCTTAATATCTTATAGCTATTGGTCACGTTTATTTTATTTAAATATTTCATTGAATAAATTACAAGTAAGTGTTACTATCAATAAAATTCTGTTTAGTGAGAGTGTGTGTGTGTGTGTGGGGGGGGGGGGGGGTTAGTGTAAAATGTTATACTGGACAAAAAATTGATTTATTAAGTACTGTGTTGTAGGTCCTAGGGGGTCAGTAGGCAGAGTATTCTTAGGCATTAGGGTAGACTGCCTGAGATTACTGGAAGGGGGGGGGGTGCTGAATTTACCAAGTACGTTTGGAAACTTTGGCAAAATTGGCAGCAGAGGGCTCGATACTACTATGGAGACATAAATACATGGTCCGTGGATTTTTGAAAAATATTCTATTTTACTTATTATGGTGGTCTCAATAAGCCAATCGGAGAACAAAAACAGACAGACATTATTCTTATCGAACAGGGAAAGGCCGACGACGTCCCTTCATATATCCGAATGTTGATGTTTGAATTCTGTTATAGTTGGAGTTTCTGTGGAGAAAAGTTATGTCGGAAAGAATTCTCTTCATGGGATGAATTTCTTTTCTTTTTTCGTCGGGGGGTGGATGGGATCGATGGCAGTAGTTCACGACCTGTATCATTGGAAACAAACTAAGGTAAGCGAGTACGATAATAGACATGTTATACTTGTAATAACACCAGCTTGCCAAATGTCAAAAAAATGTTTCGCTGTATCTTAGTGTAAAGAAGCGAGATAAATCGCAGGTATTGGAATTATTACAGATATGAAACGATTATGAGTGTTTTGTCCTCGGTTTAGTGTCTATATTTTCCTTATTGAAATAGATGTTTGAGCTCTAGACTGTAAATGTTTCTTGTTTCTTAAGAGAGTCAATATATTTATCCCTGTACTAACATCTATATCACCTCACCAGCTCAATTTGGATTAGAGGATTTTAGCTACATACTACCATCGCTACTGTGGGCGTTATAAATACCTGTATCAATTTAGTAAAAAAGGAATTGGAAGATGGTCAGGGTCGCAGCTGACTTGGTAAAAAATATTAAATACTAGTCACCCTGCCAAATATTTTAGATATGCCCTTATGTACCCATGCCTATGTTCCCGTCGTTAATTTTCGATTATTGTTCATGGAACAGAAACTCGGGCCCTGCCTCGTATGTTTCTTAGCACAAGTAGTTTAATGTGTTTCCATTTCCGTATATTTTGTGAACAATAGGTGATGCACGTTTCTAAATAGCATATCTTTACTTTCTGTATAAAGGTTCCAGTTATTCCTATTAGTTTCGTCCATTGCATTTTTTTTAAAATTGTGTACACTATCCACTGTCGAAACTGAGTATTCCTGTTTCGGGATTAAAGGACAATATTGGTGTCAGTCATTATCACATATGTGATAGAACTAATTAAACACGTTCCAAATATAATTTTAACACAGATATCATTGCTACGATAGCTGAGTAATACAGGTTTTCTGAATCGGAAGTGACGAACGCCAAAGGAAAACACGAGTCATCCCTCTATATAACTGACTGAAGTGACGAGTAATAACAGATACATGGGGGAATTTCTGCTCACTAATAATTCCTTCCAAGACCAAAAGTTGTTGTGTGAGACTGTGAGAGGATATCTGACAATTCATAAAAAGAATTGACTGCCACTAGATAAGAGAACACGAAAGAAACACAGAAAACGTCCGTGCATTACCATGTTTATATAAGGTATAGAATGAATATAAACAAGGGAATGTACTGACTATTTCTATTTTTCTCGTGTTCTCTTATCTAATGACATTCAATTACTTTATTGAATTGTCAGCTACTGATAAATAAGAGCAAGTTCCTCTGTCACGTACAGATAATAAACGTACTTCTGGTCACGGTTTTTGGTATTGTGTTTTCTGTACAACGAACAAGACAGTCCTCTGGTTGACGTATATTCGTTAGCTGGCAACACTATGCCCTATTGCTCATTGAATCTTTTACGGTGTTGGCGCCGCTTTAACATGTAATTGGTTTCGCATAATATGATGTATCTATTATAAAAATATTTTAACGGAATCATCTCAGATATATTTTAGTGGATAAACTGGTCCGATATGTGTGAAAGGTACTTAATGCAGAATTTTGTTTTATCCGAGTTCATTTCGGAACTCCTCGGCATGTTGAGCTTTAAAGCCATATGTATCAACGTATATCCTTTAATCTTTTTTTTTCTGGCTAAGTGGGTAAGACGCTGGCACGCTAGCCTGGAGGTCGCGTGTTTAGCGAGATTTTCCAACGTGGTGGTGCAGGATGGAGGGCCTGACAAGGACAACTGTCTAGTCGGATGGGACGAAAAACCGAGGTCCCGTGTATACATTGGAGTGCACGTAAAAGATCCCTTTGTAGTTGGAATTCGATATAAGAGTAGGCCATAGTGCCGCTACCCGGGCAAAATTTCCCTCATAGCTCACTGTATGGTGTATGCCTGTTTTCATTAGCCCAGTCGGAGCAGAACAGTGGGTCGTTAAACCCCATTTCATTTAATTTCATTTCATTTAATCTTTTAGTCAACGATAGAGTTGGCTAAACCTAATCTCTACCGTAGTTACGTCCTTTCCATCGAGTTTTAATTGAATATCACGATTTGTGAAATTCGCTGTTGGCGATCGAGACTTTCATTTATTCATTGGGTAGTAGTAGAGCGATATCCTCCAAGCGTGGGTCCATTGTTGTTTTTGGTATGAAGACGAAATGAACAAGCGATCATGACCTACTACTAGAAAAGCAATGTTGAATGTCCCACCCTTAACAATAAACAAATTAAATAGTTATCCGAGTATAACCCACATCTAAAGAATTATCTTGCTTCCTGAGATACCGACTAATTCTTATCGACGTTGTAAAATTACGTTTCTAAGAATTGCCAAACGTTATAAAACTTGGACTCGTTTTATTTTGGCACATCTTTTTGAGTTATCGAACTTTAAAATTGGCAAAAGTGTGAATAAACCATCCACAATTATTATCAATAATCTTCACAATGATTTACAGGTCTGTGCCAGATATAGGAATATACATATCAAATCTAGTACTTATAACCTTATTTATGACAGATGTTCGTGTCCAATGATTTAATTGAATATTGACAGATTTCGGAAGAAATAGGCCCATTCCGAGATTTTGAATTTCTCCCCAAACAATGTCTCGACACATATTTTGAAAACATTTCGTTATGTATTAAAATATGTGTATTTTCTCTTACATCTCAATCCCTCGAATTTGACCCGATCACAGACCTCCCAGAAATATGATTGAATTACGGAAGAAAGCAGCTCTCAGAAGTACCTGTTAGTCTTCTAGAAGTGCAGATGATAGAAGTGCAGGTCTTTCCGAAAAGGTCAGAATACAGAATACCGATTTTTAAACTTTGTCGTTGCGAATTTGTTTTAAGTAAAATGTAATTAAAAGGAATATTTACGTTAGGGGGTTTGCTTCTTGGGATATGTTAAGGACACACATCTACATAGAATTCATTATTTCTAAATAGCTTTATCTCCACAGCTAAATCCTTTTTAGAGGTAAAAATATTCAAAGTTGTCGGTCGAAGTATTGGGATTCAACTAAATACGAAAGATTCTAGCCGAACAAAATTAACATCCTTATATCATCTCCTGGTCTTTTACATGTAGAATTCAGAACATAGATACACGCTTGATATATATATGAGTATTGGACTCCAGTAACCGAGAATGACCAAATATTCTAAATATGTCAAAATATTATTCAGCTGATGAAAATTGTTAAAGAAGGTAAAAGTCAGTCACACATGTCTTGAAAAAGATAACCATAGACAACAGTTTATGCGAAAGGAAAACTCGGGTAAGGATCCTTTATGCCTTCAAGAAATCTGATCTCTATGGTGTGCACGAGCTTTCCGGGCACCAAATATACCACTGGAACATCCCTATGCTTCACACCAAATTTGAAACCAATGGGGTTCATCCCCGGCTGAATATCAATCTGTAGAGTTCGTCGCTATATGACCCCAATGCGTCACACCAGACGATAGGGTACATACTAGCATGACTCCAACGCTTCAAACCAAGCCATCCGTGGGTCTACAGAGTTGACTTTGAGCTTTTCATGTAAATAATCGTCAAATTAAAGATACATTATGGGAGATAAGATAAAGAGATGGCAGTTCTCGCTATGATAGTTAAAAACTAGATAGTGTAAAGGTAATTTGCTGAAAATTGCAGTCAAATTGATCCACTATGAGCCGAGAAAGAAGCGGGTGAACTTTTTTGCATAGTCTCGGTCATCATTACGAAAATCATTAATATAAACAGCATAGTCTCGATTATCCACTTTTTCTGATTTAATTATCAACGGCCGTTAGCGGCATATAGGAATGTAATCCAGCCAACATCGAAGGCTAGCCTTGACATCGAGAGTTTATTATGGTCTGGATAAGTTAATTAATGTCTAATTGATAATTTAGATAACATTTCAGCCTAAAGAAAGACTTGTAATAAGCAGATTTTGCTCTTGCATAATGCATGTTTAATAATTTCAATAACACCTGAAGCCTAAATAAAGACTTGCAATAGGCAGATTTACCTCATGCATAATGTATGTTTAATCCCATCGATTTATAGTTGACAGTTTGCTGCATGTATTTAACATGTATTTTAAGTCGACGTGGATCGCATTTAGATATCGTGTTTATATAATGTCTAGTGAATTCAAACTTTCAAGTTTGTTTAGATCAAAATAAAAATAAAAATGTTTGTAGACGATAAGCTTCTTAATATTGACACTGTATTGTTCTGCTCGTTTTGGATTGTGATCCTATTTTGTTTAATTAAGGCAGATTCACTAGAAATATTTTTGTGTATTTACTTTTCATATTGAATGTTTTGTATTCCAAATATTACCTTTGAAAATATTTATAGCAACGAACAAGTACACATTGAATAATTATTGTATAACATGGTTTAGTAAAACGATGCTATTTTATGATACAACTGTGCTTGGGGTTCCTCAGGTAGACGCTAAATAATCAATTCTACACTGTACTCGTATACATTTCTATAGAGAAGTGTGTATTATTCTTGGCATATTTAAGTTAAGACAAGGTTAAAGGGTGTCTACGCGAAACTGTTGTTCGTGTCTTGTGAAATTGCTTCTCATAGTTGGGTTGGGGTTTTATTTGATGAAGTCCAGTAAATCTTTTTAAAAGGAATATTTAGACCTTTACTCACAAGCAAAACAGAATTCAGCGGAAAATCTCGCAAATGATTGTAATTCGTCTTAACATTACAGAAAATAAAAAAAAATGGAATTCTTCTTGGTATAATGTCTTAGGTGAAGTCGACATTAAATTTCGCAACTCGGTAACAGGTAATAGAAGATCGCACAAAGTATGTAGACAGCTGTATTCAGGGAATTGAGATATCTTTTTATACCTTCAAATCCTGTAGATTTAATTAAAACTGCTACTGCTGGGTCGAGCTAGTCGACAAGGCAGGGGTGTATTGGACTCTCGACAAAAATGTTTCCGTTCGACTACAGACGTGGGGATTTTTCAAGTCTGCTCCCTACTTGTTAAATGCAGCGCCCGTGGGGCTGACATGGGAGTGTCTAGTCCTACGGATGGGAGATGAAATCGAGATCCACCTGTGTAATCATTGCAGTGGGCGTAAATAGATCCCTAGGCAGTTGGAAACATAGACCATTCTTTCGTTTCATTTTAGTCGTATGTCGTTTAATTTGTACTACAGTAAGGTGTAAAAACATCTTTAAAACGTTTGTCTTCAACTCAGTTGATACCTTTTTATTTGTCAATAACGATCTTAGTCCCATCCGAACGACTAGGTGATTTAATTAGAATGGTGGGAAGGCTGCTGTCCGAGCAAACATTCTCCTCCCTATATGTGACCGTAATGTGTTGACGAGACATTGAACGCCTTCTACGCCGGGCGACTTTTCTGGTTTAATATATAAAAAAGAGTTAAATAAAAGGGTTGTGATCAAATTTAGTAAAAGGTCTGTGATCAAGTTTAATAAACGGCTGTGATCAAGTTTTGTTTTCAAAATAAATGTGGTATATATACAATAACTTGGTCTTCAGAATACTTAATATTGAAAGATACGTATACAAACATATAAATTAGATTTATTCGTAATGACACCCACAATAATATACATGAACAACAGATTAACAATGATAGATTTACATTAGGCATTTAAAAAAAACCACAAATAACGCACGATCAATAACAATTAAAGTTTTTAAAATAAGAAATGAAATGAAATGGGGTTTTACGTCCTACTGTTTTGCTCCGAACTGGGTTAATTTTTAAAATAACTAGGCTATTGTGATTTGGGTGAGATATTGTCGATTTCAGTAAATCTGATGTGTTGAATGGATTTGAAAGGTATACATATACACTTAAAATTGTGGGTTAAAATTAAAGAGCCAATATTGAGACATAACTGGTTTTGTATTCCGTGGTCGACAGTTTAAGCCAGAAACGAAAGTAAGATCATAAAACAACCCGAGGAACACTTAATCTTCAATAATATAGATCCTGTCCAATCACAAATTTTGATAAGAGCTACAAACAGCACACCGGGAGAGGTTATGAAGTGTCATGAATATTGTAGTGGATGATGATGGTCACACTGATTATGCTGGATCAAGCAATCATCTTTTGTTTTTAATTATTACACTCATCAATATTTCTACGTTTCTAATAACAATGATTCTTCTTTAAAAGCCAACAAAAGCTTCAACACTATTTTCGAGATGTGAGACGCACGATAATTCCCTTTTCAGGTCTAAGAATAAGTTCACCGGTTGGACGAAGCTCATCTCTTTTTTGCAAAGATTCAACCTTGAAGTTTCTGAAAATGGTGGACAAGAGAACCTTTTCCTCTAATAGTGCAAACCTTTGACCTGAAACATGGTAAATACATTGAATTGTGACCAATGACACTTAAAACAACACATATACTTATAGTAAACTAAACATTTTATAAGGTCATCAATAAAACATTTTAAGACTTTATATTATCACCCAATAACACATTCTACAGTATATAGATATCGCTTGTGTGATAAATTTCATAATCTACTGCGATATCTCCTTAAAGTTACAATTTCATATTTTCTAAGAAAGTCAAAACATAATTATTTCTATGTCTTTTGCTCAATACTTGTCAATAGGTTGTCAACTCACTATTATACGATCATAGGTTATCTTTCTCACACTTAAGAATCTTCACACCGGAAATAATAACACAATTACCTCCCAATTACCTCCCTTGTTTTCCTATTCCCAACCATGGAATAGCTATCTTCAAACGTTTGAACTTGAAGTTGAAAATGATATTTTTGACAATTTCTCAACTGGCAATAGTGAATTGTAGGATTAATAGGATTATTCTTTAACAAGGTAGGACTGTTTATAGATACCATCTATTTTAGTGCTTTATTTTAATACGTGTTAAAAATATAACTTAAAAATACGAAATTGTAACTTTACGGGATATCGCTTTACACGAATTTGATTGGTCAATTAAAAAGGAACTACCTTTTTTTATTTGTAAAGAAAAATTCATATTTTATTTTGAAAGTAACTTCTTTTTTATTGGGTGATAAACAAAATATCCTACTTGTATTTTTTGATATCAAAAAAGACTCGTATGAGATTCTCTATTTATTGCTGAATGTCACGTAAGGTGACCTGAACGTCTTCGGTACGAAACACAGCTTGAGTCGAGAAAAATCCCTGGAACTCATGCAGCGAGTAAGGCGCTAGTTCGCTGTCAGTATTGGCCGAGAAAGTTTCTCGTGATTTCCCTCGTCAGTGGTGAAGGACGGGGGCCCGGCAAGGTGTAGTAGTTCAGTGGGACGAAACACCGAGGTCTCGTGTATATATCGGCGTGTACGTAAAAGAGCCCTTGACAATTGTAATTTGAAATAAGAGTAGGCCATAGCGCCGTTTCCCTGACCACATTTTTCTCATACCATACCGTTTGTTACAAGGGTAAGGAAAATCTGTATAAGTCTTTGGATGGGAAAAACCAAGGTCATTAATACACTTAAAGATCGCTTTTTTAATATTCAACATTTTAAAGTCACAAAAAGTCACAGGATGAAATATTTTAAAATCAAACTTGAAACATACCTATGCAGTTTCGGAGGCCGGCAGAAAATGGAATATAGGCATACGGATGTCTTGTTGTAGCATTATCATGTGAGAATCGATCCGGATCATAAACGTCGGGATCAGGAAAATATTCAGGATCTCTGTGGAGCGCAGAGACTACAAGATTTCCGGTTGTGCCCTTGGGAATTGTAAATCCATCTAAATGCAAAGATATAACAATGACATATCAATAGCGTTACACACAGTAACAACACTCACCCCGCGCTTCTATTATTCCTCGCCACTCTGTCTAAATATGTCAATAGTTTTTAGATAATTTAAATTGAATAATAGCATGGAGGTAGCAAAGAAAAGTTTATCAAAAATATTATTTTACCTATGACGGCATCTTCAGTAAGAGTACGACCAAACAGTGGTACAGATGGATATAACCGTAATGATTCCTGAAATAAAATATACACTGAATATACATGAACATCAGATCCTGTGATGATAGTACACTAGACCATATGACATATCAATAAGCGGTATTTTATTGAACACATCGTTCAACATACAAGTTCTGGGGTGCATGTTTGGAAAGGTGAACAATTGAACATAAGACCGATGTATGAATTTGACTGTTTATGTGGGGTTGTGAAATTTCTCAAAAACCTCCGAAACTTCAAAATGAAAATAAAGCAGGGAAAATACGCATACCTGTCTAAATAATTTACCCCGGTGCTCAATCTATTGAACAGTTAAATCATAAAACATTAGAAATACTTATTGTTGTTTGTCTCAGCTGAGTAGATGGCTTATTTTGCATTCACCAATAAACAGGAAAATAGTAGGGTGTCTTTCCTTAACCTCTACTTGGCATTATTTAAGGTTTCCTAATACACTCTTTCCCCTCGTGCCACTGAGTAAATCCGATCATGTGTTACTAAATCTACTTACTTTGATACAACATTCTAAGTATTTCATATCTTTTAAATCTTCCATAGTTGGATGTCTCTCACTATCACCTATAATAATGTATCTTAAATAATAATCCGTTTAAATTGTATATTATATAATTATGAGGAAACTAATTCTGTTTGTTATTTTAAATCAGACTGTCAATCACTAATCTAATTAGTATCTATCTATTCTGCTCGTCACCCGGGAAATAAAAGGCTGGTGTTATTTTAATTTGATTAACATATCATTAGACTGGTGGTGTTGAACGTAGAGTGTTAAATTGGGTTAATCTGAAGTGCAATATTATTTCGAACAGTGGTTGGTTAAGCAATAAAGGGTTAATTTTGCATTGCAGCAGTAAACCCGAAGTCAGACTGATTTCGTTATTTTGCTAAATATGTCGACGGCTGGACAGAAAATCGGTTCTATCTGCGGGCCTGCTCTTGCAAGTATGGAGATATATACAATTTCATATTTACCCAAACAAAAGAGTTCTTATTATAGTCTTTTAATGGATAAAATAGTTCAGACATTTCAAGACAGAACAGAGAGGTGATAATACCGGAGTACCGTTAACTCCCAACAGCACCAAAAGCAGCAATACAATTTACCAACATTACCTTAGGACCATGACATAACTTACCGAAAATGGAATCCAATTCGTCTTGTAACCTCTCCTGTATACTCTGATCGGCACCGATTAAGTACGTAGCCCAATTAATTCCTGCAGCAGTTGTATCATGACCCTGGAATATTTCCAATCCAAGCTATAAATGGGTGTGGTTTACATTAATTTGTGTAAAAATAAAATAACTAGACGCAGCAATAAGTGTGTAAATTTAACAATAACTGACTTCAACAAAACCCAGTTTATAATGATTTTGTAATATTGCGCTACAGCTCCCCCATTGTTGTATATCAGATGCTTCCGCTAGAAATAAATGATATAAATTACAAAATGATCAGAAACCACAGAAGTTTCTGATTAAATATCGGTGTTAATCTGAGAAAACTCAAAGACAATTATATTTCCTAGCTTTATAGCTAACCATTATTCCCTATACATCCCTATAACCTAGAGACCAATTTGTGATATTGTTAATTAATTTCAAACCAAGACCACTTGCCTCAAACATAAACGTGTCCACTTCTTCACGTATCTCTTCTGATGTTAGACTAGGTTCAGACATGTGTAGTAACATATCTAGAAAAGCCATTCGTTTTTTCTTGGTTCCAACATAATGGTCTTCTTCTGCCGAATCCATAGAGTTATCATGGACTGCAGGCCCTCCATTTAACAGTTCTTGCTTCTTTTCGGCTATAACCTACAAAAAGTTTACAGATTGGTAACAGTCGCAAGGGATATATAGAATGAAAGGGGTTGAAGTTCCTTCATATCCTAATTATCCCGTTCGTGGTCATTTTACATGGCAGTTCGTACCTTTCATCTCTTTCTTGGATCTCAAAAAGACAGGTTGTCAGGAATGGTATAGAAAAGCGTTATGGTATAAAGATAAAAAGCACACCTCAATTCTGCCATGCAGTATTTTACTTTGTGGTCAAATATCCGTCATTAAATCCAATATATTGAAAGTTAATGTGAGTGTGCGTCTAGCATTAGGGTATATATGTGCAAGAATTTTCTCAGCGAACACAACCGAATCAAATACCTTTTCTGTGAATCCATGCAGGATTTGAAGACATTTATCGTGTTCTTTCCCAGGTCCTATTAGATTATATAATATATCAGGCCAGTGCCATGGTTGTTTCATTCTATTCAGGGCCAATTCACTCATCCTATAATTAAACACGTCAAAAACTAATTACAAAGACTGATGGATCCCTTCTCTTATTACACCGGTGTTTAATATTTAATCGGAAGCTTAGTGTAAACAATAGTCGACATTGAATAATCACAGAATAATGTGATTTATACAAAAATGATGGACCACCGATTGAATTATTCCACATCTTCGTCGACCAGGAACCGAAATTGTTTTTGTTTTTGTTTTTTTAAATCACCAAGGACTATAGCTCTACATCCGTATAGTCGTGTGTTATTCTAATTAATATTAGAACCTGCTTCCGTTTCTTTTTCGTTTTTTTGTAATTTTTATTTAAACTATAACAACATTTCTATATATGAACTTTGTGTTCAATTCACCGGACATGAACCATTTTTCAGCCAATAAAAAGTTGGTTTTTTTTCAACAAGAATTGTTTTAATCAACCAAATGACTCAAATCAGTAAACAGATAACTGGCATAGAAGTCTAATTAGATCTTTATGTAGACATTAAAATATCTAATTCCGAATGAAATAAAGATTTAATTTTCATTTGATTTCTATAGAATGAAATAATAGGAATTTATATTACTTATAAACACTATTAACATAAGGTGAATCACTGTTACTCTGTGCATTTACATCTCTTCCCATAGCAGTTTCTAAGAGCAAAAAAAAAAAAAATATTATAAATGATACAAACCTGTATACAAATTCTTACGATGTCGTGGTTTGTTTCGGTTTGAGTGAGCTCCTTGTACGTGGTACAAGTATCATTTAGTATCTCTGTTTTTAAAAAGAAACTATTTTACAGCAGTCAGAATTGATTTATGTGCAGCTTCACTTCTTTTAGTGTCTTTATGAAAACATCCCCATTAGAAAGGTAAACAACCCAATTAATGAATTATGATTATATTTTTTTTTAGCGTGCTACATTTTGTATCTACACTGTATTTACACATTTTCTGTTTGGCTTAAACATACATTATGTAAGAGCTAAATCTGCCTATCACAGGTCTTTCTTTAGGCATGAAATGTTATATAAACTATCAATTAGACATTTATTAACAAAACAAGACCATAATCAACACCCGAAGACATCGGATATTCGAGATTTTAACTAGATTAGAACGACTAAGATCCCTCTTTGTCACTAAAAAATATAAGCCACCGAGCCAAATGGGGTACCCAGTCTAACGGCTACATCAGCAATGTCTCTGAATTGAAATGAACAGCACATTTCTGTTCCGAAAAGCTTAATCGATGCCAGTTTAAGGGATGTATAGAAGTTTTATGATTAACACAAGTACGAACTAAAAAACACTAGAGATTGTATCATCTATTTCCATTTATCTATTTGGTTGATTTATTTCGAGTCCGTGTTTTATTTATACTAAAATGCGTTTTATTTTTATCAGTACTGTATGATGTATTATAACTGTAACAGATGCCATAAATTTAGAAAAACAATTATAAACAGATCAACCTACCACATATAATATCTAGAGCACATAATGTTATATCATTAAAAATATTAAAACTGTTCGGACCAGCTTTTTCCTTTAATTTAGATAACATAACATCTGACTGTTCGTTAAATACTGCTAGAAAATCGTTTAAAATTTTGAAATGGAAAGTTGGTGTTAACATTTTACGTCGGCTTCTCCATTTGGCACCCGTACTGAAAAAAAAAACCACACCAAAAAATGAGATATTCGTGTTCCTAAACCAAATATATAAACTAAATGATAAATTCCACTTCATCTGGTATGTGATATTTGCAGATTTGATAGAAGAAATAACAACCAAGTAAGATATTACTTATTAATTTTTATACTCTAAGCAGTAACATTTATCAAAACAATAACATAAAAGTGACACCATTTGATGCATAAAGAAAAAGTGCGATATATCAAATTGATTACAATTTACAATTATATTTACTATGTATTGAAAATTTCAACTTTTAGTTTACATCAACATATCAATAAAAAATGATACGTTCATATAGATATACTCTTCATAAAAAGTAGGGGATATTGAAATGTGAATATCTATGCAGGTTGTGATATGATGAATAGTCATGGACACTTGACATGCTTTGAGAGTATGTTCACAGATGAAGAACTTATCGCCCCAACAGAACCACTGAGCTGTTTATGTTTATGTGTAGGCAATTGGCCTGTTATTAACACACACTGGTTACCTCTAATAAAAACAGCAGTGCATTTCCGCAGTTTTGTATTGTTTCTGAATATCCCCTACTTTTTTTGAAGAGTATATTACAACTTTTTTAGTTGTAGCACCGGTGAAACCTGTCACCACTGCCTCGCAGTTCTAGTTTAGTATATACTGTTCAATTTACTAAATGCCAATGAGAGAAGAAAATTATCATTATACCTTGTCAACAAACCTGTACCAAGCCACGGGTGTAAAAATCTATATTCAGCAGATTTATCCATATGTTTTGAACTATTGAGTAATTTCTGAAATCGCAAATATGTTTATAAAACAAAACTACTTCCTTTTAAAGAAGATGGTCCGTCTGTATATAATTCTTACATAAAGATGCGAGTTATATAACTTTAAGAAAAAAATGCAAGATGCCTCCATTCCAGTGGTGCCCTTAAGGCTTAATTGAAAAGTACTACCAGATCTGTCAAAATGATTTCCCCAAGCGTAAAATTGGTCATATTTGTTTATTTTGTGTGCTGAAATTAACATCTGTTTAGGATTGACAATTTTATTGCTAGTTCGTATTCCCAAAGTCTTGTAACGTGCTAATAAGATTTAGAAATGGATCCATATATTCTAAATATTTACCTCAACGTCTATGGCTCTTGCCAGACAAACCATTGGTTTGGTTCCCAACCATATCATAAATATACCCTTTCTGCCAAATTCCTCGGAATAGGACATAATCTGATTATAAAACTCTGAAAGACAATGAAATAATTCAGGAATTTCGAAGTCTCGCCTGGATCCTTTGTAAGGAGTGGGAGTATTTTGCCAGGGCACCGGCATTAACGCCTAATTATTCGAATCTTGAAATACCTAAATATAGAAGTCACGCAAAGACACGCCAATTCGCTTCCAAATATATGTATAATGACTCCGGCAGAACCGAACGTAAAGCATCAAGAAAGGCATGTCAATTCTAAAACAACTTTAAACCAGTGGTTTTGAGTTTTTGTGCCCCCTTGCAAATAGCAAAAATCACGCGGTTTTAATGCGGTTTTTAACATTATAATCCTAATGCTTAACCGGTCAGATATGCTAGAAATCGACTCCAGCATGTTCCACACAGTCAAATATTACTGGGCGACACTGGGAGGGACCCTTCCATTTCCCGCGCATACATATAAATATTGTTTTTTGGGGGCCCGGACGGGCTCTTTTTCCTCATGCAAAATCATGGGTTACCATCCCCCTGCTTTAAACATTGTCTCGAGATGTTGCTTGTAAAGAATTAATTTTTGATTTTTTCCTATTGGTTGCAAAATGTGAAGACCTGTCTTCAACAGTATACATCGATTACCTCATATTACATACATGCATTATATACATCAATTACATCATATTGGGTATATTAGGTATACTGGGCACATAAACGGTTCATAGAAGGGTGTGCAGCAATGTTAACATTTTGAGGAATAGGAGATAGGTTCATGGTGTTACTTTACTAGTTTAAATTAATTTAATTCCACTTTAAAAATGACTAGTGATACCTTTTAAATTGCAGACAAATTGATTTGGCAGACCTTGTGGTCTAACGTCTTGGTTGTAAAATAGTTATTTTAGTGTTAATGTAATATTGGAAAGATTCAATTCAATGTAAATCAAATATTTTGCTTGATGCATAAAAATAATATAGAAGCCAAAGAGTATGGCTCTGGAAGTGACACCAGGAATGGCGTTTAAAATTTAGCCAATACACTTGTAAAAATGTATTTCTGTGGTTGCGTTTACAAAGCTAGAAATGAATCTTTTGAAAGGATAGTAGCGTCTATGCCTCCTCTGACCGAATTCCGAATCCCAAAACTTCTTTTTACGTGCACGTGTGGTGAATCTCGGTGTTTCAACCCGCTAGGCAAAACTTTATTTGACAAGTTGGAACCAGGCTTTTGGATATTATAACCTAAATTTCATCAGATGTTCCAATACCACTTCAAGGTCATGACATACTACAGCTGTATAAATATATTGGTTTATTATTGACTTTATCTCATTTCTTATCAAACCAGGTTAAGTAACGCAGCGACTGTGATATGTCCTATGATACGAGAAACCAAGTCGTATCACCCGATGGAATATTACAATGACTCGATACAGAAGAACAACTTTATGATAGAAAATCGTTCAGCATACCCTTCCTCGCGCACACTGTTGGAAGAAATTAAATAATGCATATAAATTTCATAAAGATCAGTTGATAACTTAGGTCGTTAAAGCGTTCACGAGTTTCTACAAACTTGTTTCAATGGCATTTAGTAATTGAACTGGAATTAGCTCGGTAATAAGCAGTAACTGTATTCCATGCATATTAGATTCTACAGGGTGAAACAGAGGCCATAAATCTTTACGGAAATTGCTGAAATTCAATAGGACCCATTTCATTGAGTTAAATGATGCACATACATTTTATACATGAAAAAGTGAAAAAAGGGTCATAACTCTAGAACTAATTTACGGAAATTGCTGAAAATTCAATAGGATTGTTCGTTTCGCTATCTAAGTAATGCATATAAATTTAAAACAGATCGGATGATAACGTTTGTCGCTAGAGCGTTCACAAGGTTCTACAAAGTGAAACAAGGACCATAACTCTAGAAGCAATAAACGGAAATTGCTGAAGTTCAATAGGCTTCTTCGTTTTACTAATATAAAAACATATAAATTTCGAATGTAATCTGTAGAATGTTCATAAGAAATTGTGGACGATGGACGGACCGACGGACAAACGGACGGACGAAGACCACGGCAAAATATGACCACATGTTCACGTGGGCGTATAAAATGTCATGGCACAATGCTGAATTATGCACACAAGTAACTTAAAGATTGGAAAACAAATGGTTATTATTAGTAGTCGAAGTTGTTATAAGTTATAAGAAATTGTAATTAGTAAGTCTACATTTTCTATACAAGGCTTGTTTAATCAGTTATGTGGGTTTTTTTACAACTATTATCTAATATAGTCATTCTAGTTGTCTTGTTTTATTTCAAAATTTCAAAGTTTGCTTCAATTATATGTGCTTTAATTATTTTAGTTACTTGAGTTAAAAATTAAATAATAGGTACCATTTAATATGCTGCTTTTATTTTGATTAAATTATGTTTAAACAATATATACATGTTTTTCATTTGTTATTTAGTTTTAATAAACTGTTTTGTTTTAGTTGTGAAATTCTTTCCATCTGTGTCCTTTTTTGCCTACATGTACCAGCTACATATTAAAGTGTTTACGGATGGTTAACCATGCGCAATGTTGTTACACATGACATAGTTAAATAATATATACTATTATAGGTCGCTAGTGTAGTCTACTATACAAAATACCTTTACTACATTACAATTGATTCTTTTTTTAGTATGGAAATGTACAAACTTAACGAAAGTGCACATTTTATGAAATATTTATAATAATACTACATTTTACCGTCCTGCACAGTACATGTAGTATAATGACGAAATGGAAGGCCACCACTGATTGAAGAATTCACATTACTCTGATCGAAAAACGACCATATTTTTTAATCCACATTTCCCGAATTAAGACGAACAGGGCAAATAATTATTGAATTTAGGCTATCTTTATTATTATTGCACTTACCCACAAAATATGTAAATCAACAAAAACTGTTTAACTTACTTGTGCCATCGACTTCCAACTGATGAGCATTTCCTAATATAGGTAAACCAGCCGGTCCAGGAATTTTCCCAAATATTTTGTTCCGTTTATAAGATTGATACAACCAGGAAATGAGAATTGCTATTGAAGTAACAACCACAACAAGCAAAGTGGCTGCCATATTGAACGACTATGGACGACGGGAAATAGCTAATAGTTGTATGAGTTGTTTAATCATTTATACACGGTATGTTTAAGCTTTCAGCCTTACACTATATGAGTAGTTTAATGTTGATATCGACCCACTGACCCAACATTAGATACAAGATTAGAAGTTGCTATATAGGCATTATGATTATTATATAGGACGTTCATAGTTCAGATTGGATCTCAGATGTAAATAAAATTTGATTTCTCAGTGTGCACCCACCCACCCCCTCTCCAAAAAAAGAAAAAATGAAATAGGGTTTAACGCTTTTCATTTCTGCACCGACCGGGATAATGAAGAGGATGGGAGTCTCTTTCAAGAGATCTTCAACGTGCTGCCACTTAAACAAGCCAACAGTGAGGCTGATGTCCCCCGCCGAAATCCCAAAATAAATAGATGACACATATAAATAATAGCACATTTATTTTTTTCAAAAGTATCAAGCAATCAAACTGATAATCAACTATTCACTAACTTTCATCACTAGATAGAATCAAAGTTATCTTGTCCTAAAGCATTGACCAATGAAATTAGCTTTAGCTCGAAATGTTAATCATTGAACTCAGTCAAGACATTCGAATAATAAATGAAATGAAATGAAATGAAATGGGGTTTAACGTCCTACTGTTCTGCTCCTAAACTGGGCTAATGTACTATGAGGGAAATTTTGCCCGGGCAGCGGCGCTACGGCCTATTCTTATATCGAATTCCAACTGCCAAGGGATCTTTTACGTGCACGCCAATATGTACACGGGACCTCGGTTTTTCGTCCCATCCGAACGACTAGACAGCTGTCCTTGTCAGGCCCTCCGCATTCGCCTAATAAACATCTACATCAAGTTTAAACATTCTACCTCAATTAAAAGCAGAGTTATCTTCTAAAGTCTTGACCAATCAAATTGATTATCGCTCCTTAGCCTAAGCCTAAAATTCTCATCACCGAACTTAGCCAAGGTAATGATATAATGAATCTATACTCGGTGTTTCATCACTCTCACTTAATTAAAACCAAAGTTATCGTGCCCCAAAGCATCAACCAATCAGATTGATTGCTTATCTCTGTTTACCGTAAGCAGACAATGCATATCATCGAACCCCATTAAGGCATTCACCTAATAAACACCTACGCCAAGTTTGAACATTCTAGCTCAATTAGAATGAGAGTTATTGTGTTCCAAAGTCTCGGCCAATCAAATTTCTTATCGCTCTGCTTACTCTCAGCAGAAAATGCTCATTATAGAACTTAGTCAAGGTATTGGTGAGATAAAACTCTACATCAAGAGTCCTCACCCTCACTTAATTAGAAAATTATCACCTTCGAAACCCAATCAAGGCATTGACCTAATAACACCTATGTTTCATGATTGTACGGACGATGTGGACGGATTGGTAACACTGAGATATAAAATACACTATTTATGGTTCAGCCATCTTTAATCAACAAACTTCCTAAATGGAGATAACTCTATTCTGCTATAAGCCAGGAGGGGTTATCTCCCATTTTACATGTTAATACTAATACATAATAAAGAGTACAAGGAAAGCTTGTACATCATATTACATCCCTTTTGTTTTGGAATAAAAATAATTTTAAGCATTAGTAAATACTTCATTGATTACGCATATAGTTCAAAGCTTAATTTTTAACTTTTGCATGTAATAAATTTGATAATGAAAATTGAAACTTGAATAAAATTATATGAAATACTCTAAAATACTACTTGTTATTTTGTTATCACATTTTAGTGATCACATTTTATAACACAGTTTTTGGCACATGTTAAATGTCTAATTTCTTTGGTTTGGTTATAGTGCGACTAGATTTCTTTCTGGATGGTATGCTGCTATTGGCTTCTGGTTTTTGGTTGTTGAGTTGTATGGAGTGTTCTGGACCATTTTCAGAGGATCTCTGTTTTATGTGTCGTCTGTTTCTCCGATACGTTTGGTCATCTGATGTTCTGACGAGGTAAGATCTGTGTGGCAAAACACTGGAAATTATGCCAGGTGTCCAAGATTTGTTGTTGTCGCTTTTCTGGACGTACACCTTGTCGTTATGTTGAAGGTCTGGAAGCGGCTTAGCTGTTCGGTCATAAAAGCGTTTCTGTTGGGTTTGTCTGTTTTCTCGTGTGGCACATACATTGGCAGGATCTTGTATTTCAGGTTGGAGTTGTGTTTCTGTTACTGGGAGGATGGAACGTAGACGGCGACCCATTAGTAATTGTGCTGGGGAAGCTAAATTGTCTATTGGAGTCACTCTATATTCCAGAAGACTGATATATGTGTTTCCACCATCTTTCTTCGTTTTGTTTAAAATGTTCTTTGCTGTCTGTACACTTTTCTCAGCCAGACCATTTGATTGTGGGTACTTTGGACTAGACGTGATGTGTTTGAAATCCCAAGTCTTGGCGAAATTGTAAAATTCACTGGAGGAGAATTGCGGACCATTATCACTGATAACTATGTCTGGAATGCCGAAGCGAGCAAAGTTTGCTGATAGTTTACTGATAACTGCTGCTGATGAGAGAGAATGAAGTTTGTCGATCTCGAAGTATCGGCTGTAATAATCAGTGAGTACGATGTAGTTCTTGTTGTTAATGGTGAATAAGTCCGTGCATACTTTCTGCCAAGGTCGTGTTGGTATCTGATGTGGTTTTAGTGGTTCCTTCGTGTTGGAAGACTGTTTCTCGCCACATATTGTACAGTTGGTGACAATCTTCTCAATGTCTCGGTTCATGCCGGGCCAAAATAAGATGTCTCTGGCACGCTGCTGACACTTTTCTATACCAAAGTGACTAGAGTGTATCTTTGTCAACATTTCGGATCGTAGGCTCTTGGGAATTATTATTTTGTGTCCCTTGAATATAAGATTCTCCATGACTGTGAGTTGGTCTCTGTAATTCCAATATTCTTGTACCTCTGATGGGCATTTCTTGCGGTGTTGTGGCCATCCATCTAGAATAGTTGTTTTCAACTTGTTCATTTGTTGATCTGTTGTTATCTCTTTCCGTAGTTTTGACATTTTCTGATCACTAACTGGTAGGTTGGCTATTACGCTGTGGACTAGTAAATCCATTTCTTGAGACATGTTATCTGGTGGTATTGTGATGAAATTACGACTAAGTGTATCTGCTACAGGAATGTCCTTTCCGGGTACAAAGATAACGTTAATGTCGTATTTCTGTAGTTGTAGGAGCATCCGTTGTAAACGTGTTGGTGCTGTCGCTAATGGTTTCTTCATTATGGTTTGGAGAGGTTTATGATCAGATTCAACTGTGATCTGATGTCCGTATACCATTTGATGAAATTTTTTGCAACCAAATAGCACTGCATACAGCTCTTTTTCAATTTGAGCATAATTCTGCTCTGATGTTGTTAATGATTTTGAAGCGTATGCTATTGGTTTCTGCTCCTGCATAAGTATTGCTCCAAGTCCGTGTTTTGATGCGTCAACTTGTAGCGTGATATGTTTTGATGGATTGAAGTACGCCAGCACTGGTTCACTGGTGATTAGTTTCTTGACATGGTTTAAAGCGCTGTCATGTCTCTGATCCCAGTGGAATGCTATCGTCTTCTTCGTTAGTTCCCTTAATGGAGTTGTAATTTCAGAAAGTGAAGGCGAGAATCTGGCTAGGTAGTTGATCATTCCTAATATTGTTTCCAGTTCTTTCTTGTCTGATGGAGCCTTCATTTCGTCGATTGCCTTTACTTTCTCTGGATCTATTTTGATTCCATCAGCTGTAATAAGGTGACCGAAGTAGCTAACTTCTGTGGTCCCTATAACTAATTTGTCTGGATTCAATTTAACATTTTTCTGGCAACTTCTATTAAGAACTGCGAGCAAGTTAGCGTCGTGTTCTTCACGTGTTCTGCCGAATATTAATATATCATCTACGATCGCTATGCATCCGGGAATATCGCCATAGATTTCGTCAATCTTACGTTGAAAAACATCTTGAGCTGAGATGATCCCGAAAGGCATGCGCAGGAATCTGTATCTGCCGTATATTGAATTGAAAGTTGTTAGGTATGAAGAAGATTCCGTTAGCTTGATGTTCCAATAACCAGATCTAGCATCTAATTTGCTGAAAAACTTGGCTCCATTAAGTAAGGCAAAAGCATCATCAATAGTTTTAAGATGGTAATGAGGTCTTTTAATCGCTCTGTTTAGGTCCAGAGGATCCAGGCATATTCTGAGTTTTTTGCTGTGTGGTTTTTCTACCACGACTAACGAATTTACCCAATCTGTAGGTTCTGTAACCTTTTTAATGATGTTATTCTTCTCCATATTATCAAGTTCATTCTTGAGGCGATCCTGTATGGAATGTGGAACTCGTCTCGGAGCATGTACTGCTGGGACGGCATTATCTTCGATTTGAATTGTGACTTCGCCATCAAATTCGCCAATTCCTTTAAATATATTTTTGTATTCATTCAAAACGGATTCACGTGAGAGTGGAATCGTTGCTTCTTCGAGAGAAAATATGAATTTTACCAACTTCATTTTGGTTAAGAGAGGCAAGCCTAGTATGGGAGGACCTGTGGTATTTATGATGTAAAATTTATCAGTGGCTGATTTGGTTTTATAGCTACACTGTAAATCTATGAATCCGTGGACTTTTAATTGTTGTCCTGAGTATCCGGTGAGTCGCTCTTCTGTGTTCTTCAATAGAGGGGGGTTTGGAATTTTCTGGAAATGGTCGAATGGTAGGACATTGACTTGAGATCCTGTATCAATTTTGAAAGTTGTTGTTTGCCCTTGACCTATTTCAAATTTTACAAAAGCTTGGTCTTTTGGTGTCCCTTTGCCCTCTATAGAGTCAATATATAACTCGCTGACATCAGTATCCGAGTAGCTGTCATCATCCTGATCTATTGTGTGTATCTTTCTGTGATCTCTGTAATTGAAAGAACCAGAACGGCAAACAATTGCAAAATGATGCCATTTTCTGCATTTCGAACACTGTGATCCTTTTGCTGGACATCTTTGATGTTTTCCGTGCTGTTGACCACAGAATGAACAGCGTTCATCAGGTTGTCTGGAACTCTGATGTGATCGTTGCCTTTGGCCTTGTCTTCGGTTTCGGTTAGCATCACTGTGTTGCGATCTGTCAGTGTGCTTATGTCGGAACTTTGAAATAGCGTCTACTGTTTCTAGAGATTGCTGTGGCTGTGCTTTG